TTGTTGTGTATGGGGGGGGGGGGGGGAGGAAGCAGATGAGGCAGCTCTGTTTACTTTCCCTGCCTGTTTATCTGTCTGCGGTGTCAGAAATCATGCCAACCTTTGTGGCAGCTGTTTGTACTCGCAGCGCGTTGTTGTATTTCTGCACAGTGCTAGTAGACTCTCACGGGAACTGTTGGTGGAATATAGAGGTCGGAGACCGCCTCGGTAATAGATGTAGTCGTTAGGTACAGCTATTTTCTCACGGTATGCACGTTTGTTGAGAAATGAACAGATAGACAGGTCGGCTGCTGCTGCAATACTGGGTGGTGAATAGAGGAATGACAAGCTAGATTTGGTGGTGAAAGCACGCTAGTGAACAATTAGTAGCGCGAATAGATCGTCACAATATGTAGAGAATTTCGTTGTTGCTTCTCTCTCCATTCACCGCTGTTTGCACCTTTGAAGGGTCCAAAGATTCGTCGTAAGACTCTGTTTTCGAAAACCTGTAATAAGGCTTCATCTCTTTTAGCTGTGCTCTAAACATGAAACAAGCATGAACTGTACTGTATTTTTTAATTCAGTCAGCAACCCGTAAAGTTTAACTTGCACCAGAAAGTCGGTCGATTAAAGGACCGCTTTTACGCCAGTAGTTCATTGGGCATATGAAGCTAGACTTCTATTTTTGGATAGGTCGGTGGGTACACGGTGGTTGATGTGGCCAGCATCACGTTTGCCGCTCTTACTTCACAGACATGTCTGCGGTTTTTGGTGGAGGAGGAAGTAAGCATATGGCAGTCATACTGAATGCGCTGCATTCTATAGACTTTGAGAGATAAGAAGTCAGAGACAGTGATCCCTTAATTAAACGAGGAAAGGTGGGAAGAAACAGGATCGGGGCAAAGAAGGAAGATATCTTAGTCAGCTCCTCCTGGTTACGTTGAACAAGAAAACACTGAGATTGCTGCATCAGAGAAAGGAGCACGAGGGTGTCGGATCTATGTGTTAGTATGTCGGTACGGATGACAAGCAGCAAGCAAACAAGTTCACTGAAGAAGACATCGTACCCGTTTTTGGCTGGGTCGACCTGGGAAGCCAAGTTCAGTTTTGAAGAGGAAAACATAGGACTGGGGATTTGAACCTAAGACTGCCGGCTAGCAGCCAAGCATCTAGCAGCCGAGCATCTAGCCACCGTGGGTGCCAGAGAATTATGTATTGACATACAGAAATCAGTGTCATATTTGTTCAGGCGCATTCTGGTGTAAAGAGCAAGAACGAGCTGACAGACTTGCAAGTAATACTGCACGCGGGAAACGGTCAAGCAGAGGACAGGGCTGATATACTGAACGCCCTCAGAGAGACGGCTCGATTAAACGAATAAAAAAATAATGATTGTGATTGTGAATCTGCAACACTGACGAGACTACACGAACACAACATCAAAAAGGGTGAAGCCAGAGAAGAGCGCTACACAGGGGCCCAAAGAAGAATAGTAAACCATCACAGAACTGTTGTCATAAGCCAGTGCTCGCTGAGGGAGATACTGAAGAGGGGATCTGAGCACTTATGGACTGAATGGTTCGATGTGCGATGATGATAATCTGTCGACTAACTAAACTAAGTAACTAAAGTATTCACATACACATTTCTTGAGACCCTTAAGTGTGAGCTTACAGAAGAATCGTTAGAAATCCTGTTGTTTTGAAAGGGGCAGAAGCGTCACGGGACAGTGCATATTTTAGAGGGTGGTAAGAGCGGGTTTCTGTGCTTTAGCGCGTTTTTTGCAAGGCCAAGGTTTTCGCGCGTTTACCTAACCCTAACCAAAACTATAAGCTTAATCTACCACTCCCTGAAATATTTGACGGTCCCGTGACCTGTGGATTTTACCTGTTTGTGTTCAGCTAATAAGAAAGTACCGGAGAAGAGACTTTAGTCGCCATTTTTAAAATCAGATTATGAGAAGGAAACTAGGGAAGATGTGGAAGCTGGAAAAATCTTTAGAAAATAAAACGGTAAGAAAATGCTAGAGATTTCTTGGGAGCCTTTTTTGTCCTGCCGTGTGAAAAAAAAGGGGGGGGGGGGGGGGGGGGATAGAGTATCAGCACACTGACTGATACCCCCTGGTGAAGATTGCAGATTGGGGAGAGGCCTGAACGCCCACGCCAGTCGGCGAGGCACTTGATGATAAAAGTGGAGCCACTCCTACGACAACTGCTAACGACTAAACATTTGCTGCTTCTGAGTACATCTGGCTTGGTAAACATTGTGTTGTGCACTGAAATACTTCTCAGCTGCCGTTGTATTTGTTTGTGGGCGAAACTGTCAAGAAAGTAGGTAGGGCAAGGGGCAACGTACGGTGAGTGAGTGGGAATCTTACCCGTTCGGTTGGAGGAGTCTTACCGGCGGATTCTTTGTTGTTGTCAGGGTGGGTGCTGGAAAAGGGTTGTCTGCGTAGAGCATGTTTCGATACTCTCGGTAAACATGGTTTGATGTCATTGCCATGTGTTTAGATACTTTTTTAAATTGACATGTTACTAGCGTAAACAGTCTGTCAATCTGTCTCTGCATGCCAGTCTCTCTAATTGTCGGGCTTGCTTCTGTCCGTACGCCCGTGCATGCATTCGTATATACCAGCGATTCCCAAACTGCGAGTTTTGTTTGTTTTGGATCTCTTGCCTACGAATAGTTCATATTTTTACTTAGGTTAGGGCGCCGTGGAAAAATTTTAATAAAAAAAAAAAAAAAAAGGCGCCGCGACGGAGAACAGTTTGGGAAACACTGGTATAGACAACAAACCTGTTGACATATATGTATATGTTGTATTCTGTGGTCACAATTAAATGACTTTGAAACGAATTATTAAATTAAATTTATTGCCGTCTTGACAAGGAAGGTCGAATTGCAGCCAGTGTCCTCTTTGGAAGGCTAAGTTTCTTCCACTGTGAGACTCTCGTACTGCTCTCCGAAAAAAAAACATCAGTCAAAAAATGAGTAAACATTTCGCCGTGGAAATTGAACTCTAGTGCTTGAGGAATAATTGCGAGTGTGTAATTAAAGTGTGAGAAGGATAACGCGAGCAGAAGAAAGAAGTAGGACTGGCCCCTGCTCCCCTTTGGGAAAAAAGGACAACATTAGTACGATCTCTCTCTCTCTCTCTCTCTCTCTCTCTCTCTCTCTCTCTCTCTCTCTCTCTCTCTCTGCCTCTCATTCTTTGATTTGTGTGTGTGTGTGTGTGTTTCCCCATTGTTTATCTATGTCTGTCTGTTTCTCTGTGTGCCTGTCACTCTTTGTTTATTTGTCTGTCTCTGCTCTATCTGTCTATCCGTTATTGTTTATGTCTATCTCTCGCTGTCTCGCCCTCTCTCTTTGTGTTGTGTTTTTTTCCTTGTTTATATATGTTTGACCGGCTCTATTTTTGTGGCTATCACTCTTTGGTAATTTCTCTGTCTTTTTTTTTCTCTCTGTCTATCCCTTATTGTTTCTCTCTCTGTCTCGTGCTATCTGGCTCTCCACCCCCCTTCCTTTGACTGTCCTTTGATTAACTGGCTTTGTCTCAGTTTACTAACCAACACTGGTGATTTGTTGCTAATTGAAGAGGAAGATTTGCAAGTTGTTATTAGTATGTATTGCCATCACAGACTGGGCGTTGGTATTAGGTGCTGCGAACCCGATTCGTAATTCCGCCTGGTCCCCGGTTCGATTCCAGCTGTAGGGGATTTGGCGGCAGACCGTTTTGCATTGATTTCGAGAGCAGTATCAAGAATCAGCTGTTGAGAAAAACCAAATAGCCAGACATTTTCTGAGGCTGGTTCTGCAAGGTCCTGTAAAGGAAAAACATTTTTTCTTTTAAACCTAAGACAATGAAGGATGTGTCCTTATGGTACATAACTACTAGGGTAGCCACGCAGTCCATTATATATATATATACTTACCAGCGTAGGACTGCAGATTACATCTAACTGGTATAGCCGTTTCGAGAAGCCCAGATTATCACCTCATTGGAGGCTGATCAGAGTGTCTGGGCTTTCCCAGAACTGAGATTTTGTTTAAACGTGTCGCGGTATCAGATCGTCATGCCCTGTTAGTTCGCTATCAGAACTAAGAGTTTACACACGCACACTAACGCACACACACACACACGCGCACACAAAGTGTCACTGTGTTAGACCAATATTTCCCTGTTGGTCTGCTATCACAATTTGGAATTGTACGCACACACGCGCGCGCGCACTCAAAGTGTCACGGTATTAGGCCAATATTGCCCTGTTGGTCTGCTATCAGAACTGGGACTTTTACACACATGCACACACACACACACACACACACACACCCACACAAAGTGTCACGGTATCAGACTTAAAGCCCTGTAGGTCTGCCATCCAGATCGAGATCTTCTGATCTGAGGGTGTCAGACTTTTCACGTACCGGCACAGAGAGGATGAAACGGCGCGCATGACGTCACATCCAAGTGTCCCGGCTAATAGGGCTGTGCGGTGAAGCTACGACAGTCATAAACCGCGGATGATGGATTCAGTATTGACAGGAGAAATATTGTTGGCACCTTTCCGTCTTTCCAGAAGATCCTGTTCCGTTGTGACATTGGGAGGCGTGGAAACCTGGCGGAAGGTTCTGGTTGTTCGTCCACTTCACGACTTTAGTCTTGCTCCGGAACCTGAGTTTTGTGTGCACAATTGTTATACAGATCTTGCATATTTGTAAGCAGGCGGTTGCACCCTCGTCTCTCAGGCAAATGCACTCCGACTTCAAAGAAGAACCCCCCCCCCCCCCCCCAACCCCCCTGTTTTGCCGACTTTTAAGACCTGTTTGTTGGGCGGGGTCCTATTCCCCCCCCCCCAACCCCCTAAGGGGACGTCTAAACCCACACTGGAAAATTGAAGGGACAAGAACCAGAACCTTGTGTTTCCCTCGACCTAAGAAAACATGAAAAGAGGTCGGGGAAGACGAGATTTGCTCTCACAGCTGTCGATGTTCTGAAATGACCCTTCCTTCGCTGTTTGCAGGCGATACCGGCAAGTTCTACTGTGGCATGAAGGTGCTGTCATGTGCTTGTTGTGATGGTCACTGCGGGCCCACCAATGGCTGCAACTGCCCAGGCTGCCAGCAGTTGGACAAGGAGGAGGAAGCCCTAGCCTTCGAGCAGCGGGCACAGCCTCCTGCCTCCCAGCCCATGTTGGAAAGCTGGACATGGGGACAACAGCCAGGTGAGATTTCCCTAGTGTTGTCTTTCTTTCTTTCTTCTTTCTTTCTTTCTTTCTTTCTTTCTTTCTTTCTTTCTTTCTTTCTTTCTTTCTTTCTTTCTTTCTTTCTTTCTTTCTTCTTTCTTTTTTCTTTCTTTCTTTTTTTCTTTCTTTCTTTCTTTCTTTCTTTTCTTTTCTTTTCTTAATTCTTTCTTTCTTTCTTTCTTTTCTTTCTTCCTTTCTTTCCTTCCTTCCTTCCTTCCTTCTTTCTTCTTTCCTTCCTTCCTTCCTTTCTTTCTTTCTTTCTTTCTTTTCTTTCTTTCTTTTCTTTTCTTTCTTTTTTTTCTTTCTTTCTTTCTTTCTTTCTTTCTTTCTTTCTTTCTTTCTTTCTTTCTTTCTTTCTTTCTTTCTTTCTTTGCTGTCTGTCTATTTTCTTTCTCTGCTATCTGTCTGTCTATCTATCCGTTTACATTTTTTTAAAGAGTAAAATTTTACTTGAAGACTATATTTTCTCATCCCCATCTTTGCATCTTTCAGAAAAAAATCAAACTGTCTGACCCCATCTTTGGGTTTTTGAGGTAGAACCCCACTGCAGCACTGTCTCACCTCCATCCCTGTGTTTTTAAATGTAACAGAACTGTTTCGCCTCTATCCCTGTGTTTTTAAATGTAACAGAACTGTCTCGCCTCTATCCCTGTGTTTTTAAATGTAACAGAACTGTCTCACCTCCATCCCTGTGTTTTTAAATGTAACAGAACTGTCTCACCTCCATCCCTGTGTTTTTAAATGTAACAGAACTGTCTCGCCTCTATCCCTGTGTTTTTAAATGTAACAGAACTGTCTCACCTCCATCCCTGTGTTTTTAAATGTAACAGAACTGTCTCACCTCCATCCCTGTGTTTTTAAATGTAACAGAACTGTCTCGCCTCTATCCCTGTGTTTTTAAATGTAACAGAACTGTCTCGCCTCCATCCCTGTGTTTTTAAATGTAACAAAACTGTCTCGCCTCCATCCCTGTGTCTTTAGATGTAATAAAAATGTTTCACCTCCATCCCTGTGTTTTTAAATGTAACAAAACTGTCTCGCCTCCATCCCTATGTCTTTAGATGTAATAAAAATGTTTCACCTCCATCCCTGTGTCTTTAGGTGTAACAAAACTATCTCACCTCCATCCCTGCATCTTTAGATGTAATAGAACTGTGTCACCTCTATTCCTATGTCTTTAAATGTAACAAAACTGTCTCACCTCCATCTGTCCCTGTATCGCTAGATGTAACAAAACTGTCTCACTTCCACCCTTGTGTCTCTCAGATGTAACCAAACTCCAGCACTGCCTCAACTCCCTCCTGCATGAACACCAGCAGCTGAGCCTGGATGTCTTCAGCAGCTCACTATCCATGACACGGCTCCAACAACGTATTGCCGTCCTGGAGCGGTACTTCACTGCTCTCTGCCGGCAGATCCAGGCTGAGAGGAGAGCACCTTCCAGAAAACGGCAGGCGAACCAAAGCAACTTGAACAAACAGAAGAGGTACTTGTATGAACTGTTTCTATATTATGCAGCACGCTATACATTAAACAAAGGTTTGAAGGTTTGAACAACGGATCAACATCATGGCACACGGTTATTAACCCATAAGTGCTCCGTTCTTTTTCTAACTCAAGTCCCAGAGACCAGGGGGATTTACTAGAAGTCCAAGTCCACACGAAAAAATCTAACCCTTACCAGGAATTGAACCTGGAACCTCTAGCACTCAAGGTGGACACCATGCTTCGAGACCATGCAGCCACCTACTCATTAAAAAAACTAAACACCAAACCTCAATCCCTGTTTGCAAAGCCACCATTTCATCTTTGTCCCTGTTCGATAAGCGCAGCAGGAGATGTCCGATGCCTGTAGTCATGAACCAGGTCGGCCCACCCTCTGAAATAGTCTTGGAGGATACTGGGCCGAAACATTTGTCGACGAAGGACCTTTTTGCTGATGGTTCATAAACTCCTGCTGTGCATGCTGATGCAGTGTTGTATTCTTATTATTATTACTGGCTACTGCAAACATCACATAATATTCTCTTTTCACTCACCGCTACTAGAAATTTGGCTCAGAGTGAGTAAATACAACAAGTTACAAGGACAGAAGGGATATAGTGATGACTTTCTTCTTGAGTCAAAATTATAATGGGTTAATTCAACAGTTACAGGACAGCCAACGGGTTAATGCTGTTCTTTTCTTCATGTTTTATAGAAAGCATGTATTATTGTTTTAATTACTTTATGCTGGAAAGGACAGAAACTGTCTGTTGTGCTTTAAATTATTATCAAGAGGTGAGAAAAATACACCGGTGTTGAATCCACTTTGAGAAAGCCAGTGAAAATTATAACTAGAACTTCTCTGCACTAGAATCCACAGGGTCAAAGGAAACAAAACAAATAGGAGAATAAAAATGGAGAAGGAAACTAGGGAACAGAGTTACAAAAAATGAGGAGGACATGATGTGAGCTGCAGGCCGTAGCAGAAGGTAGGATGGCTTGGCACAAGTAGGTTGAGGTCCTACATTCTAATGGGGGATTCAAGGCAAAGGAAGACAGGTGTTGCTCGATGTTCTCAGATGTTTTTGTTTTGGATTGTCTAGTATCACAGGACATGTTTGTCTGGTGTACAGATTGTATTGTGTAGTACCACAGACATAACTTTTTGCTGCTGTACTGCAAAACTGTTTGGTTTCATTTATTAGCACCACAGGAGATGATCTGTCTTAACTCTCTTTGATTTGTGTGGTATGTGTATACCTCTGCAAGAGACTTAGGATCTAATATGGCGGATAGGCCTGATGGCCCCTGACATTGGAAAAGTTATGTGTTTCTAGCCTCTGTTTGCTGAAGCAGTTTCCCCATTTCTGGATAGCGAGTACAAAGGTTCCATCACTCAGCTACTGAGTTGAATGCTTGGTCTAACACTGTGAGCCACCAGTCTAATGCGAAAAGTTTTTTTTTCTATTGTGCCCAGAATGGTTGTGTATTGTGATCTGCACTGAAAGTGGCGGTTCACAATGGGTTGAAACAGAGATGAAAGCAATTGCCCATGTATGAATACATACATGTCCTTAAACCACTTCTTCTCTTTCCCTGACAGCACCATGGTTAAGCCGGTAGAGAAGGCTACTGTGGGATTGGCCAGGGTTGGATCCAGAGCTGCCTTGAGTTTCGCCTTTGCCTTTTTGAGGAGAGCCTGGAGATCTGGGGAGGATTCAGATCTCTGCGGGGAGCTACTTCAGGTTGGTGTATGTCTGTTTAGTTGTGAATGGTGGTATCTGTTAGCTCTTGAACACATGTGTGCACCCACGGCCGGGCTCCAGCAATAAGGCCATCAAGCTCAAACGGGCATTCCAATTTTTTTGAGGCTGGCGTGGCTGGTCAGGACTCGCCATTGTTATCCAGTAGATTTATTTGTTTGAACTAGTTTAATTAATTTGCAACATATGTAATTGAATGAAGATAATTTAGCTTTTTCACTTATTTATCTCCAAAATGATAATTGTTTCAGTAACACATGTTGCTGTAGTTCAGTTTGTGTATAAATCTACTCGATAACAATGGTGAGCCCTGGCCAGCCATGTCAGCCTCACAAAAATGGTAATGCCTGTTTGAGTTAAATGGCCTAATCTAAAGGAGGTGGTGGTGGACCGTTAGTTGTCACTTTTTTTTCTCTTTAAATATCCATGCTAAAATGGCTTTTTTTTTTCTCCCATACCCTGAATGTTTTGGCTTTGATTTAAAATCTGTTCTTTGGGTCACACGTGCAGGTCTTTTATCGGTGGATTATTTCTGGAACTCTAGATTTTTGTGCATTGTGCAACACTTTTAGTAGGTGAACGGCAATCGGGGAAGAGAAACCAAGCCAAATGGGTTACAACCAAGTGCAGTCAATTAAATCTTTAGACTTTAAACACATTTTAAGGCTGATTGGGAATAAATGACAGTTAGACTGATAGACATGCAGCTAGGAAATGTAAATGTAGTTTGACAGATGAACATACAATTAGAAAATAGACGTACAGTTAGACTAATAGGATATGTATAGTTAGAATGAATTGAATGAATCAAGAATTGGAATTATTGCACTCAGGACATTCTATCCTTTTATTCAGTAGCCAGTGAAGAGTTGACATGCTAATGATACCAGTTTAAACCTGCCTGTGTTTAGTTAGATGGGCATACAGTTAGACATGTAGGCATACTTTTAGATAAATAGACACATTTAGTTAGATAGACATACAGACATACAGCAGGACAGACAGGCATCTGTTAAACAGATAGGCATACTTTTAGATCACTAGACGTACATTTAGGGAGATAGACCAACAGCTAGAAGATAGACATACAACAAGACAGATAGGTATACATTTAGACAGACACACAGTTAGATAAATAGAAATACATATAGGGATAAAGGCATATAACATGACAGAAAGGCATGCAGCTGGACAGATAGACATACAGTTGACAGGCATACTTTTAGATAAATAGACATACATTTAGGGAGATGGCTAGGTACTTAATTTATAACTTACCCCTGACGTCACGACAACGTCACGGGAGACATCCCCAATAAATTCTAGGGTGTTCAGGTTGTATTTTCTCGCGATTTATCTACAGCCAAGTTTAGGGTTAGGGTTAGGGTTAGCATTAGAAGAGACTAGATGAACACTCAAAAAAAGCACCACACAACAGCACACTTCCACTCCTTGAAATAATGGACTGTCAGGTCAGCTATGGATTTCCCACGGGGATTTTGTGTTTGGGGTACGTTATAAATTAAGAACAGATGGCTATATAACAAGACAGGTAGCATACTGTAAGACACACAGGCATACAGTTAGACAGACAGGCATACAACTATACAGATAGGCACACAGTTAGACAGACGCTGTTAGATAAATAGACATACATTTGGGGAGACAGACATAAACAAGTCAGACAGGCATGTCAAGAAAAGTATAAGACGGGTGTGTAATGTCTCTAGATAAATTCATTTCAGTATTTAGGGAAAATAGTCAGAAATTCAACAGATGTGAGGGGAATTGCCATAATACAAGGCAAAATATCAAATGTATATCATGTTAGCCTTATCACAGACTAATGATCTTGTACCTCAGAACATGGCAATGTATGAACGCTTTTACTTATTGCTATAGCGGCACTACACACCATGGACAATCGGACAGATATGAACTTATTCAGAGGCTTACAGTTTATCAGCCATGTGGTCATTGTCAACAAGTGATGGACAGACAATGTAATGGACACCAGTTTGACTAGTAGTTTATCTGTTGTTCTATCTTCAGGAGTCCCTTGATGCCCTGCGGTCACTCCCAGAGGCCACCTTGTTTGAGGAAGGGGCAGTGTCCTCACTGTGGTTAGAGGTGGTGGAGAGAGCTACAAAGTTCCTGCATTTTGTAGTCGCCGGGTATGTGTTTGGTTGTCTATCAAATTTGTGTTTTTTAAGTGATTGCATGAATAGTTAGTTTCCTTCCTTCCCTTTTTCATTGGTTATGTGATCACCTGAATACATTTGTGTTTCCTTCCTTCACTGACTGTTGAAGTTGAGGACAAAGCAGTTATGGGAATGTACCAAGTGCTGCGATGTAAGTTTTTAAACTCCTCCCATCACTGCCTTTAGCTTAGTGATCACCTAAATATATTTCCTGTTCTTCATTCCTTTGTTTTTCTTTTTCCCCCCATACCTCTTACCCTCACACAGTCTATTCTTACTTCTGCCCTCCTCTTTTCTTTCTTCTTTGTTTTATTTCACATTTATGTATATTTTATTCCTTGCTCCTTCCTTCAAATATTTCATTCCTCTCTCTTTTCCTTACTTTCCCTTTCCAAATTCATTCTTTCATAGATAATAAGATACATCTGCAAAAAAAGGGAAGGGATTGAAAAAGAAAGGAAGTGAGAGAGTACACACATATAGTTTGCTTTGTGTGAGATGAAGCAGTTTCTGACAGGTAAGAGTCTTTACTAGCCACTGTGCCACCATGCCTCCCATGATGGGCTGGATTTTGCAGCTATATTCTTATGTGTAATGAAATGACCAGTTCCCTGACCAGTTCCCTGCCAAGCCTCCTGAGATACTGTTTATGACAAGATTGATAGATTCTAGTGTTACTGTTCTTTGACACACAGACAGCTGTAAAATTGCTTGCTTGTGGAAGTTATCATTCATGTGCCAAGACTCCTGAGATGTCTGTTATGACACGCTTGATAGACTGTAGTGTTTTTATCATCCTTTGCATTCCTTATGAGGTTCAGTGACACACAGACAGCAGTGAAATTGCTTGTTTATGGAAATAACCATTCTCTACCCCTGTGTTTCTCATTTGATGATCCTCGTTACAGATTTAAGGAGTCCATGATTTCATATACAAAAAATTTTGAACTCTAGAATGCCTACCTGTTATTGATTCTGATATTTATAGATTATAATTTCTTGAATATGATTATTAAAAGGTCTGGAGTCCATAGAAGACTTTAAAAAAATAAGAGGGTCTGTAGGTCCCAGCTAATTGAGAACCACTGCTCTACTCTCTTTCTCCATACAGTGATCTGAATGGTGGCGCAGGTGGTGGGCATGGAGCCTCCTCCAAAATCCCAGTCCAAGACCAGCAGATAGCCTTGTGCCTGATCCTGGAGCTGGCTGTACAGAAGGGGGCACTGAGCAGTGTGCTGCAGGCAGTGCTGCTGCTGCTCAATCTCTGGAACAACAGCCACCATGACTACGACAACCGGGTCAGCAGCAGCCTTGTCTCGGCACCCCTGATCCCTTTGTTGAAGAGGTTTGAAGGCATCCAGAATTCAAAATCTAAAGTTGCTCACAGCATGAAATGGGATGAGGTATTTTTTTGGGTGTTGTGTTATTGTGTTGTGTTGTCTATTGTAATTCATTGTCTTTTTAAAATCTCTTTGCAATGTATTTTTTGTCTTTACCTTAACGGTGTGAGATACACAGACCCCCAGTGACACAGTGACCCAGATACGCAAACCTCAGATACCCAAATTCTTAGATGCATAAACCTCAGATAGATAAACATGTCCCAGATTTAAAAAAAAAAAAAAAAAAAAAATTTATGCACAAACTCCCAGATGCAGAGACGGCAAAAAAACAGACCCTAGATACACAGATCCCAGATTCACAGACCCTAGATACGTAGGTCCCAGATGCATAGACTCCAGATACACAGATCCCAGATGCGTAGACCTCAGATACACAGATCCCAGATGCATAGACCTCAGCTACATATATCCCAGATGCCTGGTCCCTGAATTATGAAGAGACCCAGCACTGGGGTAAAAGAGAGCATGTATAGAACAGAGAAACATGGATCTATCAGTGCATGGATATATCAGTCAGGACGTACATGAAGTTAAAGAAAACAGTAAAAAGACAGACAGCCATGGAAGGGAATGGTCAAGGAGTTTTTCACAAACCAAAGTGTTTAAATACTTAAGGGTGATGATTTTGATGATCAGAGGATGATGGTGACTGGTGGTGGAAATAATGATGGTTGATGATGTGGCCCTTGTGAACAAGCATTAGATTCCTGTGTAACTCAGCCATTTACTGGTGATCTCTTCCTGCGCCCAGCATGTGGTTAGTCCTACAGAATGCTTCCTTCAACATTTGACCTACCCAGAAGATGAAGAGGCCGCTGTGGACCTCCGCCAGAGCGCTGTCTTCATCATGTCTCACCTGGACAGACTTGCTGCTCCATACCTGCCTGTTAGCTCAGCCCAAAAGGTAATGAGGGTGCCAGTGAGGTTACTCATATATAAGTGGTTAGATCTGTAGACTTTGTTGTTTTACTTATGAGTGCATTATTGCATTTTCCCCACTATCCTGTTCAGCCCCACTAAATAATGAATGGGATATATATTGCTTGGTCATTGGTGACTGGGGTCGCCCATTGACTGGTCAGTAGACAACTTCGTCATCGGCCAGGACAGTATTTGGGTCTGTCTCTCTTGAACTCATTAGTACTGCAAGAGTCCTTTTCAGGGCTGCTTGGTGGCTAGCAATGTTAATCCATTTTCTGTAGCGCACATAAACCTAGTCATAACCAGAAGCTCTCCTCTTTGGGGATGCTGGTTGAATGTGACAATTTGTTTCTGGCAAAACCAGTCATATTGCTTGGTTTTGTTATTTCAGATAATTTCCCTGGATCCCGGTTGTGGTAGGAAAGGAATATAATCACTGCCCCTAAACAAGTGTGTTGTTAAAGCAGCTAACAAAGCTTTGCTGAAATCAGATGTACTGGGCTGAAAGTCCCAACTGTATACTTTCTGTCCACTGTGTGGGAGAAAGTGTAACAGCTAAACATTGGCATAAGCAAATAACTTGCCAAAACTAAAAGTCAACCTGACTATTTACCATATTGGGCCAGAAGTACAGATTAGCAAGTAATTATGTAGAAGTGCAGAGATGTGGTTTTTGTATCCGAATGGTAAGAACCCTTGAAACATATAGCATTGATAATGAAGATGCTTAGAATGAATTTAGCTTACAAAGTTATTGATATCAGAAGAGAACAATCCAGTCTTTGGGCATATCATGGATGGAGGAAAACTGGAGTACATTGTCACAATGGGAAAGTTGGATGGGAAAGAGAGGTATAGTTAGTATATTGTCAGCTGATTATTCTTATCTGTTTGTTGAGACTGTGACATTGTTAATATATTGTCAGCTGATCATTCTTAGCTGTTGATTAAAGCAGTAACATTGTTAGTATATTGTAAGCTGATCTTTCTATCTGTTTGTTGTTAGTAGGTAGTCAGTATATAGTGAGCTAATCATTTGTATCTGTTTGTTGCTAGTAGGTAGTCATTAGTATATAGTTAGCTAATCATTCTTATCTGTTTGTTGCTAGTAACTAGTCATTGGTATTTAGTGAGCTAATCATTCTTATTTGTTTGTTGCTAGTAAGTAGTCATTAGTTTATAGTTAGCTTATCATTCTTATCTGTTTGTTGCTAGTAAGTAGTCATTGATATTTAGTGAGCTTATCATTCTTATCTGTTTGTTGCTAGTAAGTAGTTATTAGTTTATAGTGAGCTTATCATTCTTATCTGTTTGTTGCTAGTAAGTAGTCATTAGTATTTAGTGAGCTAATCATTCTTATCTGTTTGTTGCTAGTAAGTAGTCATTATTATTTAGTGAGCTAATCATTCTTATCTGTTTGTTGCTAGTATGTAATCATTAGTTTATAGTGAGCTTATCATTCTTATCTGTTTGTTGCTAGTAAGTAGTCATTAGCATTTAGTAAGCTAATCATTCTTATCTGTTTGTTGCTAGTAAGTAGTCATTAGTATTTAGTGAGCTAATCATTCTTATCTGTTTGTTGCTAGTAAGTAGTTTTTAGTTTATAGTGAGCTAATCATTCTTATCTGTTTGTTGCTAGTATGTAATCATTAGTTTATAGTGAGCTTATCATTCTTATCTGTTTGTTGCTAGTAAGTAGTCATTAGCATTTAGTAAGCTAATCATTCTTATCTGTTTGTTGCTAGTAAGTAGTCATTAGTATTTAGTGAGCTAATCATTCTTATCTGTTTGTTGCTAGTAAGTAGTTTTTAGTTTATAGTGAGCTTATCATTCTTATCTGTTTGTTGCTAGTAAGTAGTCATTAGTATTTAGTGAGCTAATCATTCTTATCTGTTTGTTGCTAGTAAGTAGTCATTATTATTTAGTGAGCTAATCATTCTTATCTGTTTGTTGCTAGTATGTAATCATTAGTTTATAGTGAGCTTATCATTCTTATCTGTTTGGTGCTAGTAAGTAGTCATTAGCATTTAGTGAGCTAATCATTCTTATCTGTTTGTTGCTAGTAAGTAGTCATTAGTATTTAGTGAGCTAATCATTCTTATCTGTTTGTTGCTAGTAAGTAGTCATTAGTTTCTTATCTGTCGAACACAGTCTCAGTGTCAGGCAGTCACCCAGGAGATTGTCGGCATGGGATGGCTGTCCTGGGCCAACAGCAGCAGCAGTGGCAGTGGGCCTCATGTGCTAGAGGTCTTCAATGACCTTGGTGGAGTCCAGCAGATTGTCTGTGCTGAAAGATGCCTCCTGGCTCTGACTCGAACTGGCCGAGTTTATGTCATGTACTACAGCTCAGATACCCAGGTGAGTCTCTAACTGGGCATATGCCTTTAGCTTTGAGTTGAGTCGAGTTAAAAACTGATATCGTAGCACCTGGGACATTCCCATAAGTGCTGGGTCCCAATCTTCAGCAGCTAGTGTTGAGTTACTATATTGAGGCTAACTGTAGTAGTCTGATTGTGGCCTTCTTGCCTTTGCTGAGTGTGTTGAGTGTTGGCTAGATCTCCTGGCCATTCCCAGTCGCACCATTCTTTTCAGACCCTGATGATCTGTTTGTGCTTCTGCACTGTTCACTCACTGCCAAAGGGTCTAGATAACATCCAGCGTTTCATGCATCAGTTTAAATGCAGGTTATTTAGTTTTGAAATTATTGATTTCATAATATGCAAGAAAATGATCTATCTCTAGGCTACCAGTGTTAGACATCTACTACTGCTGCAATTAATGTGCAGAATATGAGAACAGCAGAGTTGGGAGTGCTAAAGGGGTATTTAAAAAAGTGTTACAATTTAATATAGAAGATTGGGGACTGAAACCAGTCATACAATACATTAAAGAGCAACAGATGAGATGGTTTGATCATCTGATGATCACGCCCTGTTACCAGTTGCTAAAAGGAACCATGCTGAAGAAATATAATAAATACAGAGCATAGGGAAGACTGTGTAGAAAATGGAACAACAGCATCAAGAACAACCTTACAGAAATGATGACCAACTTATACATTGCATTAGAAAGAGCACACAACGCTTCCTTTGCTGAGCTAGCTAATAGAAGAGGAGGGGGGAAATGAGTTAAAACAAACGTCAATAGAAGTCATAAGTTCTAACTCTTGAGTCCTCTGTTCATATATTATTTTAATTTCCCATAAAGTGAATCTGTATTTTAATTGCTCATAAAATGAGTGTATTTTAACTGTTCGTAAAAGTGAATCTTTATTTAAATTGTCTGAACAAATAGCTTGTATCATCTGTTACAGGTCAAAGAAGGTGGCAGTATTTTGAGCATATCATAAGGAGAAACTGTTGAGAATCACCAAACAGGCACTGGAATAGGAAAAAAATGGATTTTAGAAATGAGGACATCTAGGAGATACCCTGAGGCAAACTGTCGAGCGTATTACACAGTATAGAACGGAAGATTGAACAACAGATCAGCATCATGGCACATGGGTAGTAACCCATAAGAGCTCCGCTCTTTCTTCTACCTCAAGTCTGCGTCTGAAGACCAACAGTGAACATACTCTGTAGCACCGGCGAGGATCCTAAAATACTCTGGGTAGATTTTTAACTCTAAATTTTGCCCATGCAGCGCCGCCAGGCTACTCTTTTTGATTTCCAACTGCCAAGGGATTATTTTTAACGTGTGCAGCAATACACACAGGCGTCTGATCTCATTATCCAAAGACCGGTGGAAATACTAGAAGTCCACATGAAAAAATCCCAGCCCTCACTGGGGATTGAACCTGGAACCTCTAGCACTCGAGGCGGACACCATGCCTCGAGACCAGTCAGCCCCCTTAGTATAGAACGGAAAGGACTGGAAGCCCTATGGGACATATAACAGCACAGCAGGATGATGACTATGTTGATGGCGACAATTCAGTGCATCTTTATTTTCCTTGTTCATAAATTTAATCTTACTGTCACTGTTTTCTTTTAATTTTTTAATTACACCTTAATTTTGCTTGTTTTCATTGGGTGCAGTCACCTCAGTTGGTGAATGGCTTCGGTGAGAAGGAAATAGTTAGACTGGCAGCCCATGCTGATGGCAAACATTATCTGGCACTGACGAGTGAAGGAGATGTGTACTCATGGGGGAATGGAGACGGAGGCCGACTGGGGCATGGAGACAGCATGTGAGTAGTTTAGGACATTCTACATTTGTGTTCTATCATTTGGATTTATCTGTAAATGCAGAGGAGCAACTGGTCGAATAGTTAAGAATATTGGTCTCTCATTCAGCAGACACAGGTTTGAATCCTCTGTAAGGTGCGGTTGCCACAGATTGTGACAACTGCACTAGATGTGCAGTCCTAAATCTCCCTGTGTGGGTTCCGGGGACCCGTTGTTAGGGAAGAAAAAAGGAATAGGCCCACTGCCTTCCTAACAAGCATGTATTAAGAGTCAATGATTGGCGATTTCCTTTAGAGTTATAGTGCATCTGCCTGAGAGGGAAGGAGGCAACAGTCTACATACACATAAGCCAGGTCTGTCAAATGGATGTACACTCAAAACTCACATTCTGGAACAAGTCCAGAAAATGCGTGCCTTACTATCTTAAATCCTTAACCTGGAGACCCCTGCCTCCACCCTACACCACCCTAAAAAGTGGTAAATACAGGCAGAAAAGACACACCCCACCACCATATATGTAGTCAAACACAGAAGACAAACAATAGATTCCACAATTTATTGCCTGGCATATTTCGCTGTATTTCGTAAGGTGCATACTACAGGAACAATTACATAAATGAGGCTAATAAGTGAATCCTTTATAACTGAAGTAAAAATTCAACAACAATCAACCCCAACTCCCTATTTTACCAGGGCAGTCGCAGTGTCAGAATCATGTCTTCTTGTTTACAGAGTTTAAAGCAGAGGTAATGAATCGTGCAACTTCAAGAAATCTTAGCGTTCTGCCATTAGCGGACTTGTAAAGGATTTGAAATGCATTGTCCTTGGTAACAGTGTGTTCAGATTTTCAATTGTTATGTAGTGGGCACCTGTCAATATACAGCTAAATATGACAGGCAGTAAATTGTACCCTAAGGTACCCCACCCCACCCCACCCACACCCTTCCCAACCCACCCCCCCAAAAAAAAACCACACAAAAATCTGCCTAGTGTGGAACCCAGTATCTTCAGGGTCAGCAAGTGAGTGTCACGCCACAACACTGCCCAGGCAGTTTTATGTTCATTTCTTCTCAGAACATGGCAAATCTTAATCATGTAAAGTCTTTGCTCTGTCAGAATTTTTCAAAATCAAAGTAAATGCCTATTTGACATTTTGGTTTGTTTTTGTTTTGCATCTCTTTAGCTCACGAGATGAGCCCACCCTCATCACAGCCCTCTCAGGAAAGCACATCATTCAGATTTGTGCCGGAAGCACCTACAGTGCGGCCATCTCAGCCAGCGGGGAGCTGTACACCTGGGGGCGAGGCAACTATGGGCGGCTGGGGCATGGCTCCAGCGAGGATCAGTGCTACCCCAGCCTGGTGTCAGCCCTGAAAGGTCACAGGATTGTTGATGTGGCTTGTGGCAGCGGGGACGCTCAGACTTTAGCAGTAACAGATACAGGTGACGTGGGCTGTCTGTGTTTATGTTTGTAGTTGTATGGTTCCTCTGTGTCTGTTGTGTGGTAGCTTCTGTCATCTCGCCGATACAGTGTTGTAGCCCAGCTTCAGGGTTTTCTGTATTTGTCTTGTGCTTCTCGGGTGGCATGGGTGGTGGATTTCTTCATATTTTTTGCAGGTTTTCGCGTTATCATTTATCCATCTCTTCCTTGGTCTTCCCCTCGTCATCCTCCCAGATGTTCTGCTGTATACAAAAATCTTATATGCAGTTTGGTCTGGCTGCATTCTCTCTAGATGGCCGAAACATTTCATTCTTTGTCTGTCATTATAATTAAGACAGTCTTATTCCAGCCGTAATTGTATGTGGTATTTGTATTTAATTTTTCTGATTGTATATTTTTCAAATGTTTAGTTGTGTTTGAGGGGTGGCTGGCTGAACATGGGCTCTCATGCAGTAGACCCGTTTCAAATCCTATTTAAGGTTAGGGGATTTTTTCTGTCGAGGAAAAAAACAAAATCCTAACCTGCACAGTCCATGGCAACTGAACTGGCCATCAGGCTAAAAAAAATTTCACCAACCTACATCACATAGAAAAACTTATAAATGCGGGCATTAATGATAATTGTTAATGACTGTTATTTATAAATGCATATTGGCTTGATTTATTCTTGCATGTTAAATTCATTTATAGTTGTACAGTGTTCTATTTGTAACAGAAAATATAGTTTTATTCTTCATTCTTACTGATGTTGATGCCTCTTTGTATGTTGACAGGAGCTGTTTATTCCTGGGGAGATGGAGACTATGGGAAACTTGGCCGAGGGGGAAGTGATGGATGCAAAGTTCCCAAGCTGATAGAGAAACTGATGGGCCAGGATGTAGTGAAGGTTTTCTGTGGAGCTCAATTTAGCCTGGCCCTCACAAAATCTGGCACTGTCTTCTCCTGGTAAGTTGTGTGGTTGAAATGAATTGAGATGCTTTTCTCGTTGTGGGGAATATTTTTGATGGTTTGTTTTTGTATTGAATCACTTGATTAATGATCTCACTGATTTTGGTAATCTCTTCTTGTTCTTCTTAAAGTGGATGCTGTTTGTCCTTGGTAGTCATGTCTATCCACAATCTTCTGTCTCATGTCATGCCAGTTTTCTCCTTTTCATGAAATCACAAAAGGAGGTAGATTGTCTTCTTCTGGCGTAGGCAATTTCCTGGAAAATCTTAGGACATACTGATTTTTAATTTTTAAATCTTTCTGTCCAGGGGCAAGGGGGATAACTTTCGACTGGGCCATGGCTGCGAGGAGCACATTCGCCACCCCAAACAGATGGAAGGCTTGAGTGGCAAGAAAGTGCGCAGCCTGGCTATCGGATCCATGCATTGTTTGGCTGTGCTGGAGGAGGGTGAGGTCTACTGTTGGGGCAAGAATGACCAGGGTCAGCTCGGGGATGAGAGCCATGCCAACATTACAGAGCCTATCATGGTTCCAGGCCTGGAGGGGAAGCACATCGTTGGTGCAGCATGCGGGCCATCACAGGTGAGGGGTTTCTTGGAATTTGTTGGTTTAGAAGATGTCGGTTTGGAATGTAGAGGCTTGGGATATGAGGGTTTGGAATGTATAGTCTTGGGATATGTGGGTTTGGAAGATGTGTGTTTGAAATATGTGGGTTTGGAATATGTGCATTTGGAATATTTGGGCTAGGATGTGTGGTTTTGAAAATGTGGGTTTTGGAGTAGGTTTGGAGTATGAAGGTGTGGAATTTGTGAGTTTTGGAATGGCTGGGTTGTTACAGGTCAGGTCAGTTCAGATGCTTTATAAAGTGGACCCTAACAGGTTGACCACATCACACGTTGAGTGCCAGTTGGTCCCTAATATATGGGTCTAGCACTGTGTGTCTGATTTCACCACTGGCAGGCAGGTGGGTCCTTGTATATGGTTATACAGACATGTAAGGGGCCTTTAGATTTATTACATGTATATCTATATAAATATATATATATATATATATATATATATATATATATATATATATATATATATATATATATATATATTTATATATTCAAAAAAATTATTTTATCATTTTTGTTTTTTATTATTATATTTGTTGATAAATTTTATTATTATATATTTTAATCATTAACCACCTTGCGACTGGCATTGGTGATCATGCCTCACCATAATCTGCGATCCGTAACTGCATGTATCAGTTTGTGTATTGACACCCCTCCATGCCATGACAAAAAGCTGTCAAGAATCTTCTAGGGTAAAGCCACATCTATGAAGTCTCAAGATTTTGTTCAGCTTGTTTATTAATTATCCAGGATTCACAGCCATATGTTAAAACTGGCTCTATATAGCATGCGAGAATTCTTTTCCTAACCTCCAATGACATGGATTTATGCACAACATTTTCTTCATTTATATTTGTGTGTTTGTATAAATATTGTATTATAATAATATTATTATATTATAATATAATTATTTTTTTATATTAAAATATTGGTTACATTTTCCATGTAAGTAATTAAGACTTTTTTTTTACATGGACAGTCACCTAAATCCTTTAGTAAATATACTTGTGTTTATTTTTGTTTCACTGCCATAAATTTGCATACTTTTTTCTTTTTCTTCTGTATTCATCTTTAAAATGGTAGTGGGCACATTAATTGTGGTTTACAGCTAGGCTATGATGTCTGCATCTTTCAGTCCACAATATTCCATCTTTGGTGTTAATGGGCAGAGGATCTTTTATTTTTACTATTGTTGTTGTTTGATTTGTTGTTGTTTGTTTAAACTCAAAATTATGACGCTGGAACCCGTGTGGTGTTTAATTGTATCGGTCTAGTCATGTCCATTTGCAGTGACCATATTGTTTTAATCATCATAATAACTTGTTTCTTTGTCTTCCAGAGCTTCTTTTGGTCATCCAGTGACCAATGGAGCGTGGGTTCTAGAAGCCCTTTTATCATCGACATCAACAAGACCACCTTTGAACATATTGATGAACTTCTGTGTGAAGTCTACGAGGGCATGGATGGCCGAAGTGACTGGCCGCCCTCCCAAGACAAGGAGTGTATTGCTGTGTCATGTCTCAACTTGCTAAATTTGCAGGTTGGTGCATCTCTTTTATTAGGGTTACCTTTGTGATATGTTCAAGCTATTTTTCTTTTGCACAGAAATGTAAAGTCGAGGGGATAAACTTCATTGCCTGAGGTTATCCAATCTGGCATGGAATTTTTCCACAGAATGGCTAGCTGCCTGCCTGGAACATCATAGAAAGGGTGAACTCTATAGCTCCAGATACCAACCTCAGGAGACTCAGTTGCACTTGTGGATGAAGAATTTTCCATCTGATGAACCCATTTCTTCTAGAGTGCGAAGCAGATGGCTCGACCAATTCACCACAGAAGACCCACCTAAAGCTCTAAAGGTTTTGGATTCACTGTCAGACCTCATCACTCGGGTCATGATCACATTTAAGAGATTCCTGGGGCGCATCGCTAGAGCTACAAGTTGTGCTGTCTGCAGTTCTGTATGCAGGCGAACGGCCACCATGTGGAAAGAAACTCAGCCATATGGGATTTTTTTAAAAAGTGGTACACTGATGTTAATCTGTCGTAATAAAGTTTTTTTTTTAATATACCAGATTTGTTGTTGTTGCAAAAAGTCAGATGAGTTGCATGTAAGTATTGCTGTTATGGCAAAGCCTGACAAAGCTTTAACATAGTATATGTGCAGGACAGGGAAGGAAAGGCAACAAATAAACCCCACAGATATTTTTGTGGATGTTGCTCCCCTTTTTTTCTTTCTGACCTTTTTCTTTTCTGCATTTTTTATCTTTTTGTTGTCTGCCTTTCTCCTTTTCTTTGATTAGTTCTTCTTTCCATCCTTTACCTCCTATTAAGGCTCCAAGGAATGAGGATAGGATTTGAAGATCTTGCTGCTAGATGTGATGCCTCACATTAACCCTTGATAAGTAAACCTACTGATACTTCTTGTGTGTGTTGCCTCCTCAGCTGCATGCAGCCATTTGCCAGTCAGAGGATGCAGAGCACCTAGGCCTGCAGCAAGGGAGTGCACTCTTGGAGAGTCTGAAGCAGAGAGTGGTTGCCCTTGCTAGCAACAGTGGAGTCATCAGCACTGTCCAGAGGGCAGCACAGGCCACGCTGCAGAGTGGCTGGTCCATCCTGCTGCCCACACCTGAAGAGAGAGCCAGAGCTTTGTCTTCTTTGTTGTCTTCTGGAGGTTAGTGTCTGTAATGTTCTGCAAAGGACTTGCTGTCTGATGATATCGATAGATCCTTTGTTGTCGGCGTGTCTTCTGAAGGTTAGTGTCTGTAATGTTGTATATCTGATGGTAGATCCTTTGTTGTCTTCTGGAGGTTAGTATCTTTGAAGTTTTCATCTGATGGTAGAGATAGATCCATTGATGTCTCCTGACAGTTATTGTATGCGATGTTCGGTATCTGCTGATAGAGGCAGATCTGTTGTCTTCTGAAGGTTAATGTCTGTAATGTTCTGTGTAGGACTTGCTATACGATGGTAGAGGTAGATCATCTGTTGTCTTCTGGAGGTTAACATCTGTGTTGTTCTGTATCTGATGGTAGAGGTAGATCATCTGTTGTCTTCTGGAGGTTAACATCTGTGTTGTTCTGTATCTGATGGTAGAGGTAGATCATCTGTTGTCTTCTGGAGGTTAACATCTGTGTTGTTCTGTATCTGATGGTAGAGGTAGATCATCTGTTGTCTTCTGGAGGTTAACATCTGTGTTGTTCTGTATCTGATGGTAGAGGTAGATCATCTGTTGTCTTCTGGAGGTTAACATCTGTGTTGTTCTGTATCTGATGGTAGAGGTAGATCATCTGTTGTCTTCTGGAGGTTAACATCTGTGTTGTTCTGTATCTGATGGTAGAGGTAGATCATCTGTTGTCTTCTGGAGGTTAGAATTTTTGATATTATCTGTCTGATGGTAGAGGAAGATCCTTTGTTGTCTTCTGGAAGTTATTGCCCGTGATATTCTGTATAGGACTTGCTATTTGAGGGTAGAGATAGAATCTTTTTCGTCTTCTGAAAGTTATTGTCTGTGAAGTTCTGCAAAGGACTTGCTATCTGATGGTGGAGATAGATCCTTTGTTGTCTTCTGGAGGTTAGTGTCAGTGATGTTCTGTATCTGAAGGCAGAGATAGATCCTTTGTTTGCCTTCTTTGTTATTATATCACAACTTTAATAATTATCACTGTCATTTTCCTAACTACAGTTTTCATCATCTTAAATGTCACACTTTGTCATTAGGTCAACATCTTTATAATAATTATCAGCATCATTAGTTTATCATTGTCCTCCTTCTGAAAAGGTGGTTGAGGGGGGAGGGGGGGGGGGGATGAAGGTTGGGTGTTCATTTCATTGACTGTGTCATTGTGTTCATGGGTGCAGATTTTCAGGGAAATCATTGAGGATTCTTGTTGCTAGATCTAGGTGGCTAGCTGTTCTGCAGAGAGAAAAAGAGAGACTGAGCCATATGGGCTAAAACCCCGTGAGGGGAAGTCAATTCTCTCTCAGCTGTGACTTTATTCTTATCACCATCGTTGCAATCGTCATAATGAATTTATTATCATTTAGGGACAAATAGCACCATTTGATAAACATACATGATTTCCACCATCAGACAGTCAAGTCAAGACAAAATCCTGTGTGCTGTAAAACAGTGTCCCTATGTTACCAGGTCATAACAATAATAAATGGATGACCATCATACGTCATGATTTAAGGGCATCATTTTGCCAGTTCTTCTTTATGGAGCAGAATGCTGGAGAATGACCAAAAAGGATGTACACAAGCTGTCCATCTTCCACCACACATATCTACGTAGAATTATCAAAATTGTCTGGCCAGATACAATGTCAAACACTAAACTACTTCAAGTCACAAACCAAGAAACTCTAGACAGTATGATAACCAAGAGAAGATGGAAATGGCTTGGCCACGTTATGAAAATGAATTCTGATATACCTGCCAAAACAGCTCTCACATGGATACCAAAGGGAAAGAGAAAAAAGGGGCGCCCAAAAACAACATGGGTACGAACAATGGAAAGTGACCTGAGTGTGGCATCTTTGACATGGAAAACTGCATTGAGGATTGCACAGGACAATAAAGCATGGAAAGTCTTCTCTGAAGCCTCATGTGCCACTAGACATAACGAGAACTGATGATGATACATCATGATTTAGTGAAAATCAACAGCACCATATATGGTGTGTGTATGAGGTTTTGTAGACAGTCACAAAGTAATCTGTGCTCTAATCTGGAAGAAATCTTTCATTGTCTGGTGAGACAAGAAAGAGAATTCTTAAAAGCTGTATAAATCCTATCCTTATATATGGAAGGGAATCATGGACAGTTGGTAGGTTAGTAAAACAATTACTTGTCAGCTGTTGAGATGTTTTATAAACGAATGATGAGAAAGCCTAAGACAGATTGAAAGAATAGTGAAGATGTATTGAAAGAAACTGACTCACAAAAGAACTGATTTGCCACATCAGAAGGAGACACAAAAGAACTGATTTGCCACGTCAGAAGGAGACAATCTACATTCTTTGGACATGATCTAAGAAGTAGAAAACTGGGGTACTTATGACTGAGAAAATTTGAGGGGAAGAGAGGCAGGAGGTGGCAGAGAGAAGACTCTGGACAGTTTGAAATCATGACATCACAGATCATCTGCATCAGAATATATTGGAAGGACATGAGACAGAAGATTGTGGGTGGATAGATATGACTGCCAACAATACACACATGGACTATAAAGAAGAATCTTGAAGAATGAATGAACACATTTTAGTTTCATAGGGTTAAGAATTAGTCACGCAGGTCTTTCTAATATTCTGCCATTCTGGCCTCATTCCTTTCCTGTATTATGTCATTCGGTGTCAGCAGGTTATGACATAGCCATACATCAGTATACATTTATTGAATAAATAGCATAATATATGATACGTGAAAGAGATTCTGTAGACATTTAGTATATCATCCAGTGCTCCTAAACATGTCAGCAGGACGGGACATGGCTGTGATGTCCACTGGTCAGAGGTTCATGACAGATCTTCTGGTCAGCTCTCTCATGGCAGATGGAGGCCTGGAGACAGCTCTGCACCTGGCCATCAAAGCTGAGGTCAAAGGGTTGGATGATTCAAAGGTAATGGTTTATTCTTTTGAAATCATCTACTTGCATGTGCAGTTATAGTGGCTGGAGGGCAGCTTTTGTTCACGGGAGTAATAGTGGACCTTGCGTTTGATTTCCCCCTTCCCCCACCTGAAATGGCAATTAAAGCAGTTGGGAACAATATGAGGGAACGGGGATGTTCCTACCTGTATAGCATTGTAGGTTCCACCTGGCTTCTGTAGCCATTAGGGGTACCCTAATTATAACTTCTTGTTGACTTTTCCATGGTAAGCTGAAAATGATTAATGCTATAATCAAATCAGGAAAAGAAAAAAAACCGAACGAAAAGTATATATCAAATCAGAACTGTTGTGTGAAACAGAAAAGACAATGAAGTTCATACCAGAAACATCATTGTAGATATTGATAATTTATTTCAAGCAAATGAAAGAAGAAGAAGAAGTACTGTTATGTGGAATGGAAACATGGAGAACGACAAAGGCAGTTACTAATAAACTTCAAACTTCTGTGCAGAAGAGACGGAGTTAAATGGTATGATAGAATAGAATCACCAATGTTGGAGAACTTAAACAAGTTCCAGTGGACCCAGAGGTGAAGAAAACACACTGGTGTTAGAACAGACACTGAGAAAACCTGAGAACAATACAACGAGAAAATGTTTGCACTGGAACCCACAGGGGCAAAAAAATAAAGGGGGCAAAAAAATCGCACGTGGAGAAAGGAGCTGAAGAGTAAAATTAAAAAGATAAGAGAGGACAGGGGGAAAAGCTGCGTTCAATAGCAAAGGATACAACGACTTGGCGTAAGTTGGTTGAGGGCCTATGCTCTATTTGGTGATAGAAGCAAAAAGAATAATTATAACTTCTTGAGAAGTTGAAGAGAGTATCTGAGTTAGTCTGTCATCCAGGTCTAAATCTCAGGATAGTTTGCTAAACCTTAAGGTAGAAACCTAGAGAGGACAAACTCATCAAATGAGGGAAAGTGGAAACAAAGAAAGAAACGTTGAAAATGTTATTAAATGTGACTACAACCTCTGGATTGATAAAAGTGATAACCTCTATGCTTATATTGATAGTTATTGTTGAGATGTAATAATTACAACTGCTAATATGTTCCTAGAACCTAAAAGGAAAATAAAGAACAACAGTAATGTGTGTTGTGAAAAGTGTCTGAGGAGAGTTGGTGTAAAGCTAGCTCTCTCTTTCTCTGTCTCTCAAAATTTTTGTGTGTGTGTCTGTCTTCTCTCATATTCTTTCTTACTCTCATTTTCTCACTGTCTGCCATGTTCATTCTCTCTATATTCTCTGTCTGTCTGTCTGTCTGTCTGTCTGTCTGTCTGTCTGTCTGTCTGTCTGTCTGTCTGTCTGTCTGTCTGTATCTGTTTATGTGTGTCTCAACATATGTTATTATTTGATCATTTTCTTACTTTGTCTGTCTGTCTGTCTGTCTGTCTGTCTGTCTGTCTGTCTGTCTGTCTGTCTGTCTGTCTATTTATCTTTCTTGCTAACATTCTGGTTCTTACACACATATACACTAAACTACACAAATATCTATTGCAGCATGTGTCACATATAATTATGTATTCTCTGTCCTGATTAATTTAAGGAAAAAGAGTGTGATCTCAAGATGAAAGAGGATAGTGGGGATGGAGAGAAAGATAAAATAGGGGAAGCAACTAGTGATGTCAAGAGTGAAGTCCCCTTGCTAGATGTCCATCTTGTGGATAGTTCTGACGATGGAGAGACGGCCATTCCACTGCTACAGCTTATCCACCAGCTGTTCAGGTTGGTTGGGATATTTGAGCAAATTGTTGTGTTTATTACGTGTGAGTATTATGTTGGGGCTATCTGTGGCAGAGTGATCAAGCCGAATAACTCACACTCTAAAGGCCTTGAGTCAGTTTCAAGGACACGCTGGTGGGTCCGTTTCAAGCACATGTCGTTCAGTTCATGAGAATAGTTTTTATGGAGATTCTTTGGGGATCGACGCTGAGCTACGAGTTCCTTTGCTTTGTATGACATTCTCGGCAGGCGGCTAGCCATTAAACAGAGAGGTTGAGCTATATGGGGTAAAACCCAGTGCAATAAAGTCATTCCTGTTCCCTTAAACTTTGACATTATTATGTAATGATATCACAGTCAGTGTCTCTCCATATTGATCATTCCCCTGCTTGCTCAGTCCTCTGATGCAACAGCTACTGTAAGGTACCTCCACTGATTGTTCCCATCACTGACTGTTCCTATGAGAAGTTGGTTATAATGTCTTCTATCTTGACCTCAAAGATGGTATGGTTATGCTTCACCAAGCTTCACTCACAGATTATGCAGTTGTGTTTGCATCAGAGGTTGAACCAGCTATTTTTGGGTTTAAAAGCTAACAATAAATCTACCTCCCCCTCCCCCTTTTCCCCCTCTTCAATAAGTGACTGGTCTTAGATTTGAATCACATCAATGCAGTTTTTTTTTTTTTTTAAATTGACGTCAGCTTGCAAATTGATCAAGCCTTAAGTAGGTAGCAGGTAATGGCATCCTGGGAAGTAGAGGTAGCTCGACATGATGTTGAGCACATCACCAACTGACATGATGTTGAGCACATCACCAACTGACATGATGTTGAGCACATCACCAACTGACATGATGTTGAGCACATCACCAACTGACATGATGTTGAGCACATCACCAACTGACATGATGTTGAGCACATCACCAACTGACATGATGTTGAGCACATCACCAACTGACATGATGTTGAGCACATCATCAACTGACATGATGTTGAGCACATCACCAACTGACATGATGTTGAGCACATCACCAACTGACATGATGTTGAGCACATCATCAACTGACATGATGTTGAGCACATCATCAACTGACATGATGTTGAGCACATCACCAACCGAGGGATGACAACTGGCCTATAAACATATGAGTGTAGCATCACTTGCCCTGTGTGCCACTACTGTAGAAAGAGTCTTTTTAACAAAACTTTTCAAAAGCTGTTGTATTAAGTGATGCTGTCTCCATCACTGGTCATTAATCTGTCTAAGGAATTATTCTTGAGCTTGTAGACTTCTCGTGTGCCCCACTGCCATTTGGACAATTGCAGCAAGTTACCACATTTCAGCAGGTGGACTCCATTTGCTGACACTGGCTGTCAGCTTCTTACAATTAATGTCCTAAATTTGGCTAAAACGTTCCTGCCTGGCCTTTCACCGATAACTTATGATAATTAGGGTTTGTCTCTGATGTCTTGGGAGCTACTGTGGTTTAGCAGCTAGATGCTTGCCTACAGATTGGAAGCTTGTGCGTTCGAGTCCTGACGGTACCTGACTTAAAAAATTAAAAAATTTAAATTACCTCATCTCCTGGGTCTTTGTAATCTTTAATTAAGTGGGGTGCTGGGAAGTAAAGGTGGCTGGCAGGATGCTGACAGCATCACCCACCAAGTGCCAGTTGGTCTACAACAGTGGTCGGCAAACTCATTAATCGAAAGAGCCCAAAATCAGCCGCAGGACGACAAAATATTTTTTGAGAGCCAAATTTCTTTTCAAGAACCTGTCAAGAACCATGTGTTTTCGGAGTGAAAATCAATTTGTGGCTGACTGGCCGAGCCACACTCAGGTCGCTAAAGAGCCACATGCGGCTCATGGGCCGTGATTTGCTGACCACTAGTCTATAAAATACAAGTCTAGCCCTGTATGCCCAATGCGCCTGTAGGCGGGGAAATAGGTCCTTGACTTACTTTTACTCTTGACCTCTTGCTGTACTAAACTGTGTAGACAGCCTCATTACATCATAGAATACATACTGATGCTCTGTTTCCAACAGTAAATGTTTTATGGTCTTTTGTCTACATATTGCATTTATTACCCTGAAAGGCTTATAAAATTATCTTTACCATTTTCTCTCTCAGAAATTCAGCATCTCACACCCTGTCCAAACTGCAAGAAGAAGCCAGATGTGGGGGCTTGAAGTCCCCAGAAAGTGAGAGCCCGGAGAATTCACCATCCTTAGACCTGCTGCTGCAGTTCCAGAGACTGCTCATATCTAAGATCTTCCAGTGCAAGGTTGTCACTGACAGCCATAGTCCCAGTCCCACAGGGGCAGATGGGAAATCTAGTGTAAAGGAAGGGACTTCTGGAGAAATTGGTAAGTAATTCACACTGTTAGATAAAGAATCAGTTTTTTGGAGCAGACTGGTTTCTTCTTCTGCCTTTCTAGCCCCAGTGGAGCATAGGCCCTCAACCTATTCATGTCAAGTCGTTCTATCTTTTGCTATCGCATGCAGCTTTCCCCATGTCCTCCCCATCTTATTAACTTCATTCTCCAGCTCCCTTCTCCTTGTGTTTTTTTGGCCTTTCTTTATTCCTATATCACTGTGTGTTCCAGTTAAAGAAATTCTAGTTTTTTTGTTCTCCGGTTTTCTCACTGTGTCCTATCCAGTGCCAGCATCTTTTTTTTCACCTCTTGGTCCACTGGAACTTGCTTAGTTCTCTCCCAAAGCTCTACATTAGTGATTCTATCATACTAGACTGGTTTAGGAGTGCAATATCTCTCTCACTTAAGTTAAGTAGAGCTAATGTAATTAATATATAGGAATTTTTTTTTTTTTTTTTACAAAGTAACAGAAGAATTTATTACTATGTTATGGTAGAAAGATTTAGCCAGATAGATCTAAGATGAAGATGTCAGAGTTTGAGAAGAAATAAGAGAAGAAGGAAAGGAGTGAGAGAAGAATGGAAGAAGAAAGAGAAGAAGGGTGAGAGAGAGCAGGATCTACTAAATCTCAGTGAAAGTAATGAAGCAAAGTGTACACTCTGAGTAGCTGAGGAAATTCATGCCTCTATTCCCTCTTCGTGAATTCCAGCTTTATTGTGTTTGCTTGAACAGGCTGTGAAATGTTGGGAGCTGCCTCCCTGCTGCGCAAATACTGTAGCCTGCTGGTCAGTCATGTGTCAAATGTCCTGTCCACTGCCACGACTATTGGGGAGAAGTGTGCCAGGAGTTTTGCAAATGTAACTGCCATCATCAGTAAAGATGTCACAGGTATAGTTTGACATGTCTCTCTTGTTTAGATTCCTTAACACAATCACGTTCAATATGTTTGTCTCTCAGATTCTGAGAGTAGCAAAGAACAAATAAATGTTTATAAATTGTCATGGCATTTTAATTCAGGGCAGTTTTGATTTTGTCCCCAACTAGTGAAACCTCTGTAGAAATATCATCTTTGAAGATATGCCTAGTTAGTTAGTTGGTGGATAGATCATCCTCACTAAACCATTGAGTCTATATAAGTGTTTGGATCCTTTACTCAATAAATCCTGCAGTGTGTGGTGGCTGAAGACACTAGTTCTGTGTTGGTTTAACCCTTTCGCTGCTGCGCCCTCCGCCAGCCAACGTAACCACTGTGCTAAGCTATGCGAGAGCTTATCTTTCCTCCTGTGCTGAATACCGTTTTTTCCTTCAAAAGCAGAAGACGCGCTTGCGGCACAAGGTAAAAATTGTACACCTAAAATAAAAAATCGCTGAAGGCGTGTGGTTGAACTTTGTGCTGACAAGTGCTATTACTACGCCGTGAAAACTCATTAACAAAAAGAAAACACTACAAACTTAGAGAGCAAACACAAAACACTTCAGTAAGCAAATACATGGTTTTTATTATTATTAATAATATCTTTTCGTGTGAAATATTTTAAAACAAGGTGCGACACACAATGCCAAATCACATACCACACACTTTCTTGTTGGGAATTTTTTCTGCGATGTTACGGACTCAATTATTGAAGGGAAATGCCTTTGTACTAAACAAAGTGGCAGATCTTCACTTTTTTGACCTCCTACACTTTTTCTCTTTTCCTTGCAATATTTCTGTAGAATTTCTCTTACTAACATTAAGTGAAATTCGGCAACAGGTGTGTTTTTGCCCACAACAACTTTATATAATGAATGTGCACAGTACACCAACCATGCTTCACAAAGGAACAGGATAACGTGTAAAGCATCTAAATCCACCTGAACGCACGTGACAGGATGTTTAATTAATTATTACTTCGGTGATCTGTTGCCAAAAATGCTAAGAGCTTAAATTTAAAATTTGCATTTAAAATAATTTTTAAAAAAAACGGCACATAGGGGTTGAACGCTAGACCTTTAGATTGTAAGGCAGACGTGATACCAACTACACTAGAAATTCACATGAAAATATGAACTGAAAAAAAAGACCAGTATTGTACACTTTAATAGACAAACACATTTATATCAGTTGTATAGTATATTATTAATATTAATATTAATCATCATGTCAGTACGTGACCATATCTTTATTTTGATTATTTTGGATCCGTTTCAAATCCAGTCGATGTAGATAGCTAGGTCATATGGTCACTGGTCAGTCTTGTTCACAGCCAGAAGTACACGTGTCTGCTGGCGTGCCGCGAAGATAACCCAGCTCATATAACTCGCACGTTTCAAAGTGATCCTTACTACTACTCCTTGAAAGAAACTCCATTAATTCTTCTTTTTTTAAACAAATGTTCTTGTTGTATTTAAAAAAAAATGTAGACTAACGCAAAACCAGAAATATATTTCAGGGCAAAAAAATTACCGTTCACCGACAATGCTTCTATGGTAACAAAGCAACAGGATAACGTGAAATGCATCTAAATACGCCTAAACTCACGTGATAAGGGTTTTAATTGTATGTAAACGGGTCAGTTTGATCAGATTAAGGTAATGTGTATTGCTATTTCACCCCTAAGAATTACAGTTCTTAGCAATCTGTAAAAAAATGTAGAGGACGAGTTATCTCGTCCTTAGCAGTGAGGGCACAGAAAATGGCAGCCGAGTTATCTCGTCTCTAGCAGTCTGCCAGGCAGACGAGTAATCTCGTCCAAAGCAGCGAAAGGGTTAATCATAATTCTTTGGGTTCCTGCATAGTGCTCCTTGCTGTTCTTGTAGTCTGGTCATAGTTGCAGATTCTCAAGAAATTCCTAACAGCCTCTCAAGAAACCAAATCTCTCACAAATCTGCCAGCCTCTAACAGTTCCACCAACTTCTCAAGGAATTTGGAAACCTCTGTATAAAAGATGTGGATTTTTTTTGGGGTGACACTTAGCTGAGAAGCTGCCACAGTGTAGTTGTCACATCTTTTGCATTCCCAGGTGTTCTGCTGCCAGAGATGGTGACATGCCTAGTGTTGCTGCAGCTAAGGTGTCCCCAGATTGTCCAGGTGTCTCGCACCAGTCAGCTCTTGTCTCAGCTTCTGGATGACCTGGATTATTTCAACCGCCTGGCTCCAGGCACAGAGAAGGAAGACTCAGAGGACCTGGCCTGGCCTGGTGTTTGGAGTAAGTGTACACGTTATTACTGTGGGCGATTCTGTTTTGTTATCACTATTGCTTTAACATTTACATCATGAGAAGAATGCATTGAATATTGGGGAATGGTAGAAAAACAAAGGAGGCAGTCCTCCTGAAAACAAATGCAGGCTGTGAATGGTTAGAAAAATTAGGTATAGACAGTTGATGTTTTTCCAACATGAAAAAGGAATGGACTGGAGAACTTGGTAACAACCGGCAAGATTGATGGAAAGAGAGCAAGCGGAAGGAAAAGAGATAAATACATGGATGGTTTGTTTGGCCACATGGATGGGGGTGAGACGAGGACACACTGACGTGATCTGGTGATCATATGAGAGGATGATCATACGAGATGATGATCATATGAGATGATGATCATATGAGATAGTGAAACTTAACAGCCTAGGCTCATCAGCATGACACATGATGAAGATGATGATGATCACTGTACTTGAGATAGTTTTCAGTTAGATAAAAATAGTCATGAGCTGTAGCAGCTTTACATGATGTTGCAGAACCAACCTCAGCATTTGTTGGCCAATTCTTATTTTGTACTTTCAGTAGTTTGCCATTGCTTCAAGAATGGTCAGCTCTTGATAAAACTGTCAAAACTACTGCAAGGCGGTCTGCTACCACGCTGTGATTTTTTTCCCCTTTTTCTTCTTGTGATAGGTTTCTGATTTACACTGACAGACAACCTCTTATGATAAACTTGATCATTATAAGGAGTGCTCTTTTAGTTCCATACAACTTTGAGTACAGTTTTGACTCAGTGGGTCAGTGTAATAGATAATAGGCTGTACAAGGTACATTGTTGCAGGACATGTTCTGTAGTCTGCACACACAGCCCACACGGGCACAGTGGTAAACTACTAAGATGAAACCTGTGCATATGCTTGATAGGTTTGTTATGTCCTGACCTGAGGGTGTAGAACAATGACTTGCCCTTGTTGGTCAAGTAAGTGGTAGTAATTTCTAGCCAGATTCTGTTCACTTCTGATTAACTGGATGGCCCTTTTCTTCTCAAAGTCGATCACTACATTTTCTCCTTGTTCACATTCATGCCGCATGCCTAGTAAGTGGTACACCATATTGGGATGACACCCGCTGGAGTACAGTACACTTTTGGGCAACCACCTTGCCAAGTTCAGCAGTTGGGATTGAACCTAGCACATTGTAGCTAAATGCTTTTTTTCTGGCCTTAAAGTGTTGGGTTTGAATCCACATTGAGGCAGATGTTTAAAAATTCATCTTGGCTGCCTGTCCTGACCAGGACTAAAAGGGATGCCATGAAATCTCATGTGAAGCAGTGATGGCTGATGTTAGGTTAACCACATTACCCATACTTTGTGGGTATGGATCATCATCATCATCATCATCATCATCTACTTCTGGGGTTATGTGTCATGGAGAGAAAAATTGTGCAGTTCATTGCTTCATGGATAGTCATAGCTATTGTCGTTTCATGTCAGTGTTGAAGATGTTTAATGACATCACTCCGTCTTCTCACTCTTGCTTTCACATCAGTGCGAGTCCGACTCGTAATTCCAAGGTACAGCGATCGAAACCTACTGCTGGCTGCGTGGATGGTTATCATGGTATGAGGCGTCGCAGGTCTACCCAGCCTAAAATGGGTACCAGAATGGATGTCCTGGGGAAGTTAAGACAGCCAGCGTAATGCTGACCACATTACCTACCTAGTGACGATTGGTCTGTAAAAATATGGGTTCTCTTCCCATATGCCAGATACGCCTAAAGGCGTGAAAAAGGGGTCTTTACTTTACTTACTGGTTTAGTACTTGTTCTGGCTGCATTCTGACGAAATGACAAACCATTTGGTCTTCTGTTTCTTAGTGAATTTGGCGTGCGTGGTGTTGTTCCCACAGTCTGTCTGATGGGACCATTTCTCATTTTGTCTCTGATGGTTGGTAGATTTTCTCAGGTGTCTGATTTCCCAAGTGTTCAGGAAGATTTTTTTAAACCAGTTTACAGCTGGTGCCTTCAGTATGTGAACTCTTCATTGACTGTTGAGGAGGGGGATGAGCACATTTGGGAATATGCTGGGTGCTGTGATGTCATTTCTTCATTCATTCATTCTGGTTGAAACCTTTTGAGACCGAAAGAGTTAAATAGAAGATACATGATGCTCACTGGTACCTTGTGTTTCTTTCAATAAGGTTACAGCCTGGAGAAGTACAGCACCCGCTCCACAGATGATGCTCAGATGATTCGCAAGGCTGATCTAGAGAACCACAACAAGGATGGAGGTTTGTGGATCGTGGTCCATGGTAAGGTGTACGACGTGCACGACTTCAAGAGTCAGGCTCCCTGTGGAGCAGAGACATTGCAAGAGTGGGCAGGTGAGAGTCTAGGTCAGTCTTTACTTTTTATGGTCCGCTGAACCCCAGGAGGTCCAAAATTATTGATAAAAAGCCGTCAACTGTAGAATACAGGCTTTTTAATGTTTTTTTTTTCATTTTTTAAAATATTTATAGTTTAAGACATTTTTTTAGTGTGACTGTCAAGAAATGTGAGATCTATAGCAGACGTGTAAAAATAAAGAAAATCCAGAGGTCCTTACTTAGTCTGAAGCACTGGTCCTGAACACACTATTCGTCATTGTTATACTGGTGGGGTAGCTTTGACATAAAACTAACAAAAGTAGGAAAATCGAAGGAACGAACAATCAGACTTTATTTTTCAAAGGGTTACACATTGGGCACGCAGTCCCATCTTACATTCAGGACTTCCAAGCACTCATCTTGCTAAAGCGTCGCTTTAGAGATTCTAGGTAGTTAGGCTATGCAGGTGTGTTGGGAAATGAACACATAGTTTGGTGGGCATGCTTTGTGCAGAGTGGCAAGCATCACCTCAAAGGTTCCTGGTAGTTAGCATCCTTTTGGATATTTTCTTCTGGTGTTGGGAAATGAGCAGGCATATAGTCTGGCTGGCTCTGCACTACTTTGTGGTGAATTGATGTATGACAAGTTAGATATTGTGAGGCCCTTTGGGAGCAAGTGAACAGTGTGGAGGTGCAGATAGATCATTACGGTCTAAGAAGAATGGCTCAGCGAGAAGTTACCAGGGGATCTGACCGACACTCAATATTCGGGGGGAAAGGATGAGACGGATATACAATCAGTCGGTTACTGGTACCATCAGAATTGAAACTCTTTGTTTGCTGCTGAAGATGGGGAATGAGCACTTATGGGAAATTCAACATACCCACTCTTTTTCAATTTGGCTGGTTCCGCACCACTAGGTGGTAAACTGATGCATGACTAGCTAGATGTTGTAAGGACCCTTTGAGAAAGAGTAAACAATGCAGTGACACAAATAGAAATGGTCTGAAGAGAACAGAGCAGTGCATGATGACCAGGGGATCTGACCAGTGCTCAGCGCTCAAGGAAAGGGCAAGAAGGACATACAGGAATACTGTTACTGGTATCTCAGAATTGGAACTATGTGTTTGCTGCTGAAGATGGAGATGACAAACTTATGGGAATGTCCAGATTGTTGTAATGTCAGTTCTTATCTTTAACTCATAATTGTCTAGAGTAATGTTTTTAATTGAGAATTTGGCACTCAGTTGGTGATGTCAGCATTTTTCCGAACCACCTTTAGTTCCAAGGGAATTTTCTGTTACGAGTGTTGGAAATCTGTGAGCCTTAGGTCACTTATAAAAGCTTTTTCTTTCCTCATGATTTAACAGAGAAGATGGGCACTAACTTCTCTACATTTTAAGTCTAATTTAGGACATAGAAACTGCATGTGAACAGTGACAAATTGAATAGAAGCAATGGAGATGAGATTTTACAGATAAATGAGAACATCCTGGACAGATTAAAAAAAGAGTAATAAAAATCTCTTTAAAGAAAATGACCCAGGAAGAGAACTGACTGCCCAAAGCAGGAGGAGACAATCTACATTCTTTGGTTATGTCATAAGGAGGAGACTGCTGGAGTACATCATGATGGTGGGAAAGTTGGAGGGGAAAAGAGGCAAGGGAGACCGAGAGAGAAGATGCTGGCTAGTTTATCTGTGTCAAAACAAGCACATGAGACAAAGTTGTGGGGGAAAAGAGGCAAAGGGAGACCGAGAGAGAAGATGCTGGCTAGTTTATCTGTGTCAAAACAAGCACATGAGACAAAGTTGTGGGGGAAAAGAGGCAAAGGGAGACCGAGAGAGAAGATGCTGGCTAGTTATCTGTGTCAAAACAAGCACATGAGACAAAGTTGTGGGGGAAAAGAGGCAAAGGGAGACCGAGAGAGAAAATGCTGGCTAGTTTATCTGTGTCAAAACAAGCACATGAGACAAAGTTGTGGGGGAAATGAGGCAAAGGGAGACCGAGAGAGAAGATGCTAGCTAGTTTATCTGTGTCAAAACAAGCACATGAGACAAAGTTGTGGGGGAAAAGAGGCAAAGGGAGACCGAGAGAGAAGATGCTGGCTAGTTTATCTGTGTCAAAACAAGCACATGAGACAAAGTTGTGGGAGAAAAGAGGCAAAGGGAGACCGAGAGAGAAGATGCTGGCTAGTTTATCTGTGTCAAAACAAGCACATGAGACAAAGTTGTGGGGGAAAAGAGGCAAAGGGAGACCGAGAGAGAAGATGCTGGCTAGTTTATCTGTGTCAAAACAAGCACATGAGACAAAGTTGTGGGAGAAAAGAGGCAAAGGGAGACCGAGAGAGAAGATGCTGGCTAGTTTATCTGTGTCAAAACAAGCACATGAGACAAAGTTGTGGATAGACATGATTAACAACGCTGCCCAGTATGGAAGATCATCTGTGTCATAACAGATTGAAAGTACACGAGACAGAAAGTTGTGGATAGACATGATTACCAACGCTGCACAGTAAGGACCAAAAGAAAAAGAACCCTGGGTCAGCAGCAGGTGTCTAATAATGTGTTACGACAACTCCATATCCAAGCGCTTCCTTGTTGGTTCCGGGGCCCTATTATAAGAAAAACAAGAATAGACCCACTGCCTACCCAAAAGCATGTCGTAAGAGTCGACTAATTTGGTTGGTCGTCCACTTCTAGACTGTAGTCCTGTTCCAGAATCTGAATGTTGCGTGTGCATCTGTTTGACAGATCTGACATATCTGTGTGCAGACTGTTGGTTCCTTGCCTCTCAGGCAGATGCAATCTGACTTTGAAGGAAGCTCCAAATTAGTCGACTCTTACGACATGCTTTTGGGTAGGCAGTGGGTCTATTCTTGTTTTTCTTATAATAGGGCCCCGGAACCAACAAGGAAGCGTTTGGATATGGAGTTGTCCATATCCAAGCGCTTCCTTGTTGGTTCCGGGGCCCTATTATAAGAAAAACAAGAATAGACCCACTGCCTACCCAAAAGCATGTCGTAAGAGTCGACTAATTTGGAGCTTCCTTCAAAGTCAGATTGCATCTGCCTGAGAGGCAAGGAACCAACAGTCTGCACACAGATATGTCAGATCTGTCAAACAGATGCACACGCAACATTCAGATTCTGGAACAGGACTACAGTCTAGAAGTGGACGACCAACCAGATCTGTCCACCAGAGTTTACAGCTGGTGAACGCAAAGAAGAAGAAGAATATCCCAGTGGAAATGTCCATAATTTGCCAGATATGACAAATTGGTGGCAGCCAGTGAAAAACTTAGAGCATGCTACTGTTTTTGTGACCATACGTGCCCCCGAGTACACACAAAGCAGTCATTGTTAGGTAAAGATGGATGAGAAGAGGAAAGCCACATTGAATATAACTGTTAGGTTAGTTAGCACGGACATTTAATTAGAAACAGACTTTGATGCATTAGTAATCCTGTTATTTTGGTCTCTGTCTGCTTTTAAAGGTCGTGATGCTTCTGTTGCCTTTGAGACGGCCCATCATTCCGAGGAAGCCAGGGAGATGATGAACTGTTTCTATGTGGGAAAGTACATTGATGTAAGTTAGTCATTTATGTCTTGTTGTCAGCTGCATCACAATGACACTTCTTGTCTTAAATCATCATGTTAATTCAAGCCAAGTTGATTCTAGAGTATTGCGAAGAGGTAGTTGCGACTATCAAGCTGATATGCAGATTGGTGGAACACAAATCTTATTCATTGTGTTCACTAGCTGTTAGCTCCCACCGAAAGTTCTAGTTGTTCGCCTGCTTCTAGAATTTTGTCTTGTTTTAAACTTAAATTTTGCGTGCGCATCCGTTTTTTAAAACTTTTTCTTTATGTCTATTTTCATACGTATGGCTTATTAGTATACTGACTGTTGGTTTATCGCCTCTCAGGCAGATGTACTGCAACTCCGAAGAAAACACCCCTAATTAGTGGCCTATTAAGGAATGCTTGTTTAGGAGACATGGTTCTATCCTTTCTCCCTCCCCCCTTCCCCCACTGTAGGGGCCTGTATCCCACATGGGTATATGAAAACAATTAAAACTGCTAAGAACTAGGGAATATTTCATTGATAAAGACTTTAGTCAAAACATTTGTTTGTTGTCATTGTGTATTTTACTTTGACAAGGTTTTCTTCTTCTTCTTCTTCTTCTTCTTTTCTTCTTCTCCTCCTTTTTCTTCTTCCTCTTCTTCTCCTCCTGCTCCTCCTCCTCTTTCTTCTCCATCCTCCTCTATCTATCTCTCCTGCTCCTCCTTCTCCTCATCTGCTGCAGTTGGCGCTGCTGCAGTTGCCGCTGCTGCAGTTGCCGCTGCTGCTGCTGCTGCTGTTGTTCCGCATAGCCATATAGCAGCATAGTTATATTTGGGCATGACAAAATGGTTACTAAGTAACCTATAGTTCCGTATGGGTGGGTCTGTAAGATTATTTCTGTGTATCTGTGTGACTGATGTTTTAAAAAAAAATTAATAAACAATATTGTCTCCTTTGGTTTCAGCCTGAGAAGGATGTGGTGCAGTCACCAGGAAGTGGGTCAATGTCATCTCCACTGATTGACACTGAGAGGACTCTGGCCGTGTTGCTTGGTCTAAATGCAGCACAGCAGGTGAGAGATGGGAATTAGGGTTCCATTTGAATAATTGTTTGGTTGATATGTAAAAGGGTTTTTAGGGGAAGCAAAGAATAATAAAGTTGAGGGCCTGTGCTGCATTGGGGGTAGAAAGCAGTGTTCTTAGCCATCCAGAACCTGAATTTTCACCTTGAAATTGCAGCACTGACCTTGAGCCTTGCTTTTTACCTTTGAAAAGACATTTTTACCTTGAGAAAGACATATCTACCTTGAAATTTGCCCTTTCTGATAGGCAGAAGAAGAAGAAATAATAATATTAATACCTCCTCAGGCATTTTCAGGATTTACCAAGGGTATTCATAAAATACCATGGACCAAGAAGAGGAAAAACGTCGACATTCTGCATGACCTGAACATTGAGGAGAATTGACTCATAAACAGCATCATGTTCCGAAAGCTGAGGTATTTTGGCCATGTTAAGCGCCATGGTAGTCTGGAGACGGCGATGGAGGGTTCAGTTTCTGGAAAATGAGATCGACCTCAACAAAGTTTCTTATAGGACATTGAAGACACATTGGCTATGACAGAGCACTGGGCTAGAGAATTGGTTTTAGAAAGAGAGACTTATAGCCATGCCAAGAAGAGAGTGACGTTCTGCTTCTGTAAATGACCTGCAGATTGATTGATTGATTAAGGGTAGGGTTGAGCTTACATTTGATTTCTTTATCTTAAAAAAAAAAGTATTTGATTTGATTTGATTTATTTCAAGAACCGACATCACAGCACTAGGGGCATTCCCTTAAGCTCTCTTTCCCCATTTTCAGCAGGCAGCGAAGAGTTCCGATACCAGCGGTGCCAGTAGCATTCAGATTAAACGTCCGTCGTGCCTTTTCTCTGAGCCTTGAGCATCTGCCAGAACCTCTTGTCTCTCCCCCCAGCATCAATCTCACCAGACTGTGGTGATCCATCTGTTCCTCCGAACTGTACACACTCTCCCACAAGGCACCAACCCCTTCTGCCTTATCGTGTATCAGTATTTTACCAAGTTGTGTAGAGCCAGCCAGTCTGTCTGCCTGTTCATTTCCCAACACACAGGCGTAACCGGTGAAAAAATCCAGACAATACTCCTCTCCTGTGTCCTCCACAGCAAAGTATGCCACTCTGCATGAAGCATGCCTGTCCTGATCTTCCTCAGCATACTTTCTGAGTCAGTTACAATCACAATGTGTGTGTTTGTGATGTGTTCTATAACCAGCGGAAAGCTGCAGTGACCGCCTTCACCTCCATTCTTAAGCTGGATGTTGTATAAAAAAATGTTTAATTGCAGAAGCAGGCCACCATGGACACCATGTATCTGAAACATAAGCAAGAAATGATCAGTCAGCCATGATGGGGCTCTTCTCTGAGAAGGAGAACAGAGAAAGCAGAAATGAGTCCAGATTTTCAACTTACTTCCCTTGACATAGGAAAATCTAAAAAAAATCGCCACCTAGCATATTTCATATATAAACGAAAGAGGAAACAAAATTAGGAAAAGAGTTTATCACAGTCAACGTCACTGTACATTTGGCATGCCCTATGCACGCTCAGTCCTCTGTTGCAGCAGCCACCCTAAAGTACCTCTGCTTATTTTCTAAATGAGAAGTTGGTTTACAGTCTGCTTTTATGACATTGAAGGCTGCACCCACATGAGAATGAAATGATTCAGATAGGAAGGACATTGGGACAGCTACACAGTGTGGCAAAGTGTAGAATAAGTTGGCTGAGGGCCTGTGCTGCATCTCAGGAGGAAGTGCGGAGGCAGAAGCGTTAAAGTAGACCGTATGTAGAAATCGCTGTTGCTAGCCGTGTTTTGTGTGTGAATGTGTGTGTGTTATATTTGCTTCTATTTTTTCCTTCCTCTTCCACCACATCCAGCCAATTATTGGAGACCATTTTTCTTTCATGTGTATATGTGTGTCTGTCTGTGCATGCGTGTGTGCAAGCTTGTGTGATACGAGGGGGCTTCAAATAAAAAAACCTTAAAAAAGAGTGATAGAAATTCCACTTACTATGCCCTTGCCTTGTAGCCTGTTAATATTGTTGTTAAGGATGTCAACAGTTTTAAGCACATGGCGTCACATACAGACGAATGCAGTGATGTCATAATGACAGTTTAAAGATGGCCGCCTCACTTTTGACATGGGATAAAGAGGAGCAGTGTTCTCTCATCAACTTTTTATCTCTCTCCCTCTCTCTCTATATATCTCTCTCTCTTTCAAACGCAAGCACACACATATCTCATTCTCTCTCTCTGAATGAATATTTACTATCCATGTTTTTGTGTTTATAACATATTTTACAGATAAAATACAATTGCGATGTGAAAGATGAATGTATGGAAAGGCCGATTGCAATACAGGCCTGTGAGGCCAATTTATGACACTTCACAAATTAAGCTTGGTCCTTTTTTCTGTACTCAGGTCCGCAGTACCCCCCTGTCGCTGGATGAGCTGGAGAGCAAGCAGTGGCTGCAGGCAGAGTTCTTTAGTGGTGGACTACAGCTGCTCAACCAGGCTGGCTATGATGAGGAGAAAGGGGAGAGCCGGAGTACCTCCAGCTCATGCAACACTCCAGGTGATTTGTGAAGGACATGTATCTCTTCTGGACAGAGAAAGCCGTTTTTAACCTAGTGGTTAGACACTTATCCGTCAGGCCAAATGTCTTGGATGTAAACTAGCTTCAATGTGGTTTTCTTATAATATTGGCCTCCAGAACCATGCAGCCTAAAATCCAGGTTTCAGGAAATGTCATGGGAAGTAAAGATGGTCACTGGGATATTGACCACATAACCCATTAAATGTTGTTTGGTCTGATAAAAATATTGGTCTGTTACCATGTGCCTGATGTACTTTTGGCATGTATGAAAAGATAGTTTACTTTAAATAATTTTATTGTTGAGGGTAACCACAACTGGAGGAACTGTATTAGGGTCCTGGCATTAGGAAGGTTGAGAATCACTGCACTAGAGCCAATCTGGCTGATTCCAACCTCAATCAAGACAAAGCTGTAAACAGAGATTTGAACAGCACAGTAGCTTTTATCAAGGCTTCAAGCTTCCTGGTGATAGTTGTCTTACAGAAAGACCAAATAAGAAGCAGAAGACTTGATCTAGTGTAGTAAAGTAAATGAAGATATCCGTGGACTGTTTCTGTTGACAAAGGTGCACGAGATCCACATATTGTGACTTTTTCCAGGTCATCAGTTGACGACAGAAAATGTTATTTGCTGTTACCTAATCACCAGTGCACATTACTTTCTGTTTACACAATTACTCAGATATGTTATCATAATGAAGTGAAATTCAAATTTTTTCTTCTTTGTAAAATGTCCAACAGCTTTGCTTTTGTGTTTGTTGTGAACTTACTGTGTTTTATATGTTATTATTTAAAGTAACAAATATGTTAACATCATGTGCACTGCTAGTCGTCCTTTAGAATTTCAGCCTGCTATGGTTGGTATATTTTAAAATGAAATAAATAATCAATCAACCTGTGCACTTCTGGTATCCCAAACATTTTATCAGCTCATGTCTGGTCTTCTTGTATGATCTGAATCTACAAATTTTTGTAAATAACAAATAGTTTGTCAACCTGACCACTTAATCTGAACAAACAAACTTTATTTTCAGAGGGTTACAAATTGGGCATGCAGGCCTGTGTTGCATTAGGCCCTTTCAAGCACTCATCTTTCATGCTGCAGTTGCATGTTATCTGTAATGCATGTTATGTTTAAAAAAAAATATGCATTATAAAATAATGCTTACACACACATCATGCATACACAGTCATAAACACAAAAATACACATGACACATACTCTTACATGTATGCTCATACTACATATTCACATAGATATACATACATAGATATAAACACACATACATTTATTCATGTTTACTGATTTTTATGTAGGTGCAACGCCGACCTCGGAGCATTGTAATGTCTCCCAGAATGCCGTCGACAAGGAGAGGCGCTACCAGGCAGAGCAGGCCAGCACTGACATGGCCAGGTCCTTTCTGCATGCTCTGGCAGAGTCCCGTTTGCAAGACCTCACTGTAAAGGTACTACCCCCCTCTGTGCAGTCTCAACTACTTACCTATCTGTCTTGTCTGCTTATTTTTCTGCCTAATGATGACCTACCTACCTGCCTGCCTTCCTGATATCTGCCTACCTACCTATCAGCCTGTAGTCTAAATGTCAGCTTACCTATTCACCTATCTGTTTGTTGGTTTACCTGCATGTATGCCTGCCGGTCTACTTACCTGACTACCTGTTTACCTAAACAAATTTCTCCTGACCTATCCACCTGCCTCCCTGCAACTGAATCTGCTTCTCTGCTTACCTACCAACATGTCTACTGACCTATCTTCCTGCCTCCATGCAGTCAAACTGTCTACTTACTTCGTATCCTGATGTTAATCTATCTGCCTAGTTGTCATCTGCTTTTAAAAACTGTTTGCATTTTGTTATTACATTTCATATTTGTGTTTCTTAACAACTATCCCAATTGTACTGAGTGATTATATGCACATTAAGAATTTGTATTTCAAATTTATGTAATAATTATTGAGAAGGGACAACATGAACATAGAAATACCAAGAGGCAAGTGACGTCCAAGAAGAAGACTGGTAAGTTGAGACTGCACAGCATAGTGAGCAACTGCTGTGCCTTAGCTTGATCATCTATTAACCTGCAACGCCTAGCGGAACAATACTGAAGTGGGCAAAAGAAACAGATTTCATGATTGTACTTAATGATTGTATTTGATACTGTATTTATTAAAAGTGTCAAAGTTCTGGTGTGTGCTTACATTTCATGATTATGTTTTTTTTTCTTTTTCTGCGTTCGACATCAGTCATACTAAACATTGAATCCCGTCTGGGTCACAAATAGGATTATGCATTTAAGGTCGTCACCGGTCTCCCATAGCTTCTCTTGCAATGTGGCTCCCTTGGGCCAGATCCACAGTCTTTGCTGGGAGAGGTTAGGGCAGTACTGCAGTATGTGCTCAGGGGTTTGTCTTTCTGCTCCACAATCACAGGCAGCAGATTCTTTTATGCCTATCCTGTACAGGTGTGCTCGAAGACCACAGTGTCCAGTCCGAAGTCTAAAAATTGATGTTTGTTCTTTTCTGTTGAGTTTGTTTATGCTGTCACTCTCTGGTCTGTAATCTCCATTCTGCCTGCTCCACTCCCACTTGAAAGACTGCTTTAGCGCTGTTTTGGTTTCCTTGTAGCTGTGTAGTGAATGTGGTTGTGGAAGATTACTCCCAGCCTTTGCCAACTCATCTGCTCTTTCATTTTCTTGAATACCACAGTGGGCTGGTATCCACTGCAAAACCAGTTCTGCTTCCTTGGAGAGTAAGCCAATGTTGGTTCTTAGATCTGCAATTAGTTTGTCTTGTTTTTTGCTGGATAGTTCTTGGAAAACAGACAATGAGTCACTAAGTAATGATTATGTTGTATCTTCTCCTTTAAGTTCACCGGCTGTATACTCAGGTGTAAATTTCTTGTAGTTCGTCTGATTCTGGACTTTAGACCCCCTACCCAAAAAAAAGTTGTTTTACGTGCACATCTGTTTTACAGATCTTGTTTATTAGTAAGCAGACTGTTGGTTCCTTGCCTATAAGGCAGACTCACTCTGACTTCAAAGGAAACACTCCTAATTATTTGACTTTTACAATATGCTTGTTAGGGGACACTAGATCTATCTCTCCCCCCCCCCCCCCCCCCCCAAATGGGGCCCTGGAACCCAAACTGGGAGATTGCATTGTATGTTTATGTGCTTCTTGATTGTGATGTGTCACTGTATATCATGATGGTTGTAATTGTGTCAACAATTGTGTGTAAAAATTTTCCTTACTAGTTTGTGACTATCTACCATTCTGGCTGTGTTGTGATTGTGTCAACATTTGTGTGTGAATATTATCCCTGACTGGTTTGGGACCATGTACCTTGATTGCTATGCTGTGTCACTGTTTGTAATTAATGTCATGCTTGATTGTTTTTCATGAATTGCAGACTATGATTGGATGCTTTAGATGATATGACGTGATAATTTTTGTGTTTTTGCACTAGATGTTTCTGGCAATGGTGGACAAGTACTGTAGAACCCATCACCTCCTGTTTCCATTTGACTTTCCTTCGGACCACCCAGTGGAAGAGGTTGGCAGGTGAGTTGTGAACTGTGGACACACATTTTGTTGTTGTTAAAATCTTAAATCATCAACATTGTCAATGTGTACAATCATTGCTGTCTGTAATCCCCGTTGCCACCACTACAGTCATCATCTACAATCATTGCAGTTGTCATCTACAATCATTATGACCTCGATCATATACAGTCATTACAGTTATCATTTATACTTATCAAAATTGTCATCTATAGTTATTACAGTTGTCATTTACAGCCATAACGATTGTCATCTACAGTCATTACAGTTATCATTTACAGTAATAACAGTTATCTACAATAATTACAGGTGCCATTTACAGTAATAACAGTTGTCAACTACAATCATTACCGTTGTCATTTACAATAACAATTGTCACCTAGAGTCATTTTCACCGTTGTCATGTACAGCTCTGTTGTCATGTACAATCATCATAGTTGTCATCTATAATTATCACAGTTATCATCTACATTCATTATCACTGTTGTCATATGCAGTCATCACAATTGTCATCTATAGTCATCATCATTTTTGTCATATACAAGCATTACAGTTATCATCTTTAATCATCACAGTTGTCATCTACAAGTATAACAGTTGTCATCTATAGTCATCATCACAGTAGTCATCTACAGTCACAATATTTGTCACCTACAATCACCATTATATCATTATCTAAACTTGTAGTCATCATGTACCATCATCCTTATCATCCACCTTCATTATCATATTTGTGATACACAGTCATCACCATCATCATTATCATCTACAATGTCCACAATCATTTTAAACTCTACAGTTATCAATACTGTTATCCTCATTATCAACCTCACCATCATTACCATAAGTATCGCCATTATCACCATCATTTTCACCTTGATCGATTATCATCATCGTCACAATAATTATGACCATCATCATCACCATAGTTATCATCATCATAACATCATCGTCATCATCACCATCATTATCACCATTATCATCATAAACATTATCACCATTATTGCCCTTATCACCATGGTCATGATCATCATTATCATCATGATCATTATTATTATCATCATCATCATCATCACAGTAATTATCACCATCGTCATCATCATTATCACCATCTTTATCATAACCATTATCATCATCTTCACCCTCATTACCATCACCATCATTATCACCAATATTGCCATCATCATAACCATTATTATTATTACCACCCTCATAACCACTGTTATCATCATCATTATCACCATCATCATCATTATTATCATCATCACCATTATCATCACTATCACCATCACTATCACCATCATTATCACCAATCACCATTATCATCACTATCACCATCATTATTACCATTATTATCACCATTATTATCACCATTATCACCATCATCATCACCATTATCATCACTATCACCATCATTATCATCACCATTATCATCACCATTATCATCACTATCACCTTCATTATCATCATTATCATCATCACTATCACCATCATTATTACCATTATTATCACCATTATCGCCATCATTATTGCCATCATCACTTCGTGACCTCCAGTCAATGATCTGTGCCTCTTCTACATGTAACAGGCTATTGATGGCTGTGCTGCTCAAGCACTGTGACCTTGGCTACGTAGTGCTGTCTATGATAGAACACGGCCAAGGGGAGCACGGCCCCAAGAACATGCCCAAGTCTGTGGCAGAGTTGTGCAGGGTCATCTGTCAGGCCAAGCGGTCACTCATCAAGGTAAGTTCTGAAAGGTTATTGCCAGCAACTTCCATACTGCCACTTGATGAACAGGCAGGTTTTCAGTCCTGTGCTGACCAGATAGCCACATTACATATTATAATAGAGAGCAAAGCATTGAACTGAAGTAACCACTTTACATTAAATTTATAGACTTTGAAAAAGCATTTGACAGCATTGATAGGGAATCTCTCTGGAAATTGATGGGGCACTATGGAATCCCACAAAAAATTATTAACTTAGGCAACATATAAAGACATGAAATGTCAAGTTCTTCATGAGGGAAAGCTAACAGATACATTTGAAATAAAAACAGGTGTGCGACAGGGATGTCTTTTGTCGCCTCTCTTATTTTTACTGGCTATAGATTGGATTATGAAAACAGTAACTGAATACAACAAGAATGGAATTCAGTGGACCCCTACAAAACAGCTTGATGATCTGGACTTCGCTGATGATATTTCTCTTCTGTCCCATTCAAGGAATCAGATGCAAGATAAATTAAATATACTAGATGCGAGATCACAACAGCTTGGTCTGAGAATCCATAAAGGAAAGACAAAGATAATGAGAATACATTTTTTAAATTCTAATGGTCAAATCAGTACTTCTGTATGGGGCGGAAACATGGAGAACAACTAAGGCAATTACTAATAAACTACAAACATTCATTAACTGGTGTCTGTGCAGAATAGAAGGAATTAAATGGTATGATAGAATAACTAATGTAGAGCTTTGGGAAAGAACTAAACAGGCTCCAGTGGACCAAGAGGTGAGGAAAAGATGCTGGCGTTGGATAGGATACACACTGAGAAAACAGGAGAACAGCATAACTAGAATATCTTTGCATTAGAACCCACAGGGACATAGGAATAAAGGAAGGCCAAAAAACACATGGAGAAGAGAGCTGGAGAATGAAGTTAGAAAGATGGGGAGGACATGGGGAGAGCTCCATGTAATGGCGAAGGATAGAACGACTTGGCGTGAGTTGGTTGAGGGCCTATGCTCCATTAGGGGATAGAAAGGCGGAAGAAGAAGAAGAATGTGTATAATTTTAGTCCAGGAAAAGTTAAGCTTTTTCATTAGAATTTGGTGTATAGTCGAAATGTCCCGTTGCATGTATTTTGTGGAGACAAGACGTTGAGAGCCTATGTTATTTGCCACTATGATCGACAGAACTCGGGCGGTGAGTTGTGGCTGAGCTGCGAGGACTTGTTCGTGTCGTCCCTCGTCAGGATTCTGATTCAACTGCATGTCGGGAGACTTTGTGTGCCTGGGGCAGAGTCTCTAGTCAGTTATGTATAGGTTATTGGTGACCCAGTATGTGGAGGGCATAACCGAAGCGTTCATTAAGCCTACTGGTGACCACAAGAGTGTGCCAGTAGGCCAAAGGGGTATGTTGTGGACTCACGTCAGGTCGAGGCAAGGTGTTCCCTTTCATGTGATACCACCTTGAAAGCATATCAGTGTATATGTGAAGCATTTAGTCATCCTGTATCACAAGTTCAGTTTCATCGTCATACTATGTTTTATCCAGTAAATCGACTGATGCACGGTTATAGAGATGACTCTTCCCGTATTGTTGAGGTGGTTGGCTGCTGACTGTTATCTGTGTTAGTGGTATGATGTGACTATGGGAACTGTGATAATTTAGTACTTTCAGGTAGGGAACCCAATAAGTCCCCAAGAGGTGGTCAGCTTGGGGAACTTTTGCATATAGGAGTAGGGCATAATCAGACACCTTTAGACACCTGATCAGGAGCCGATACACCCTCTATATCACTTCGCAACATGGGGATCCCGACTTTGCTCCCAGAACCAACCTCAGCATTTTTTTTGGTCACTGATTTTTGTATGCAAATTTATGTTGAGTAATTTGCCATATACTAAATTTCAAATGGTCAGATTTCCGAACAAATACACAAATAAGGCAAGAATCCAGGCAAGAGTATGTGTATAATTTTATACAAAAACGCCGCTGGAACTATGTCGGCCACGCCCTTAGAATGGATAAATCAAGACTTCATTACCAAGCCCTCATTTGGACACCACAGGGGAAAAGATCTTGTGGAAGACCAAGGGAAACCCTACGTAGAACTATCATCAGGGAAGGCTCGCTCACGGGCCACTCAAACATCCAAGACCTACAACGGATTGCAACGAACCGCCATGCATGGAAAGTCATGACCTCTGCCCTATGTGCCGCACTTGACACAAGAGGAAATACTAATTAACTAAGTTTGCCATTATTTTCTGAACAGCTGACTCTCAGTACTGATGAAACCGATGCAAGACGGTCTGCTGCCAAATCGCCTGCAGTAGGGGTCGAACCCACCATAACAAATCGCGCTCGCAACGTCTATTTTGCAGATGCTGACTTAGTGTATAATATGGTTAATATTGTCCTAGCTGCATTTGTATATGGTAAATTTTGTGTTGGCAAACTATTGGACATAAATTTGCCTATAAAAACCACAACAGCCCCTACAATTTTGGGATTGGTTCTGCAATATCCTGTAAAGGAAAAAAACTTGGCAGTGTCTGCCTTCTCCTTTTGTTGATTAATCAATCTAATATTTTACAGGCACATCAAGACCAAGGCAGGTCCTACAAGGAGGTCTGTGCTGCGGTCATCGAACGATGCATGTTCTTATTTAATGAACTCCGACCTGCGACGGCCGATGAAATCAACGCTTTCACCAGGTCGAGGCTGCTGAAATCTGTTCCACGCTGGAGGGAGGTCATCTCTCGTATTGTAGAGGACAAGAGGAAAACAAAATGTAAGGAATTCTTCCTTTAAAAAAAAAAAAAAGCATGTTGAGTAAAAACCGACATCAAAACATTCCCATAAATGCTCTGACCCAGTCTTCAGTTTTGGATTAGCTGTTTTGTTTTTGAATGAAGAAAAAAAAAACTCCTCCTATACTTCTTTTTCTTCCTCTTCTTCATCTTTTTTTGTCTACTACTTCTTCTTCTTCTTCTTCTTCTTCTTCTTCTTCTTCTTCTTCTTCTTCTTCTTCTTCTTCTTCTTCTTCTTCTTCTTCTTCTTCTTCTTCTTTCTTCTTCTGTGTTTTCCCTCAAAATTTTGTTTGGCAAGTTGTGTTGTGATATCTGCAAATCCTTAATTAGTCTCCTTTTATGACAATACTTGTTAGGGGGCATTGTATCTATCTCCCCCACCCCCATTCCCAATGTTTTTTATTTGTTAAAATACATATTTCATTTTTTAGGCATCTTACACTATTCAGACTTAACACAAGTTTAAAAAAAAATAATACTGAAATACTGGTCTGGCTGTGTATTTAGCTTTTTTGTTTCTTTTTTGTTTCCTTTAGGCAAAACTGTGGCCCCAGAGAATGAAAACGATGAGGGAAATGAAAAAGATGATGAGGACACAGATTCTGTGCTGAGCGAGGCTGCTGGAGGAGAGGATGATGGAAAAGATGAGGCTGAGAAGGAGGAGCTGGGGAGAGAGGTGAAAGAGGATGACGAAGGGCAGTTTGAGGGAAATGAGTCAGCTTGTGATTTGACTTCTGGGCTTGGGAGTGAGGTCCTGACGGTAGAGGACATTCATCTAGAAGAGAGAGGAGAGGGGAATAAAGACGTGAAAGAGGAGGGGAAGAACAGCAGGAAGAGTCATGCTGAGACAGGGAGGACATCAGATCGGGACAAATTTGTAAGTGCTTTATGTATTTTAGAATTTTTAACTACCTATGACTAGCTTACTGTGCATTTTTCTCTCACTTCCACACTGCCTTCACATGCACTCTCTTTCTCTCTTTCTCACTCCCTCCCTCTTAACTTGAATCTAACTTTCTGTTCGTCTCCTTCTCAGTCAACTTACAATTTCTATTCCTCTCCTGTTTCTTAAGACCTTTCTTTCTGTGTCTCTCCCTTCAGTCGCTCTCAAAAACAATCAGGTGCCATCTTCACAGTGAAGTTTAGCTGCAATGGATCTCCATCATGCTCTGTCTCTTGTCCTGATTGTACACATTCTCATATTGCTGTTCATCCGTCTTGTAATATTGTCTTTCCACTTGTATCGTTGCCTACCTTTTCACCACATAACACGAGTCCATAAATCACCACAGAATACCTATCACTACATAAACCCTGTCACCACAAAATCTCCTTCTTCTGTCATCTCACTGATACCAGGTTGTAGCCCAGTAGCGTCGTGATTTTCTGTATTTGTCTTGTGCTTCTCGGGTGGCTTGAGTGATTAATTTATTTATCTTTTTTGCAGGTTTCAGCTACACCATTCATCCATCTCTTTCTTTCTTTGTCTTTCTCTCGCCTTCCCTCCAGATGTTCTACTGTAAACAGTCTGCAGTCTGGTCTGGCTGCAATTCACATGTGGTTATTTTCTGTGTCATTCATTGTAGATGGTACTGATAACATAACCAGATGTTTTGCACATCGAAATATCATCTGTCACCACATAACAATCAATATCCATAAGTCACCACATAACACCTGTCACCACCTGTCACCACATAAAACCTGTCCCTAAGTCACCACATAATCCCTGTCACCACATAACACCTGTCCATAAGTCACCATAATAACACCTATCACCACATAACCCCTGTCACCACATAACACCTGCTCATAAGTCTACACCTCTTACCACATAACTTATCCATAAGTCACCACACAACACCTGTCCCTTAGACTCATCCTCATAACAGGTGTCTATAAATCACCACATAACCCCTGTCGCTACTTAACACCTTTTTTAAAAATAAATAACCACAAAACACCTGTCCATAAATCACCAAGTAACACCTGTCCATAAATCACCAAGTAACACCTGTCCAATAATCACATAACATTTCTCTGTCCATGTGCCTTCAGGAAGATCCCTGGGAGCAAGTGGTTAGAGTGATCACCAACTCCCAGAAAATGCGCTGGCTCAAACAGAGACTGACTGGCAGCAGGGCTGAGACCAATCTCATCAGCCGGATCGTGGATTTTGTCATGTATGAACATCCAGTGGATATTGAGCGGTTGAGGAGGTCCTTGCACCATCAGGTCAGTTGGATTCTGCCTATCGGCTGCATTTTCACTCTTTAATTGATGTTGATTTTATGTCACTTTCTGTTATTGATCTTGATTTTATGTCACTTTCTGTTATTGATCTTGATTTTATGTCACTTTCTGTTATTGATCTAGATTTCCTGTCACTTTGTATTATTTATCTTGATTTCCTGTCACCTTTTGTTATCGATCTTATGTCACTTTCTGTTATTGATCTTGATTTTATGCTACTTTCTGCTATTGATCTTGATCTTACGTGACTTTATTTTATTCTTGTTCTTGATTTTATGTCACTTTATGTTATCTTGATTCTATATCATTTTTTATTTTATTTTTGATCTTGATCTTATGTAACTTTCTGTTATTGATCTTGATTTCCTGACACTTTGTGATAATAATCTTGATCTCATGAAATTTTATGTTATTGTTCTTGATTTCCAGTCACTTTGTATTATTGATCTTGATTTCCTGTCACTTTGTATTGTTGATCTTGATTTCATGACACTTTGTGATATTAATCTTGAACTTATGTAACTTTATGTTATTGATCTTGATTTCCTGTCACTTTGTATTATTGATCTTGATTTCCTGTCACTTTGTATTATTGATCTTGATGTCCTGTCACTTTGTATTATTGATCTTGATGTCCTGTCACTTTGTATTTTCAATCTTGATTTTATATCACTTTCTATTGATCTTGATTTCCTGCAACTTTCTATTGTTGATCTTGATTTCCTCACACTTTCTATTATTGATCTTGATCTTATGTGACTTTATTTTATTCTTGTTCTTGATTTTACGTCATTTTATGTTATCTTGATTTTGTATCATTTTTTATTTTATTTTTTGATATTGATCTTATGTAACTTTCTGTTATTGATCTTGATTTCCTGTCACTTTGTATTATTGATCTTGATTTCCTGTCACTTTGTATTATTAATCTTGATGTCCTGTCACTTTGTATTATCGATCTTGATTTTATATCACTGTCTATTGATCTTGTTTTTCTGTCACTTTCTTTTATTGATCTTGATCTTATGTCACTTTCTGCTATTGATCTGGATTTTTTGGGTTTATTTCTGCTATTGATCTTGATTTTATGTGACTCTTTTTTTATTATTGACTTGATTTTATGTTACAGTTTTTTTTATTATTGATCTTGATTTTTTTATCACTTTCTGTTATTGATCTTGATCTTACCTGATATTCTGTCTTTGATTTTATACCAGTTTTGATCTAAGAGCTATCTGACATTTTAAAACTTGATATAGATCTTTTAAATGTCTTTGATTACAAGACATTGTTTCATTGACCTACATCATATATGTCTCGCATTGACATTTATTTGTATTGTAATTGTAACCAACAACTTCCATGAACTTTTTATAATTGTAACATTTCACTTGCATCCAGATCTTCTAATTGTAACCTTTGACCTGCATTTCAGCCTTTTAATTGAAACCTTTGACCTGCACACAGGTCTTATTTGTAAGCTTTAACCTGCATATAGGTCTTCTAATGGTAACTTTTGGCCTGAATTTAGGTTGTATAATTTTACCATTGACCTGCATGCAGGTCTTATTTTTAAACCTTCTACCTGCATACACGTCTTATAATTATAACATGTGACCTTCATACAGGTCTTAGTATTGTAACATTTGACCTGCATACAAGTCTTATTGTAACCTTTGACCTGCATACAAATCTTATATTGTAACCTGTGACCTGCATATAAGGCTTATAATTTAACCTTTGACCTACATAAAGGACATAATTTTTTTTAACCTGTGACCTGCATGCAGGTCGTATTATATTTGTAACCTTTGAATTGCATAATGGGTTTTTTATATTATTGTGTAACCTCTGACCTGTATACAGGTGGCTAGAGCAGAAATGAGATTACAGGGGATCCAGAACATGCTGACCCTGGTCCACAAGGATCACCTGATCCCATCTGTCAAGTACAGTGTTATATGTGGCTGGCAGGGGCTTCTGACAGTTGGCTCCAAGAAACAGTATGTTGTAACTGTCTCTGTCTTGCCTAGCATTTTCCCACGTCAAGAAACAGTATGTTGTAACTGTCTCTGTCTTGCCTAGCATTTTCCCACGTCAAGAAACAGTATGTTGTAACTGTCTCTGTCTTGCCTAGCATTTTCCCACGTCAAGAAACAGTATGTTGTAACTGTCTCTGTCTTGCCTAGCATTTTCAAATGTCAGAAACAGTATGTTGTAACCGTCTCTGTCTTGCCTAGCATTTTCCCATGTCAAGAAACAGTATGTTGTAACTTTCTCTGTCTTGCTTAGCATTTTCCCACGTATAGCTTACTTCTCTACTCCACTTCTTTGACTGATGTGCCCCATACATTATTCCCTCAGCTGTTTCATCTCTGTCCATGATATTCTGAAAACTGGCACACCTACTGCCTCTGGTTTCCTCACAATTTCAGTAAACATTCAGCACTTACTTTCACACAGACAAATAGGCATGACTACATGACTTCTGTAAGAAAACAAATGGTTGTACTTGCAGCTGTTGTTTCATTACATTGCTAATCTTTGTAAGAGGGCTTCTAAATATTCAGTGTATACAATAAACAAATAGACTTGTACTGATTTGCACTCATAGAAAGAAGCTGCTGATATAAAACTCTATCTGCACAGTTGCCTGTGGGTCTCATCTCATCTTTTCTTGATATGGTGTTGAGGTGAAGTGTAATTTATGGAAAAGTGCCCGTTTGTTTGTTTCATAAATGTAGATTTCCAGGGACTCAGTTTGTTTCCCTCCGTCTATCGTTGGCATGGTCGGCCTGTGTTTTGCTTCCTTCATCTGGTCATCATTGCTTGCAGCAGTGAACTGTTTGTTGGCATTCATGTTTAAATAGCCAAACCATTTCGCCTATTGTTTTGTAATTTATTTGTTTGACTATGGGTAAACAAAGGTAAGCACTTAAAGAGGGGTGATTCTGGATGACGGAAGCAGAGGATACCATTAGCCAAATTTGCCCAATGGAATTTGTCAGGCTCATTATACACAGGAGCACACTTGACTGCTTTGTGATCTGTGGGGTGTGGTAAGGATGGGCATACACTGTGTAAGTGAATGAGATGATGGTCGGGGGTGGGGGGGGGGTGAATAGGCATATAGTTCAACTACTTCTAGTGAGATGTTGGGGATAACACCTGTCACACAGGAACTTGCATAGTTGATGGAACAGAAAGCATTTCATGCATTGATAGCGACAAACTCATTGAGCCTGCTTAAGAAGATCCAAACTGGCAAACTCTGACTAGAATGGGTTGGCATCCAGAAGTCCGGCCTCCAGAAACTATCTTGGCTGGACAGGCTGGGGTAAAAAAAAAATTGAAAGAGCTGACATACTGGCTGTGTCTGCAATGGTTGGGGAGGAAGGTGTATGGACAGCACAGGCATAATTAATGTGTTGCATTCCAGGGACGTTGAGACAAAGGAGTCAGAGCTTGGAACCTCCGGTTGAAAATAAGTATATTAAATGAGGACGAGAATGTAGAAACCGGTTGTGGGGCGAAGAAGGAAGATGTGCCAGCCAACTCCTCGCTGGGAATGTTGAGCATGGAGACACTGAGATGGCTGCTGTATCAAAGGACAGACCATGAATGGGTTAGACTGATATGCTGGGATGTCTGTATGGAAAAGCTATTTTACTGGTGGTTGGGGGAACAGTATATTCCTTACATCCCAAATTATTTTTTTCATTTGGTGTTCTGTGTTAGAATAAGCGCACCTGTGATTTACCTGTTATTCTGGCTGAACTGTTCAGTGGCTGCAAATTATATTTACCTTTGTCTGCAGTACCCCATTACCTCATTGCCTCATGGATGTCAAGCTGATCCCTCCTTGTGATCGCATTCTCCTGGAGATGACGTTTGCTGAACTCTACAAGTGGGCCATCCAGCAGCTCCGCTACTACGTCATGCAGGCAGACATGATGCTAAAATTACGGGGCATCAACCCAGCTGCTCCAAACCTATGTCCTGGCAAGGTAGCAGATTGTTTCTGTAATATTCTATATTTGTTTACTTATATTAGGCTTGTTTGTTTGGTGAGAAACTGGCCATAATATGATGTTAGTACGGGACTTTCCTGGTTGAGGCTGGAAAGGGTGGCAGCATTTATGTCAGAACGGTTTCAGAGGGAGTTGGAGAATGTTCAGGTATAGATGAGACAATACTGAGATTTTGATTAGATAAGGTGTCAAGAGATATTGATGAGATAGCATGTGTTGAGATATTGATGAGATAGAGTAAGTGGAGATAGTGATGAGATAGATTACACTGAGATATTGTTGAGATAGATTACATTGAGATATTGTTGAGATAGGGTGTGTTGAGTTGATGAGATAGGTTATCTTGAGATGTTGTTGAGATAGAGTATATTAAAGTCATCGTTTGAGTATGTTTAGATATTGATGAGATGTGTATGAATAGATATTGTTGAGAAATGATATTTTGAGATATTGATGAAATAGGGTATTTTGAGGTCCTGGTTTGAGTATGTTGAGATATTGATAAGTTAGTATATGATAAATGTATGCTGAGATAGAATATGATAAGATGTTTAAATATTGTATATTGAGTTATTAGTGTGATAAGCTATGTTGTGATAAAAGCTCAGTTGTTTTGTCTTGAGTTTTATAGTCACATTTTCTCCTTCTTCTTAAAGTCCATGCACTGTGGCGTTGGTAGTCATGTTTGTCCACAACCTTCTGTCTCATTAATTTTCAATCTCCGACACAGATCCTCCTCCATGCTATAATGTCAAGCCATCTGGCATCTTTTCTCTCAATCTCCCTCTGCCTCTCCTATCCTCCAACTTTCCTACTGTCAAGATTTTCTCCAGTTTTCTCCTTTTCATCACATGACCAAAGAATGTAGATTGTCTCTTTCTGATATGGGCAAAATGTAGATTGTCTCTTTCTGATGTGGGCAATCAGTTCTCTTCATGAGTGTTTCTTTCAGGACACCCTTTACAATTTATGTTCTATTTGTTATCTGATGATAAAAGACAATGGTCCAAATGTTTGGTTGCAATCGTGTGGGTCCTTTCCTTCATCTCTATTGAGCTTTCTAGTCAACTTTTATTGTTGTATTTAGTACTTCTATGTTGAGAGATTGTTGAGATATACTGTGTTGAGACATGGTGTGTTGAGTTATTGGTAAGACTGCCAATTTTCAGATATTACTGAGCTAAGATGTGTTGAGATTGGTTATGATCCCGGTGAGATAAAGTTTACATCCCAATTATGTATAGTTTGATCAATGTTTTATTAGTTGCCTTTCTCTGGTGGTAAACCATGTTCTTCTTGTAACTGTATGTGCCTTTACTCCTTACACAGGAGCGTCTGAGCCTCGGAGCCTTGCCCAGTTCCAGGTTCATCCTAGCCACCTTGGGACTCCTGGTGGCAGAACACTACTCCAACAGTCTCAGTCTGCTTCTCAACTCTGGGGTTCTGGCCCTGACACAAAGCATACTTCGACTTGCAGGTGAGTGTATCAACAACCTTGTACTACCTACCATGTGTTCTAGGACCTTTTTGCTGCTGATTATCTCTTCTGCTGTCTGATCTTTTAGATTGTTTCCCTATGCGTGTTTTGGAGGCCATATTATGGGGGAAAAGGGGGGGGGGGGGGGGTTAATGTTTAATTAAGAGTCAACATCACAGGACTGAGACATTAACAGAAACACTCCTTCTTATCTTCAGCAGCAAATGTAGAGTTCCATTTTTACGTTACCAGTAACGGTCTAATTGTACATCCGCCTCACCTTTTCCTTAGGTGTTGATCTTCGGTCAGATCCCCTGGTCACTCCTCACAGCACTGTTCTCCTCAGACTGTGATGATCCATCTGTCATTCGGCACTGCTCACTCACCCCAAAAGGGCCCTTACACTATCGTATTCTGCATCAGTTAATTTGGGAGATGGGGGAGGGAGGGGGGGGGGGTTGAGAACAGATTCACTGCCACTCTAACAAGCATGTCCTAAAAGGTGACTAATTAGGGGTTTGCTCATATCGGATGCATTCGGGCGAGAGACACAAGATATTGGAGCTTTGCTGTAAACCAGAACGCAATATGCCAACCACCTTTTTAAGGGTGAGCACAGGAAAAAATTTTGAGATGCTGGTGATGGACAAATAAGGCTAAAGTAAAGTAGAGTATATGTTGAGCTTTTGATAAGATTGAGTATGAGGTACTTTAAGCAGAATATGTTTGTTGAAATGCAGCTAAAGTAGAGTATGTTGAGATGCAGGTAAAGTAGAGAACATTAAGATGCAGGTAAAGTAGAGTATGTTGAAATGCAGGTAAAGTAGAGTATGTTGAAATGCAGGTAAAGTAGAGTATGTTGAAATGCAGGTAAAGTAGAGTATGTTGAGATGCAGGTAAAGTAGAGAACATTAAGATGCAGGTAGAGTATGTTGAGATGCAGGATAAGTAGACTGTGTTGGTATACAGGTAAAATAGAGTATGTTTAGTTCCTTATGAAATACTAGTGTATTGATGAAAGCTGGGTATAGTTGAGTAGACGACATTTCCCACTTGTACTGAGTCCATGTTTGTCCACACAGGTCCAGACCCTGATATTCCTTTGGCAGACAACTGCAGCACCATCTTCACCATCCCTGAGGAGCAGCTCAACAAGAAGACAACCCAGTCGGTGCCCCTGGCGGGACCCGAGCTGGCAGCCATGATGAAAGTTGGGGCCCGCGTTATGAGAGGTGTCGACTGGAAGTGGGGAGACCAGGTATTGTGCTGTGTCTCTTCTTGTTGTCTGTATATGTGGAAGCAACTCAGTCCTTATATGTGGAAGCAACTCAGTCCTTATATGTGGAGGCAACTCAGTCCTTATATGTGGAAGCAACTCAGTCCTTATATGTGGAAGCAACTCAGTCCTTATATGTGGAAGCAACTCAGTCCTTATATGTGGAAGCAACTCAGTCCTTATATGTGGAAGCTACTCAGTCCTTATATGTGGAAGCAACTCAGTCCTTATATGTGGAAGCAACTCAGTCCTTATATGTGGAAACAACTCAGTCTTTGTTTATACATGTCTACATCTTCTACTTGTTCTTCTTCATGTTCACTGGCTGTAATCTCCCGCAGAAAGTTCTGGTTATTTGTATGCAGATTGATGGTTCCTTACCTCTCAGGCACATGCACGCCGACTTTGAAGGAAACACTCCCTAATTACTTGACTTTTACTACAAGTGTTTAAGGGAGCTCTGGGTCTATTCTCTCTCCTCCCCCACCCCTGACATGGGGCCCCAAAACGCATATGGGGTGATTACATTTAAAAGGACCTTTTTCACACATTTGAAACATTGGCAGTGTAGTGCCAGATGTATATTTTTTTAAAACCAGTAATCAGTTGGTGGATTTAGGTTTTAGGTTTAGACGACCAATCAACATCATAGCACAAGGGGTAACCGATAAGAGCTTCTTTTAACTTCTGACTCAAGCCTGAGTTTGAAGAATCTCTGCGCAGTGCACAAACTCCTTAGTACCGGCGAGAATCCTGAAATGTTTTAGGTAGATTTTTAACTCCAGGTTTTGCTCTGGCAGCGCCTTTAGGCTACTCAGAATTGTTTCTTGAAGGATTTTTTGTACATGCGCAACAATACACTCGGGCGTTCGATCTTACTATCCAGAGACCAGGGGAAATTGATAGTAGTCCACGTTAAAAAAATCCCAGCCCTCACCTGGGCCTGAACCTGGGACCTCCAGCACTCAAAGCGGACTCCATGCCTCTAAACCACGCGGCCCACCTGCATTAGCTGGTGGGTGATATGGTCAGCATCACAGTTGCTTTTACCTTCCAGGACAATACCTTGTACCCTCTCTAGGCTAGGTCAGTTATGAAAAAATCAGGATTTGAACCCTAGACCTTTGGGCTAGCAGACGAGCATGTCCTTATGCATCCTGCATGATAAAATCTACACCTTATGAAATTTGCTAAGGGAGACTGAGCATTTGTAAGTGTTATTATGTTGGTTCTTCTTAACCCTTTCACCCAGACAAGTCGAAAAAAAAACAACACTTCCGGTTGGGCCCAAATCCTCGTAAATGTAACTTTTCAGACTTGTCTATAGTGACCTATTTATGAGACCCATAGTTAATGTTATTGGTTGTTTTCTGTCAAAGAGCTTATCACTATAACTTTGATTTAGTGCGTTGTCGTAAATAAACTATTTGAAAACAAACACCAGGACAAATTAAAATAAAACATTTAGATTTTTCGACATATCAGCTGCAAATTCTGGCATCTCATTCTTCTAGAAACAAGGCATGTAAGCTAGAATATTTGCTTCCTGTGTTAAAAATATCTTTAGAAATTGACTTTGTTAAAAAGTTGCCTTCTGTCAAAATTTACCTTTTTCTAGCTAGAAAACATTTACCTGTGAAAAGTTGTCAATTTCAGTGAGGAAATAAGAGTAGTTTAAAAGTCCTGTATCAAAAGCCTTTACTGATGTATGCGTGTGGGACATGGGCAGTAAGTGATGAAGTTACAAAACCTCTGATGACAGTGCAACATTTCTGAGAAAAAGGCAAAAGATTTTATGGATGGACAGAAATGCAAATGATGTTTTTTTTCTTTTTTAAAGAGACAAAAGAAAATTATAAAATAGTTAGAGAAATCAGATACAGACAGTAAAGATGATTTGAGTATATTGTGTGCACAAATAAACTTAAAAAAACTTTGACAGATATGATGAGAAAAGATTAGTTGGCGCCGTTCCATCTTTAAAAAAAAAAAAGATAAAAAGTTAAAGAAGAGAATTTCTATATATGGTTGGGGTAATGGGGTAGTGGAAAAAAGAAGGGGGGGGGGGGGGGGAGATTGGAGATAGTAGCCACATTTTTTTAAGGTGGGGGACCTACAGGGTTCCCAAGCTCCCAGGTTCTGGCTACTCTGACCAAGAACACTTTTGGGTATATTTAAAGAAAAAAAGGAAATGACAGTATTATCACTATCTGCTGGTTTGGCATCATTCAGGATGGGCCACCCCCAAGTCTGGGTCATGTGATCGGGGAACTGGGAGAGGATGGCTGGATCAGAGTCCAGTGGGACACGGGCAGCACCAACAGCTACAGGATGGGTAAAGAAGGCAAGTACGACCTCAAGCTGGCCCAGATGCCTGAGGTGACTGACAATGAGGATGATGATGAGGAGGAGGAGACATCAAGTGGTAAGATGACAAGTTTGGTTGTATAGAATGTCTGATGTTTGCAGAGCAACTGTAGTGTTATGTGTGTGGGGGAGGGGGGGGGGGAGGTGTAAAGTTTAATTCTTTCAGTTTTAGTGTTTTACTGTGTAAGATATTACATTGATGAGGATGAGCATGTGTAAGACATTACACTGATAAGTATGAACATGTGTAAGATATTACACTGATGAGTATGAACATGTGTAAGACATTACACTGATGAGCATGAGCTTGTGTAAGACATTACACTGATGAGTATAAACATGTGTAAGACATTACACTGATGAGCATGAGCTTGTGTAAGACATTACACTGATGAGTATGAACATGTGTAAGACATTACACTGATGAGCATGAGCTTGTGTAAGACATTACACTGATGAGTATGAACATGTGTAAGACATTACACTGATGAGTATCAACTTGTGTACGGCATTACACTGATGAGTTTGAGCTTGTGTAACACATTACATTGATGAGAATGAGCATGTGTAAGAAATTCTACTGATGAGTATGAGCATGTGTAAGAAATTCCACTGATGAGTATGAGCTTGTGTAAGACATTTTACTGATGAGTATGATCTTTGGTAAGACATTATACTGATGAGTATGATCGTGGGTAAGACATTAAACTGTATAACAGTTTAAACTGATGAATATGAGCTTGTTTAAGACATTACATATATGAGTATCAGCTTGTGTAAGACATTACACTGAAAAGTAGAAGATTATGTGAGCCATAAGACTGATTTATAATTCACTGTGAAAGAATTAAACTGATTAATAACAGATTGTGTGAAACATGAAATTAATGAGTAAGGAGAAGACAAATTTATGTGAGAATTTTGCACTAATGAGTGAATTATTTTGTTATGTCTTTCTGACGACTAAAGGATTTTATAAGACACTGATGAGTAAAAGATTATATAAGACATCACACTGATAAGAGAAAGATTTAAAAAAAAAAAACATGACTAATGAGTGAAAGATTTTGTAAGATTTTACCTGAATGAGTGAAAGATAATGTACAACATTGCACCACTGAGTGAAAAACTTTGCACTAATTAGTGAAATTTATGTAATACTTTACATAACTGCATGAAAGATTGTGTAAGACATTACACTGAAAGAGAAAGGTTATGTAAGACATTACACTGAAAAGAGAAAGATTATGTAAGACATTATACTGATAAGAGAAAGATTATGTTAGACCATATACTTTTTACTGAAAGAAAAGATACATTATACAGTGAGAGAAAGACAGTAGAAGACCCACCGGCAAAGTTGAAACAAGGGTAACAATTGTTTTCTGTTGCTACTGTAGAGAAGAGCCAGACAGAGAGCAAACATCCTACCAACCTGATCCGGAAATCCACCCTGAACCTGCTGACAACCTTGTCCCTGTGTGCAGGGATCCACTCTGAGAATGCTCAGCCAGAGGCCGTAGCCTCTCTGTGTGGACTGATGCTGAGCATTGTGGATGCTGGTTGTAATTATGGACCAAGTATGAATAGCGTTTGTTGTATTGTCCTCTTACCTGTGAATAGCCAAATTTTGAACTGCTATCAACTGTTAATGTATGCCCCCCCCCCCCCCCCCCCCACTCCAACCTTTTCCCAACCATTAACTCTTTTTGTACCAGGTAACACATCATGTGGCTCTTCAGTCAAGTGGCTAGTAAATGTGTTTCATAGTCCTTGATGTCTCAGGGCTCAATTTCTTAGAAAAAAGGACTGTTTACTAGGCTTTCTGATACAGGAGTAGTTTCATGGAAGATGTTAGGACACCCACCACCTAATGTGAGTGAACTGGGGAGTATATTGGCTTTATCCTAGGAAGAGGAGATGCAACCTAAAAATTCTTTGTTATGACAGGGCAGGGCAGGCCCTTAGCCTTGGCCGGCAGCTGTCTGTGAGGGAAGATCTGACAGGCGCACAGAGAGAGCACTGCTCTTCTGATGGAGCAGCTTCTGCAGCACGTTTTTCCCCAGTCATACTGGTGGATACTTCACTTATAAAGGATTCACTTATTTACTTACTTTATTTAATTGTTACTGTAGAATGCATCTGACGAGATACAGTGAAATATGCCAGGCAATAAATTATGCTATCTATTTTTTGTGCCTTCTTTGTTCAAATTTACAACAGGGAAGCATTGCTTTGATCATTAAAAAAAGTGTTACATACTCACTGTTTTAGTTGCGGATTCCATGGCTTAGACATTGCGAGTCGGACTCGTAATTCCAACGTGCCACAATCAAAACCCGCTGCTGGATCTTTGTCATGGTATGGGGCGTCATGGGTTGACCCAGCCTAAAATGGGTACTAGGATGTATTTCCCTGGGGAAGTAAAGACGGCCGGCGTAATGCTGACTAAATTACCTACCTAGTGTCGATTGGTCTGTAAAAATGCTCTTCCCATATGCTCGATGTGCCTAAAGGCACAAAAAGGGATCTTTACTTACTGTTTAAATCTGAATACAGTTAGAGAGACGACCGTCATGATTCTAAACATTATTTTAATAATGAGAAGAAGAATAATGGAAGAGTAGATGAGGCAGGCCAAGTTAAATCTGATTCCCACATTTAGCTGACTGGACAAACCTTAGACTGACTCCCCATTCTTCTACTTCTTCAGAAAGCATTATTGTGAACCCATAAAGTTTCTGCTGCAGATATCACTTACCTCCATCGTTTCTGTGACTAACCTTCTCTTTCCTTTTGATAACTCCCAAGTGTTTCATCTTATCAAAAACCTGTTGATGCTGGAATAAACAAGTTTCTTAACTCCTTCTTCTTCTGCCTTTCTTTTCTTGCCCCAATGGAGTATAGGCCTTCAACCAACTCACACCAAGTTGTTCTATCCTTTGCTATCACATGCAGCTCTCCCCATGACCTCCCCCTCATTTTAACTTTACTGTATGGCTTTCTTCTCCATGTGTTTTTTTTAAATCTTTCTTGTTTTCTGTACCCCTGTGGGTTCCAGTGCAAAGACATTCTAGTTATATTATTCTCAGGTTTTCTCAATGTGCGTCCTATCCAATGCCAGCATCTTTTCTTCACTTCTTGGTCCACTGGAACCTGTTTAGTTTCTTAACCTAGCTCAACATTTCTTTCGTCTTTTCAGTCTTTAAGAGTCAGATATGCATATTTCTGCAGACACCAACTCTGCTGCGGCACATATTGCCAGCCAGCAGCACATGAAATGGTGCACCCTGGGATTTGTGCGCAGCATTGCCACCAGTCCCGTCATCTGCCAGGCTCTCAGCTCTCCCAGGTGGATGTCCCTGCTGCTGAAGATTCTGGAGGAGGACCATAGCTCCAAGTACTCCAAGAATGTATACAGACAGGTGAGTACAGATGTGCTTTTTTATCATACCTTATGGGTAAGGCAGGTTTCATACACAAGTGAGTACTGGTGTGCTTTTCCATACCTTATGGATACAGATAGATAATTTCATATAAGGTTAGAATATGTGTGCTAATTCATGCTTTATGGGTACAGGTAGATCGTTTCATACACAGGTGAGTATATGTGTGCTTTTTTATACTTAATGGGTACTGGTAAATCATTTCATTCACAGGTGAGTACATGTGTGCTATTTTATACTTAATGGATACAGCTAGATAGTTTCATACACAGGTGAGTACATGTGTGCTGTTTCATACCTAATGGGTACAGGTAGATCGTTTCATTAAAGGTGATTACAGGTGTGCTCTTTTATACTTTATGGGTTCAGGTAGATTCTTTCATACACAGATGAGTACAGGTGTGTCCTTTCATACTTCAATTCCAGCTGCAGGCAGTTTGGCAGCAGACTGCTTTACCTTAATTTTGACAGTGGTATATAGTATTGACCATTCACAAAGCAGTGGCAAATTACTGAACATAAAATTGCCTAGTAAAACAGACAACCAAAACAATGCTCGTATTGGTTCTTCATTGTCCTTAAAGGATATGTAACTAACTTAACAGGGGTTATTTATCTGAAAGGCAGTTTGGCACCTGTATCATGTATGTACATAAACAAACGGCAACATAGTACCAGTGGAGAGAGAGAGAGACACACACACACACACACACACACACACACTCACTCACTCACTCACTCACTCACTCACTCACTCACTCACTCACTCACTCACTCACTCACTCACTCACTCACTCTCTCTCTCTCTCTCTCTCTCTCTCTCTCTCTCTCTCTCTCTCTCACTCACGCTCTCACTCTCTCACTCTCTCACTCTCTTTCTCACTTTCTCACTCTCTCACTCACTTTCTCACTCTCACTCACTCTCTCTCTCATTCTCTCACTTTCTCTCTGTTTCTATCTCCCCCCCCCCCCTCTTCCTCTCTCTCCCCCTTTCCCTCTCTCTCCCCTTCCTAGGAACCTTCATTTCCTACTACCTACCTACATATAGAGATGATACTACTATCTGATTGACACATTCTCATAGAGACTTCTGTTAAATTATTAGCAGCATGAGGACATTGTCCAGAGAAACCCTACAATAACGGTTGGTGAGAGGCCAAAGGATCTAGTCTGGATATCATTCATGTTATCGAAAAGATTATTCCCATGTGAGATCTGGGGCCCTAATTTTAGAGCAAAAATACAAGAAGAAGATTGTAAACTCTCATGGTGATCAGCTTAATTTGTTTGGGACTATACTAGTTATAGTAAAGAGGGAAGCTCAACCAACACTCAAGGAAAAGGCGAGACAAACGTACAATCAGGCAGTTACTGGTACCATCAGAATTGGAACCCTTCACTTGATGCTGAAGATGGGGGTGGAGCGGTTATAGGAGTGTCCCGAGTGCTATGATGTTGATTCTTAATTCAACATTCAGCATTAACAACTGGGGGGAAAAAGAAATAGACCCACCACGCCCTTAACAAGCATGTCATAAAAGGGGACTAATTAGGGGTTTGCTGATGTTGGATGTGTTGCACTGGAAGGTGCAGATATCACAGCCTGGCTGTAAACGACAGCACAGTATGCCAACTGCCCCGTTGAAGGCAAACAGAAGGAAAAATTTCATGTTGTCCCACTTCATGTTGTCCCACTTCATGTTGTCCCACTCATATATTCCACACTTATGATCCACTCCTGTGCCCCGCCTCTGTGTCCCACTTCTGTGCTTGTTGGTTAAACATCTGTGTGTTTGTCTGTACAGATTCTGATTCTCAGACTGTTCATTATAATACCTGGGTGTCTGTATAGATTAAGTTTCTCAAACTGTTGATTATAATAACACCTATGTGTCTGTCTGTACAGATTCTGATTGTCAAACTGTTGATTATAACAAATGTTGGTCTGTACAAATTCTGATTCTTAAACTGTTGATTATAACACCTGTGTATCTGTTTATACAGATTCTGATCCTCAGACTGTTGATTATAATGCCTGTCTGTACAGATTCTGATTATCAAACTGTTGATTATAACACCTATGTGTCTGTCTGTACATATTCTGATTGTCAAACTGTTGATTATAACACCTATGTGTCTGTCTGTACAGATTCTGATTTTCAAACTGTTGATTATAACACATGTTGGTCTGTACAGATTCTGATTCTTAAACTGTTGATTATAACACCTGTGTATCTGTTTAAACAGATTCTGATTCTCAAACTGTTGAGAACTGTGCTGCCAGCCTGGGATCACTACTCGGACAGTGTGAGAGTTGTTGAGATTGTTGAGCGACTCTTCTCTTTCCTGGGCACCATTCTCATGGGCTGTGCTTCAGACATGACCTTGACTTCATCATGTAAGTGACAGTTTGAGGCATTTACCTGGATGTATAAGATGACAAACCATGATGGCCGTGCTTATTGGCATTGCACATGAGGATGTTTATAATGATGTCTGTGTGGACACAGTGTAGTGCTTTTAGTGATATCTGTAGGAAATCCACACAATTAAATTCTTTTAGAGATGTCTGTGTGATCTCCACACAGTTAAATGCTTTTAAGGATATCTTTGTAGTCTCCACACAGTTTAATGCTTTTATGGATATCTTTTGTGGTCTCCACACTGTCCAATGCTTTTCTGGATATCTTTGTTGTCTCCACACAATTTAATGCTATTAGGGATATCTTTTGTGGTCTCTACACAGTTAAATGCTTTTAGGGATATCTTTGAGATCTCCACACAGTTTAATGCTTTTAGGGATATCTTTGTGGTCTCAACACAATTTTATGCTTTTAATAATGTCTGTGTGGACTTTACACAGTTTAATGCTTTTAGTGATGTCTGTGTGGTTTAATGCTTTTAGTGATGTCTGTGTGGCTTGATGCTTTTAGTGATATCTGTGTTGCTTGATGTTTTTAGTGATGTCTGTATGTCTCCACACAGTAGTTAACTGATTTTAGTAATGTATATGTGGACTTCACAGAGTTGAATGCTTTTAGTGATGTCTGTGTGGTTTAATGCTTTTAGTGATGCCTGTGTGGTTTAATGCCTTTAGTGATGTCTGTGTGGCTTGGTGCTTTTAGTGATGTCTTCTTCTTCTTCTTCTTCACGTTCACCAGCTGTAAACTCTGGCGGAAGGTTCTGGTTGCTCGTCCACTACTGAACTGCAGTCCTGCTACAGAACCTCAGTGTTGCGTGTGCATCAGTTTTACAGATCTCATTCTCTTGAATACAGACTGTTGGTTCCTTGCCTCTCCGGCAGATGCACTCCGACTTCAAAGGAAGCTTCCCAATTAGTCGACTCTTACGACATGCTTTTGGGGAGGCAGTGGGTCTATTCTTGTTTTCCCCACAATGGGGCCCCGGAACCCACACGGGGGTTAGTGATGTCTGTGTGGTTTAATGCTTTTAGTGATGTCTGTGTGGCTTGATGCTTTTAGTGATGTCTGTGTGGTTTAATGCTTTTAGTGATGTCTGTGTGGTTTAATGCTTTTAGTGATGTCTGTGTGGCTTGATGCTTTTAGTGATGTCTGTGTGGTTTAATGCTTTTAGTGATGTCTGTGTGGTTTAATGCTTTTAGTGATGACTGTGTGGCTTGATGCTTTTAGTGATGTCTGTGTGGTTTAATGCTTTTAGTGATGTCTGTGTGTCTCCATACACTTAACTGATTTTAGTGATGTATATGTGGACAGAGTTGAATGCTTTTAGTGAAGTCAGTGTTGTCTCCACACATATTAATGCTTTTAGTGATAGCTGTGGTTGTGTGTTGTGCCTTTAGTGAAAGTCTATGTGGTCTTGACTGAATTGAATGTTCATAATGATGTTGGTATAGATTTCACGCAGTTTAACCCTTTTGCGCCAGTGATCTAAAAACTAAAATGCTATTGACTTGTATTTAATTAATTCTAAAAAAAAAATGGTTAAGAAAAACATTTTGCACAGGTCACACACGCACACATGTTCCATTTATGGGCCAAAACAACATTAAACTGTATACAGAATAAGAGGAGTAATCAGTAAACACGACTGTGGCAGAGAATTATCTAGGTTACATATGTAACATTGTGAGCCTAAAAGAATTATATTGTGACTCATTCTTGAGCCCGTGACCCAGTTGCTGGGCAACTATGACAACTAAGCTTAACAGGACATTTGACCTCATAATTTCTGTTAATAATAAAATTTCTTTTTCACACAAAAACCCTGCCTGACTGCTATTTTTATTAGCAAATAGAATCATTTCTGGTGATCCTAAACATTTGCACATATGCACAACGTCACCAGTGTTGTTAGGTGGCTAGACATCTTGTGAAAATAACGTAGTCGACAAAGCAACATTTACAGGGTCATGTCACAAACCGTGAGAGCTGGTTTTGTGGCTTCTCGGATTGAAGTGGTTAAAATTCTTCATGTTTTTTTTAGACTCCACACAAAAACTTTTGCTCATAATAGAATGTGAATATGTATTTTTTTTTTTACAACCACAGTGGAGGGCACTGATGACAAGAAACACTACACCCCAGTCTCCATCACAGCAACCTACACTAGCACCATGGCGGAGGAGGTGATAGCCCTGCTGCGCCGGCTGCATGTCCTGCCTGTGTGGAATGCAGCTGTCAACCGGTACATCGCCAGCCAGCTGCCCAACATCATCAGCCTGCTGGCAGAGAAGAGAACCCACCACGTGAGTCTGAATCTTAGCACATTGCCCATCAACACAGTCACCTTCTGTAGGTTAATTGACAGGTTCCATACTTGATGATTTCTTCTAGAAGTAGCCTGGAAAGTTGTCATTAATGTGTGTTTGTATTGATAATTGATGTGATTCTTTCTCTTTCTGTCTTATCTAACTAAAAGTGGGTTGTAATGTCAAAAATAGTATAGACTTTAGGTGTGGGTTTGTAAATTTGTAAAAATTTTTTTTTTAGATGTTGCGAGAAGTAGCTGGTTGAGTGGTTACAGCGTCAGGATCTCATGCAGAGATCCGAGTTCGACCCCTGGTAAGGTTATAGAGTTTTTCTGTCGAAGACAAAATTGAACATCCTAACCTGCACAGTCCATGGCGACAGCACTGGCCGTGCAGCCCTCAATCCTCATGCTCAAAGCCTCCTGTCTACACCGCCGTAAAATGTGGTTCAACAGACAGTAGTGATAGTGACAGTACTTAGATATTACACTGTAGTATTTCTTTTTGCCTGGCTGGTTATAACCGTATTTCTAATTTCTTAGGGGTTTGTTGTTGTTGTATCTGACATCATCATTATGTTCCGTACAATTGAGGCAGAAGGGGAGAATAGAACAGCTTTGACATCCTAGCATGATCTGCACATTGACATCCTACATGATCTGCAGATATTGACATCCTACATGATCTGAACACTGACATCCTACATGATCTGAACACTGACATCGTACATGATCTGAACACTGACATCCTACATGATCTGCACATTGACATCCTACATGATCTGCATATTGACATCCTACATGATCTGAACACTGACATCCTACATGATCTGAACACTGACATCCTACATGATCTGAACACTGACATCCTACATGATCTGAACACTGACATCCTACATGATCTGAACACTGACATCTTGCATGATCTGAACACTGACATCCTACATGATCTGCACATTGACATCCTACATGATCTGCATATTGACATCCTACATGATCTGAACACTGACATCCTACATGATCTGAACACTGACATCGTACATGATCTGAACACTGACATCCTACATGATCTGCACATTGACATCCTACATGATCTGCATATTGACATCCTACATGATCTGAACACTGACATCCTACATGATCTGAACACTGACATCCTACATGATCTGAACACTGACATCCTACATGATCTGAACACTAACATCCTACATGATCTGAACACTGACATCTTGCATGATCTGAACACTGACATCCTACATGATCTGCACATTGACATACTACATGATCTGCACATTGACATACTACATGATCTGAACATTGACATACTACATGATCTGCACATTGACATCCTAGATGATCTGAACATTGACATCCTACATGATCGGAACATTTATATCCTACATGATCTGAACACTGACGACCTACATAATCTAAACACTGACATCCTACATGATCTGTCTGAACATTGATACCCTACATAATCCGAACACTGACAACCTACTTAATCTGAACACTGACATCTTACACAGTCTGAACACTGACATCCTACATGATCTGCACATTGACATCCTACATGATCTGTACACTGACATTCTACATAATCTGAACACTGACATCCTACATGATCTGCACATTGTCATCCTACATGATCTGTACACTGACATTCTACATAATCTGAACATTGACATCCTACATAATCTGAACACTGACATCCTAAATTATCTGAACACTGACATCCTATATAATCTGAACACTGACATCCTACACAATATGAACACTGACATCCTACACGATCTGAACACTGACATGCTACACAATCTGAACACTGACATCCTACACGATCTGAACACTGACATACTACACAATCTGAACACTGACATCCTACACGATCTGAACACTGACATACTACATAATCTGAACACTGACATGCTACACAATCTGAACACTGACATCCTACATGATCTGATCATCGGAGAGAACTGGGTGGTAAACATCATTCTGTCTTGAGATGTATTATCACCTCAAATGCAAACCCTTGTTTTTGTGTTGTACTGTTTAATCCTTTCCCATAATCAGTAGGCATACATCTGCATTGTCTGACACTTACTCTTTTCCTGATTTAGATGTTTTTCAGTGTCTTGATGCCAATCTTTCTAGCATCTTCTCTTTGTAGGTTACCTTGATTCTCTTCTCAGCTGTTGTCACAGTGTGTGCATGTTTCATATCCATCTGCTTTCGTATATCTCTGCGTATAGTTTTCTCTACGTCTTGATCCCTTTACAATCAAATACTGAAACACGCATCTACTCTATTTGTGTGTGTGTGTTACTGTTTCAGATTCCCCTGACAGATTTTCATGTGGAGAAGATGCCCATGACAGAGGCAACACTGGCCAACTGGGCTATGTTGTGTAGCCTGGCCTGTGCTGCAGTGAGGACTGACAGAGATAAGGACACTACGCCTCGGGCACCCCTGGCCACCAGCACTGGCAGTATTGATTCACTGGGTAAGCCGTCCATGCCAGTGGGTTTTTTCTTCTCCTCCTCTTCCACCTTGTCTTTCTCCTTCATCAGCATTAATTTCTTCTTCTCCTCCTCCACTTTTTCATGGAAAGAAATGCTAATGAACTGACTGCCAAAGAAGGTCATGGGCATCACACTTCCAAAGAAGTTATCACACATCCATTATCTTTTTTCTTGCCCTTATTGTAGCACTTTTTAGGACAATATAGGGCAGATGTCATTTATAGCCTGAGGATTTAAGACTGTAGTGCTAGTGCAGTTGTCACAAACTCTGCAGGTAAGGATTTTATTTTTTCCCCTAACAGAAAGCATACACATACCAAAAAACTATCTTTCACCTTTGAGAAAACCGTTACTTGTTTTCCAGAAAATCACCTGACTTTCATAGAACTAAATCTTTGTAACAATTCTTCATTTTTAAGGAAATCACCTGACTTTGAAAACACTCTCTATAAGTTCCTTGTTTTTCAGAAAACCACCTGACTGTAAAAGCATTAACTCTTTAACAGTTCCTTGTTTTTCAGGAAATCACCTGACTTTCATGAACTAAACCTTTGCAACTCCCTGTTTTCCAGGAAATCACCTAACTTTCAAAGAACTCCGCAAGCAGTACATCCGTCTCTGCCTGCTGGGAGCTGTAGCCAAGCTGTTCAGTCAGCAGGATGTGCTGCGCCAGATCCTGTCTCAGACAATCCCCTTGGAGCACAGTCCTGTGGACACATCACTGCCTGTAGAAGAAGATAGGGAAGGGGATGGGCAGGGCCAGGTGACCTTGATGCAGCAGCTGCTGACAACTGCCACCCAGCCATCCCCTCTCAAGGCTGTCTTCTCTGTAGAAGAAATGGAGGTAATGAAGATGTAATGTGTACATTGCCTCTTTATGGTGCTTTGTACAAAATAATACATGTATTGTTTTCAGTTCTAATGTTATTTTAGTGTTACGTCTGCGTGAAAGTTGGAGAAACACTAAAGACATGAAACAAAAGTTAAAAACAAATGCCTAAGGAAATCATCAAACATAAAATGGGATGAATACAAGAGGCGTGAAGAAATAAGAGAAATGTCTTTTAAACCACTGTTTACAACAGTTGTAAGACAAAAGTAGATTGTGCTTTATTGGAAACACCTTGAAAATAAATGAATGTTGAGTACTGAATTAAGAGTCACCATCACAGCACTCAGGATATTCCCCAAACGCTCAGTCTCCAACATCTCCATAAAAAAACTACTTGTGAACTGAACGACGTGTTCGTGAAACAAACCTACGACCTTTAAAGTGCACAGCAAGTGGTTTGTCCCACATTACCACAACGGGTGGAAGAAATGGCCGTAATGATAACTGTAGAATTGGGCTTTTCAACTGGTGGCCTAGCAAGTGATCTTGCCTGTGGCGATCCTCATTTTCAAAATTGTGGTCACTGAGTGAACTGAGTTTAATAGCCCTGCTGTGGAGTGTAGACTGCCTCATTTTGGTGCCATGTACATGCGTGCATATGTGTGTGCATGCACGCATATGTTAGAGAGAGAGGGAGAAAGAGAGAGGATAACAAATGTATTAATGGAAATGGTATTCTGTCCTGTTATGGGGTCTCACCCAGTCCCCGTTCTGGAGTGTCATCCAGTCCTGTCGGTGGGTCTCATTCAGTCCTGAGATGGGGTCTTGTACAATCCTACCATGGGGTCCCATCCCGTCCTGTCCTGAGGTCACATCCAGTCACATCATGAGGTCTCGTCCGTCTTGTCATGGGGTCTCATCTGGTCCTGTGGTGAGGTCTCATTCAATGCAACCATGGGGTCTCATCCAGTTTTATGAATAATCTCATCCGGTCACACCATGGGATCTCATGTAGTATTATCATGTAGTCTCTTACAGTCCTATGATGAGGTCTCATCCATGGGGTTTCAACCAATCCCACCATGGGGGCTCATTTAGTCTAGCCATGGGGTCTCATCCAGGAAAGCCATGGGATCTCATACAGTTCTGCCTTAGAAGGTTTGACATCCCTGCCTTGCCTGTAAAAAAATATTACCATGGAGGGTAATTGTAGACAAGCAAGAGTTGTATGTGATTCACATAATCAGTTAGGGGAAAAAAAGTAGCTCAAACATGGATGTTTCTACTGAAGTCCAGTTCATTTTTTTTTCACCCCAAGATTCGCCTCCACCCCTCTTTTTTCTTCCTGACCAGGATCAAGTAATAAAGTCATGGATCAGGAGTTGAGTTAATTATATCGGGATCAGAGGTTAAGGTAATGTATTATATCTGGGTTAGAGGTTAAGGAATATATTGTGTTTGGGTCAGAGTTTGTGGAATTTATCTTTGGGTCAGAGGTTAAGAAATATTTCTAGGTCAAAGGTTGAAGAGTATATCAGGTCTGGGTCAGAGGTTAAGGAATATATTGTGTTTGGGTCAGAGGTTGTGGAATTTATCTTTGGGCCAGAGGTTAAGAAATATTTCTGGGTCAGAGGTTGAAGAGTATATTAGGTCAGGATCAGAGGTTAAGGAATATATTGTGTTTGGGTCAGAGGTTGTGGAATGTATCTTTGGGTCAGAGGTTAAGAAATATATTATTTCTGGGTCAGAGGTTGAAGAGTATATTACGTCTGGGTCAGAGGTTGTGGAATATATTATTTAAGGGTCTGAGGTTAAGGTAATTTATCTAGGTCATGATTAAGGTAATGTTTTGTAACCGGGTCATGATAGTTGAGTAATAGTTATAGTAAATTACTGGGTCATGAGATGAAGTGTGATCAAGAGAAGTAGTATATGCACAATTGTGGCCAAAAGTTTAACACCACATAATCAGTTATTGATATTTCCAGACTGTTATTAAGTATTGCGTCCACTGCTATTTTAGGGCATACTAAATGCAATCATTACAGTTGATTGTATCATCCTTACATTATATATCTCAGAAAATGGGCAAATCTGACACTTTTCAAAATTAAAAATGCTGAAATAGTAAAATTATGCAGAGAAAAGAACACCAAATGTGATATTTCTGTTTAGATATGCTAAAGCAGGTCAGCGGTTCACGGTTTGATTATCATGTACCAGTTGGATAGTAGGAATTTTTCAGGCCGAAAAATTTAGTGCACTTTAAATTAGCATTTGAAGCAGTAATCTGTAACAGTATGAAAATATCCCTTATCTGCTAGCCTGTATTATTCTATTGAGCCACCACTGTATGAGTCAGGAGGTAGGGTAAGTATGTATATGTCAGGAGTTAAAGTGATTTGTATAATCAGGAGTTGTAGTTAATGTGTTTAATAAGGACTTGAAGTAATATATATGATTAGAAGTCAAAGTTAAATTTATATATATATCATCAGGAGTTGTAATGTATGTAAGAGTCAGGAGTCGAGTAATGTGTGTATAGAAGCATGAGTCAGAGTAAAATGTATGAGTCCGGAGTTAAGGTAGTATGTTTCTGTACAGTGTTCATTAATAGACCACAACATCTGCTATGCCTGCACTTTTGCTTGTATCAAAACAGGAGGTGGTTTGTTGTCCAGTGCCGATACTCCAACAGTGGAAGCAGTGGTCAGCTGGCTGCTGGAACATCCGAGCCCAGGCAATGACGACTCGGACACAGAAATCGGGTCTTCTGAAGGGGGATACTCTGACAGTGACTCGGTCTCTGATGGTTATGATGAATACGAGGGATTTGATGTGAGTCATTATCAGGCTTATTGTTAATTCATTTCATGTTTAAGGATTCTAAGGGTTGAACTGACACTTTTAATTTTGTTTTCTTTTTTATTTAAACTATTGCATATTATGGCCAAAGAAGAAGTTCTGATCTGCACTCAGATAGCAATAGCTTGGGATGCTATGCTTCATTTCTCAGCTTGAGAAGAAAACTGGCATTTGCTAACAGTAGTAGAATATGGTAGAATAATGCTTTTTACTTTCTCTGGCTTTTTGTCCTTATTATGGAGAGACAGACAGACTGTTTTAGTCTTCATGGGTTATTTATGATTACCTGTTGCATTTTCCCCCAAAGTATTTAGTTCCGTCTCCCAATATTGAGTTGAATGCACAGTGTTGCACTGAGCAATGGTTATAATTCTGAATGCTTTTTGACTTGTCCAAGCAGGGTTCATGTTTTGAACTGCAGATTTGTAAAAAGGTGAACGCTTCTTGCCAAAGAAATGGTAGTGCCTTATGTGATGTTGCATGTACAAGTACTGATTAACTGGTGGTGCCTTAAGCGATATTGCATGTACAAGTACTGATTTATTGTGACTGCTGCTTTTATCAAGGATGGACTGCAGTTCTGGTTGCAGATTGTCGGTGCTGGTACATCTGAGGATTGTCTTATGTTGCAGTCAGTTTCCATTTTTTCATAAAGCACAGTGATTGGCATTCTGTATAGTTTTTTCTGAAACTGAGACAGAGCAACTATGGGATGACCCATTCGCCATGAAGTTGGAACTAGAATTAACTTAGTAACTGAGACTTTTTTGTTTGTTTGTTATTTTTGTTATTTTTTTAAAATGTCATTGCCGATATTTGAAAGTTAGATAATGTTGTATCCCCCGCCCCTTTTTTTCTTCCCTTCTTCATTCTGCAACCAGGTGCCATCCCTGGAACCAGTGTTGGTGCCTTATGGGTCAGAGTTTAAAAAGAGAAACGACTTTGTAAACACAGATGATTATGCCATGTATGTGCGGCAGAAGATCCAAATTGGCATGATGGTTAGGTGTTGCAGGACATACGAGGAGGTTCATCAGGGGGACATCGGCAAGGTCACCAAGGTAAGGGAGAACGAGCTGGCTGTCTTACTAATCCTAATTTCTACTACAGCATTGTTTATTTATCTCATGCATTTAAATACTCATAATCATCATCATGTAGCAGGTCCTTTGCAAAACGTGGCTCTCATCACAGTCTGCCTGGAAGAAACTCAGTCTCTCGCCAGCTCTCCAGTCTCATGTACTTTCATACTCAAGGAGTCACTTATATCCTGTGCCTATCTTCGTGTCGGTTGGCCCATGCCCCTCCTTCCTGGCACCATGCCTTCTATATTTTTTCCAATCCGCCGTGGCGCTTGTTATGACCAAAATATTTCAGCTTCTGAGACAGGATGCTGTTTATTAGCCAATCTTCCTTGATGTTCAAATCTTTCAAGATGTCAGTATTTCTCCTCTTCTTTGCCCAAGATATTCTGAGAATCTTTCTATAGCATTTCAGCTCAAAAGCCCCTATTCTCTTTCTTAAGGACTGAGAGATAGTCCACGAATCACATCCGTATGTAGCCACAGGAAAGGTGCATGCTCTCAAAATTCTAATTTTGATCTCCTTGCTGGTGCTTAGCCATAGGCTTTTAAGGCTGTTCAATCTTTGCATTGCTATGGCCTTTCTCCTTTTAATTTCTGTCGAACAGTCTCCATTGCTGTTTATTATAGAGCTTAAATATTCAAAGTTTGTGTCATTTTCAATTTCTTCATCATTTATTGTTATTTTTGGGTGACAGCCGGTTTTATCTGTAGACATTATTTTTGTTTTCTTTAAATTCAAGAACAGATTTTGATCTTCACTTTGCTTTTGGACAGACAATATTAAATTTTCTATTCCCTTTACGCTGTTCGAAAGGAGGACTGTGTCATCTGCGTAGCGAAGTTCCGGAATAGGGTTGCACCAATTTTGAGCGGATCATAACTGTCACAAGTCTGGTCATTTATTTAAATACTAGTCATCATCATCATCATCATCATCATGTGGCAGGTCCTTTGAACTCATAATTTTCAATCTTGCACCAGGTTTCCTTTCTCGTAAATTTTTGTTTTTGTGCCCAAGGTGTCTTTAACCTTTTCATCTCAGAAATGCTAAAAATAATGGGTCATGAACCTGTGTGAATTTGCTTAAAAAATCAGTTTAAAAAAAACATTTATATATTTACATGATCAATAAATATGAATAGAGGGAAGTATTCTCCACCAGAGTTCACAGCTAATGAGTGTGAAGAAGAAGAAAAATTGTATTTTTATAGCAGATAGTTGATTAAAATCCTTAAAGATGGTAAGATATTTGTTTGAGTGCAGAACTGACCTGTTCTTTGTTTGTTTTAAATCACACAGTTGGACCAAGATGGGCTACATGAGCTGAATGTCCAGGCTTTATGGCAGAGGAAGGGCAGCACATACTGGGTGAGGTACATCCACATTGAGATCCTGGGGTTCACCAATTCAGCCATTGGTTAGTTAGCTTTTTTTCATTTTAATATGTATAAATTACATGCTTATTTCATAGGTTTAAAACCTCACCCAGGTGAATTCAAAATGTATCTGGACTTAAGTGAGTAAATTTTACCCCACCAGGATATCACACAGAGTGATAAACAGCGACCAACCCCCCACCCCTTTTACTTTACTTTAAAATGTCAATTCAGTTCACGGAAAACTCCCCTTATTGCTATTTTGTTGCTATTTTAATTATGTTTTCATAGCCAGACCTAAATGTTTGTGCAGGCATGAATTCGTCAGTAGCATTACCCATGCATCTTCTACACATCAGTGTAGTCGGAAAAGTGACATTTATGGGAATTGGACCCAACTTGAAGTGTTGGTTTTGTGACATCTTGGCATGGCAGGATTAAGGGATATGTATAGCATGTGTGGTTCTGGCATATCATGGAAAGATATAAAACCGAACGAAAAGTATTTCAGCGAGCTTCACAATATAACAAACAAAAACAGAATGTAAACGTAGCTGCTATAGAGCCTTCATAAATCAGACAATACTAAACAAATACACACACATTCACATACTCACTGTGGATACTAACTTTGTCTTGAGATTCTTCTTGCATTCCTAGAGCAGTTACAAAAACATCCACATGCAGTGAACACTATCTGTGCCTGAAAGACAAAAACATCCACATGCAGTGAACACTATCTGTGCCTGAAAGACAAAAACATCCACATGCAGTGAACACTATCTGTGCCTGAAAGACAAAAACATCCACATGCAGTGAATACTATCTGTGCCTGAAAGACAAAAACATCCACATGCAGTGAACACTATCTGTGCCTGAAAGACAAAAACTCCCACATGCAGTGAACACTATCTGTGCCTGAAAGACAAAAACTCCCACATGCAGTGAACACTATCTGTGCCAGACAAAAACATCCACATGCAGTGAACGCTATCGGTGCCTGAAAGACAAAAATATCTACATGCAGTGAACACTATCTGTGCCTGAAAGACAAAAACATCCACATGCAGTGAACACTATCTGTGTCTGAAAGACAAAAATATCCACTTGCAGTGAACACTATCTGTGCCTGAAAGACAAAAACATCCACATGCAGTGAACACTATCTGTGTCTGAAAGACAAAAATATCCACTTGCAGTGAACACTATCTGTGCCTGAAAGACAAAAACATCCACATTCAGTGTACACTATCTGTGCCTGAAAGACAAAAACATCCACATGCAGTGAACACTATCTGTGCCTGAAAGAAAAAAACATAGACATGCAGTGAACACTATCTGTGCCTGAAAGTAAAAAAAATCCACATGCAATGAACACTATCTGTGCCTGAAAGACAAAAACATCCTCATACAGTGAACACTATCTGTGCCTGAAAGCCAAGAAAATACATACATGTTCTCTCATTGTAATACAGATAAGAGAAGAACCTGCAGCAGACACTTATTTTCCATCTCTAAAAGTTACTGATGTTAACTTGTTATCCACAGAGAGTGGACAGACGATCAAGGTTGGAGATAAAGTTAGGGTTAAGCCCTCAGTTATCAAGCCAACATACAAATGGGGATCAGTCTCTCACTCGAGTGTTGGAATTGTTACAGGTCAGTATGTTAATGCACCCTTCTAGGGCATTGTAGGTGTGTCTTAAATGTTCATCTTATTTGTGAATCTTATTATATTTTCATCGTATATGTGCATCTTATTATCTGTTCATCTTTTATGTGCATAAATGCTGCGGTGGTGTAGCGGCTAGATGCTAGCCTGTGGATCAGAAGGTTTAGGGGGGGGGGGGGGGTGTAGGGAGGAAGGGGGTCAGGCACTGATGGAGCCGAACTTCAAAAATTACCTTGGCTTCCAAGTCGACCCAGTCTTAAATGGGTACCAGGGAGAGTCCTTGGAAGTAAAGGCGGCCAGTGTGATGCTGATTACATCCCCCACCGAGTGCCGATTGGTCTATAAAATATAGGTCTAGTCCTGTATACCCAATCCACCTGAAAGTGTGGAAGATGGTCTTTATTTTTTACATATATATATATACATCTATTTGTGCCTTTTATTCTATGTACACCTTATATGTTCATCTTAAATGTGCAACTGTTATATGTTTATCTTATATGCGCATTGTCTTCCGTGTTCACCTGATGTATGCAACTTTTTCTGTATTCATTTTGTTATGTTCATCTTGTTTAATATACATTTGCTGTCTCTATATCCAGCCATACTGCCAAATGGTAGGGATGCCACGGTGGACTTCCCCCAACAACCTCACTGGACCGGGGTCATCTCCGAGATGGAGTTAGTTCCTAGTACACATCCACAGATATTGTAAGTTCCAGTTCATAAGGTCTTCCTGTTAATTTTGTCTACGTAGTTATATGTCAGTTTGACAGTAGTTTGATTCCAGGCCATCTTTGTAGGCTTCTGTAGTAATGACAACAGAAAGAGATAACAAAATGAGTGGCACTTGTACACCAAATTGAAAATGGACACTGAGCTTATGCCAGTGTGGCTAGCAAAAGTGATGGGAGAAATTCATCTACAAGACCTGAGGAGAAAAATGTGGCCCATTGTTTGGGAATGTTACCATGTTTCCCCAAGTTTAGGACAGTCCCATGAATAAGATGCATCTTTATTTGGGAACCATACATTTTTGAAAAAATAATAATGTGATTACACAAAGTTATTGAACTCATGTTTTATTCATAATTTATTCTGGAAAACTCATAACTGTCTAAATTCTCATCCAAATGAAAGTTCACTGTCTAAACCCTCATCTGTATGAAAGTTCACTTTCTAACCTCTCATCCATATGAAAGTTCACTGTTTAACTCTCATCCATATGAAAGTTCACTTTCTAACCTTTCGTCCATTGAAAAGTTCAGTTTCTAACCTCTCATCCTAATGAAAATTCAGTGTCTAAACTCTTCTCATCCAGATGAAAGTTAACTTTCTAAACTCTCATCTGTATGAAAGTTCAATGTCTAAACTCTCATCTTTATTAAAGTTCACTTTCTAACCTCTCATCCATATGAAAGTTCACTGTCTGAACTCTCATCCATATGAAAATTCACTTTCTAACCTCTCATCCATATAAAAGCTCACTTTCTAGCCTCTCAAATGAAAGTTCACTTTCTAACCCCTCATCCATATGAAAATTCACTTTCTAACCTCTCATCCATGTGAAAGTTCACTTTCTAGCCTCTCAAATGAAAGTTCACTTTCTAACCCCTCATCCATATGCAAGTTCACTTTCTAACCTCTCATCCATATGAAAGTTCACTGTCTAAACTCTCATCCATATAAAAGTTCGCTGTCTAACCTCTCATCCATATGAAAGTTCACTGTCTAAACTCTCATCCATATAAAAGTCCGCTGTCTAAACTCTCATCTATATGAAAGTTCACTTTCTAACCCCTTATCGATATGAAAGTTCACTTTCTAACCTCTCATCCATATGAAAGTTCACTGTCTAAACTCTCATCCATATAAAATTTCGCTGTCTAAACTCTCATCCATATGATAGTTCTTTAGCTTGTCCTCATCTGTGTCCGATATATTGCCCCATCCTCAGTTCCATCTATGGCATTTGAAATGCAACACCGTCTTAAATGAATTGACAACGATCTCAGTCTTCACATTATTCCAGGATTTTTTCACCCAGCAACAAAATTCTGCTATAATTGGTTTCTTGGCACTCTCTTTTGTCCCCAGAAGACGTTATCCATTGGTTCCATTTTGTCTTTCATGGTAACTTTGAAGGGTTTGTTAATGCTGACATCAAGTGGTTGAATCTTATGGACACAGAAATTCATAATCTGTCAAGTATGAAACAATGAGCATGGAAATTCATAATTTGACAAGTGTGAAACAATGAGCATGAAGACATGCGCAAAATCTATTACAGCGGGAAGGAACTTTTAACTTCATTTTTTTTTTCAAATTACTTTATGTCACCCCTGAACCAGCATTCCCAAATAAGGCGGAGCATTTTCCAACACATTATTTGGTAGAATTCTACAACTAGTAGATAAGACGAAACTGTTTTTACCCCTATAATTTTCAAAAACAGGTGTATTTGATACCTGTGCAAATATGGTATATTGAAGTCACTTGTCATGCTAGACCCACAATATCTTGCTGCAATGTTCATCTGTTGTTCTTGATTGTAATAATATAAGACCGACTAGTTCTACTTCTAATATGGTTTGATATCTGTTCATGTTATTTTAGACACAGGAGATGCTATTTCTTTTCAATCACTGTAAAATAACTTCCTTATAACACTAATTTGTTTAGCCTGTAATAAAATACAAGTAAGTATATGGAACTAGTGCAAAACTGAATAAGGCAGATAGAAGACCAAATGGTTTTGACATGTGTCTTCTTCTTCTTCTTCCTCCTCCTCTTCTTCTGTTTCATGTTCACTGACTGTACTCTCTAGCAGAAAGTTCTGGTTGTTTGTTTACTTCTGGAATTTAATCTTGTTGCAGAGCCTGACATTTTATTTTTACATTGTACAGATCAATCTTTTTTGTATGCATTCTGACCTATAGGGAAACACCCCTAATTAGTTGAATCCTGCGACATGCTTATTAGGAGGGGCTGTAGGTCCTAATTAGTTGAATCCTGCGACATGCTTATTAGGAGGGGCTGTAGGTCCTAATTAGTTTAATCCTGCGACATGCTTATTAGGAGGGGCTGTGGGTCCTAATTAGTTCAATCCTGCGACATGCTTATTAGGAGGGGCTGTAGGTCCTAATTAGTTGAATCCTGCGACATGCTTATTAGGAGGGGCTGTAGGTCCTAATTAGTTGAATCCTGCGACATGCTTATTAGGAGGGGCTGTAGGTCCTAATTAGTTCAATCCTGCGACATGCTTATTAGGAGGGGCTGTAGGTCCTAATTAGTTCAATCCTGCGACATGCTTATTAGGAGGGGCTGTAGGTCCTAATTAGTTGAATCCTGCGACATGCTTATTAGGAGGGGCTGTAGGTCCTAATTAGTTCAATCCTGCGACATGCTTATTAGGAGGGGCTGTAGGTCCTAATTAGTTCAATCCTGCGACATGCTTATTAGGAGGGGCTGTAGGTCCTAATTAGTTCAATCCTGCGACATGCTTATTAGGAGGGGCTTTAAGTCCTAATTAGTTCAATCCTGCGACATGCTTATTAGGAGGGGCTGTAGGTCCTAATTAGTTGAATCCTGCGACATGTTTATTAGGAGGGGCTGTAGGTCCTAATTAGTTCAATCCTGCGACATGCTTATTAGAAGGGGCTGTAGGTCCTAATTAGTTGAATCCTGCGACATGCTTATTAGGAGGGGCTGTAGGTCCTAATTAGTTGAATCCTGCGACATGCTTATTAGGAGGGGCTGTAGGTCCTAATTAGTTCAATCCTGCGACATGCTTATTAGGAGGGGCTTTAAGTCCTAATTAGTTCAATCCTGCGACATGCTTATTAGGAGGGGCTTTAAGTCCTAATTAGTTCAATCTTGCGACATGCTTATTAGGAGGGTCTTTAAGTCCTAATTAGTTCAATCCTGCGACATGCTTATTAGGAGGGGCTGTAGGTCCATTCTTTTTCTCCCCCAAAAATGGACACCTGGAACAAATATAGTTTAGAGTTGTGTCTCAAGACAATGCACCACAGAAAGCCCTGTCAGAAATACAAGAGTCTTCCACAGTTAGAGCATGGGGTTTGAGCTCCACTTTTATTGTCACATGTATTTTACTGTCCATAGTGCAGAGCCTGCACCGTAATGTAGAAATCTTGCATTGCCCTTGCAGCATGATCCCTCGCTCGGCCTGTCTTGTTTACACCAGAAGAAAGGTAATACCAATACGTTAGCTGCCAGAATCAGAAGAACTTTGCTCTGTCTGCCTGTTGGAGCTTCCCTTCCAGACCAGCTACCAACCAAATATAACACCTTAGTTTGTCTCACCATAACATTCAGTTTTGAGGTTTCATTTCCTCTTCCTGGGATAATCCCAGGATAAAAAATGAGTGCTATGACATCAGTATTAGATGACAGATTCTGACAGTTCCTAATATAACAGCAGACATTTCTAGTGACAATAGGGAAGCTGTAGTAGATGTGTCTGCACATTATCTTGCAGGTGTTCCAACTGTTACATGAACCCCATTGTTGGAGCCAGGTTCCGCTGCCAGACCTGTGACAACTTTGACCTGTGTGAGAGCTGCTTTAGGATCTGTCGCTCACACAAGCATCCTTTCAACCGAATCCAAGAGCCAGGTTTGTCTATAGCCAGAGAAATCATCATCATCTTCACCAATAGGTGCCATCTCCTTGCTGATACTGGGTGGTCATACTTCTACATATCTTGTGGTCTTTAGCGTCATATGTCAGTTTGTGTTTTGACATTTTTCTGTGTCATAAAATATTATTTTTAAAAAAGGCTGTCAATAAACTTATCTCATCTCCTTTAAATCTTTTCCCCTAATTTGTCTGTTTATCACATGTGCTACTTACTTAAATTATAGCCAAAAAATAACTGTCCCTTTTTTTTAAAAATCGTCTGCAGGCCTTGGCCTTCTTCAGATCATTTACTTCATATAAAGCAAAATAGGCCTGTTTGGAAACTACTAAACGCTTAGCCAATGACTATCATGTCCTCTTGAAATCTTCCTCCACCTCAACCCCGTCCCCCTGCCCTCTCCAATTACTGCATCCAAATTTCTCTCCTAGAGCACATTGAGATATGCCTTCTTGGAAACCACCAAACATTCAGCTAATATCCTCTTGGTATTCCCGCCCCCCCACCCCCCCTTTTTTCCCACCATCAAACTACTCCTAGACCATCCTGTTGATGATATCACATATATTATTACAGCAAAAAACCTTGTTTAGATTACAAGAGGTGTCACAAGACATGAACATTATACAGGCAGGTTGCCGAAAGAAGAATAGGGAAATAGCAGAACTGGTGTTATCAGTCACCCCATGCTGATGGATATACTGCAGATGGAATCCGAGTGCTTATGCACTTGTCCGATGTGTAATGAGGATAATCTGTTGATTAACTAATTATTAAAACCTTGTGAATTCAAGCCTGCTTAAGGGTTAGCCTGAAGAGAATTTGGTCTAAGCAGGGATGTATTGTTGTTTTTAGTGCCCAGCTAGCACATCTTTTTTTAACACAAACTTAAGTTTCAGAGTTCATGTTAATGAGGTTTTACAGATCATGCAATTAAAATGTTTTCTTTCATTATGTCTGCAGGAAGTGACCCCTGCTTTGCAGGGAAACCTGGCCACCACAATAAAGTGACTTGTCAGCAGACCCCGAAAGGATCGACAGTTAGCAGCTGGCATGCCTGTGTGAAGAATGTGACAGTCTCGTCTAGGGAAGACCAGGCCCACAATCTTTACGATGGTCAAGGCCACTTCTGGCAGAGCCATGGTACACAAGGAAAGGTAACGGGAGGGCATGCAGTTTTGTGTATTGTTTATCTATTTTAATCCTCAGTGTTTGTTTAGCAGGGTTCGAATCCCGTAGAGGGAGGTTTATAAAATGGCTTTCGAACGGTGGTTCAAGAGTTGCACTTACAAGAATTTGGAGCCTTGCCATATAATTTGCAAAGGATACGTTGCAACCTGCCTCTATTGTGGAGACGGAACAAATAAAAAACAAATATTACGTTTTTTTTTGCATCGCCTTTAACGCCATTTTTGTGTCTTCCTGTTTATAATACTTCGTAAATTACGGACTAATTTTTGCCTCATTGAGACAGTCTCTTTCTTTTTTCTTCTTCTTTCGCCCTCTTCTCCGTCAACTTCTAGTTATCTCCTCCTCTTTGTCCTCCTCCTTTTCATCATCAGCATCACCATTATCATCTTATTCTTTTTCTTCTTCTTCTTTTTTGTTCTTCTGCTGCTGCTTTCTCCTCCTTCTTCGTTCTTCTTCTTCTTTCTTCTTCTTCTTTTCTTCTTCTTCTTTTCTTCTTCCTCCTTCTCCTCCTCCTTCCTGCATGGTTGAACTGTCCACACATTATTTTTGTGTCTTACTCTGAGTCTCACCTAGTATTTTAAAGATATGTTTAAAAATTATATGAAACAGATTAAGAAAAGTAATGATACATCTGTGCAGATGTATGAAATCTGGCTATATAATCCAGCATTTTGGTTATTTTCTTCTTCACATTTGCTGGCTGTAAACTCCAGTGAACAGTTTTTCCTCCACATCTGGACTTTAGTCTTGTTCCACAAAATGAGTTTTGCATGCACATGTGTTGTACAGATCTGACTTATTTGTATGCAGACATAGGAAGTGACCACAAGCCAATACTTACAACTGTAAGCACCCCCGCTAAATCATGCTTTGAGCAGAGAACCCGTTGGAATTTTCGAAAAGCAAACTGGAAACTATTTCAGGAAACATCTGACTTCCTCCTGGGAAGAATTGACAACAGCTGTGTGGAAACGTTTTGTGAAGATCTAACAGAAGCAATCATGAAAGCAGCGCTGAAAGCCATCCCAAGGGGCAGTCGGAAGACATATAAACCTTTCTGGAATCAGGAAATTCAAAATACTATATCTGAAAAGGAATAAAGCAAGAACATTACTCGAAACTGCACGTTCAACAGAAGCAAAGATCCAATACAATAAAGCATGTGCCAGAGTAAAGCTTGCAGTTAATAAGGCTAAAAGAGATAAATGGACAGAAACTTGCTCCAACTTAGACCTTAGACAGAATGGAAATAAACATGGACTTTAGTTAAAAACCTCTCCGGAGAAAGTAGAAGGGTGAACCCAAAACCAGTGACAGACGGGAGTAAGACAATCACTGAAGACAAGAAGAAAGCTGAACATTTCAATCATTATTTTGCCTCTGTTAACAGAGCAGGCAAACGCACAGAATGTGATAGAATACAGCTATCTCGGTTTCCAACAGCCAACAACTCCCTTTTTGAAGATGAGTTTAGTATGGATGAATTAGAACAAGCCCTGAAGAAAATCCTAGAAAATCCCCAGGTCCAGATAAGATTCACAACGAAATGCTGCTACATCTTGGCCGGTCTGGCAGAGAAGTAGTTCTCAAGCTAATTAATAAGACATGGAGATCAGGCAAACTTCCAAAGGCATGGAGGAATGCATATATCGTCCCCATACTTCTCCAGATGACCCAAAAAGTTATCGCCCGATATCCTTAACATCATGCTTGGGCAAAAAAGTTGCCGAAAGAATGATAAACAGACGTTTGTATTGGTTCCTTGAGAGTTCTAGTGTTCTATGCCATGAACAGGCAGGCTTCAGAACTAACAGCTGTACAGAAGACCAGCTGTTCAGATTGACACAAAGAATACATGATGGCTTCCAGAATAAGAAACACACAGTGGCAGTCTTTGTCGACCTCTATGACAGAGTATGGAGAAAAGGTCTCCTGATGAAGATGATGAGCATAGGAATACATGGCAGATTGTATAACTGGGTGAAATACTTTCTGATAGATAGAACAATCCAGACTAAGATGCACAATGCAATCTCTTCTAAAGAAGTCTTGGAGGAGGGCTTGCCACAAGGCTCATCATTGAGCTGTACACTGTTCCTAATCTTTATCAATGACCTGCCAGAAAAAAATCAAGGCCGAAAAAGCCTTGTACGCTGATGACCTAGCAATATAGCAGAGTCATGAAAATGTGGAAAGTGGAGCCCAAAAACTGAATGAAGACCTTAGAAGACTGCATGAGTACTGCCAAAGATGGAAACTCAAGATTAACTGTGCAAAGACGGTCTACACAATCTTTACCAAAAGCCATCAAGTAGCAAGAAAGAATATTAACCTGAGGATAGGCAAACACCAAGTGATGAAAGAAGAGCATCCCACATACCTTGGAGTCACACTTGGACGGCAGCTCAGCCTTAAGAACCATATTGAAAAACGTCAGGAATAAAGCATTGAGGCGGTTACAGTTATTAAAGAGACTTGCAGGTACATCATGGGGATCAGACAAGGAAACTCTGAGGGGCTTATATCTAGGATATGTTCGCTCTGTGATGGAGTACAACAACTCACTGCTTACAACTTGTTCCAAAAACTAACCTAGAGACTCTTGACAGAGTACAAAATAATGCCCTCCGATTAATCAGCGGAGCTATGCGGTCTACTCCAACTGCTGCATGTGAAATCCATACAAATGTGGAACCCCTCGGGTTGCGGAGAGAAAAAGCCACTTTAGAAATTTATGAAAGATGTATTAGAAAGAATCGTAAACCATCCTAATAGACGCCTTATAGAAAGTTGGGAATACAAACAAAGAATAAAGCACAAATCGGTTTTGCACTGTGTACATGAGGTACAGGACAGATACCACCTCCCAGAAAGACGTCAGGGCATTCAGAATGTTGCAAGAAACTTACCACCACATGCTCGCTTTAAAACTCCAGAAGTCAGGTTGAAATTGGTAGACGAAGAAACTAAACAGTCCGATCCAATCACCCTTATGAACTCATCACTAAAGACCATTGATTCTTACCCTGAAGAATGGATACATGTTTATACTGATGGATCTGCATTCAAAGCTACCATTAAAGCAGGTTATGGAATCTACATAGGTTATCCCGATGGATCTGTTGAAGAGATTTTTGATGCATGCGGGGAATTCTGCTCAAATTATGAAGCTGAAATAATCGCACTGGAAACAGCAGTATACCACCTAAAGACTGTAATGGATGTATATCCTTCAAAGGCCCAAAATATTGTCATCTTCACAGATTCAATGTCTGCCCTCCAAGCTCTGGAGGGCAGTGAACGCTGCAGAACTGACACAGCTAAGATAATTCTAGATGCTGATCAGCTCATTACCTCATACAACATCAGAATAGTGATGCAGTGGATTCCAGGCCACTCCGGCACACCAGGTAATGACAGAGCTGACAGACTGGCAAAGAAAGGAGCAACACAAGAACAACCACATACAGCGACAACCCTGCAGACAGCAAAAACACTTATAAAAGCTATAAACAAAGAGACTTGGCTGAACAGATGGGCCATGGGAGATACTGGAAGAGAGGTGTATAGACACATGGCTAGCCCTGATCCCTAATGACAACATTAACCATTTAACAAGAAGGGACCAGGCCACCATCTTCAGACTCAGAACACAACATGCTCCACTCAATGGACACCTAAACAGAATACAGCCCACAACACTCCCCAGAGTGCCAGCTATGTGACTACCCCTACGAAACTGTTGACCATCATCTCTTTGAGTGCCCAAAACTCAGCGAGACTAGAAGGATGCTACTCCCTCCGAGACCAGACAGGTGGAACACCTTGTACGGAGGAAAAGAACAGCTTGTGAAAACATGTAAATTCCACTACATGGCATTGGGCCAGAGGGCGAAAGCTCATGCGCCGCTGGATCAATAACAACAACAACAACAACAACATTTGTATGCAGACTGTTAATTCCTCATCCCTCAGGCAGTTGCACTTGGACTTGGAAGGCAACATCTCTAATTAGTTGCCTGTTACATCGTGCTTGTTCAGGGACACCCCCCCCCCCCCCCCCCCAACATGGGCATTTTAGTTTTGACAAACATTTTTGTTTTCTTGTTGTTGTTGCTCCCTAGGACAGCACAAGTGCTTCTAGAAAACACAAAAAGAAAGAAAACAGTTGTAAACGGCTAAGACTAACTAAAGCATCTAATCATGAATGCTTACACGCCTTCCCTCCTTTTTCCATATCTCAGACACCTGAAATAATCAGACGCACATTTTGATTGTCCATTCTTGAAAAGAGAAAGTTATATGTGTGTGTATGTTTGTTCTTTTGTAATTTTTTTTTTTTAATTTTTTAATTTTAGAATTTTAAATGTTAAAAGTGAAAGTGATATTAAGTGTCAAATTTGGTTTGATTTTTGTTCACTAACCAGCATTGGATCCATCTTGAGATGCAACCAGACATGATAATCAACCGGCTGATGATGAGGGTGGATCCTGCCGACTCCAGCTACATTCCATCGGTTGTCGTGGTCAGTGGTGGGGACTCTGTGGTCAGCCTGAAGGAGCTGAGGACTGTGCACATATCTTCTGATGAATCTTTGGTCACTTTATTGGCCGATATGACAGAGGTAGGGTCAGTTACCTAGAACTTGCAGATGCAATTTCTCTCTTTGTTTATACATTCAAACTAAAGTACATACACTTTGAGGAAAATGACACAAGGCTTAACTGTGATCTGACGTAAATTACATGTGTAACGTTGATCTAAATATACTAATGTGGAGTGTCACTTGGATCTGATCAGAGGATGTTGAGTGTCACTTGGATCTGAGGTTAGAGGATGTGGAGTGTCAATTTCATCTGAGGTCCGAGGATGTGGAGTGTCAATTTGATCTGAAGTAAATGATGTGGAGTGTCACTTGGATCTGGGGTAAGTGATGTGAAGTATTGCTTTAATCTAAGGTAAATGATGTAGTGTGTCACTTTGATCTGGGGTAATGGGATGTGGAGTGTCACTTGGATCTGGGGTAAATGATGTGGAATGTCAGTTTAATCTGAGGTAAAGGATGTGAAGTGTCACTTTGATCGGAGGTAAGTGATGTAAAGTATTGCTTTGATCTAAGGTAAATGATGTAGTGTGTCACTTTGATCTGAGGTAAATGATGTGGAGTGTCAATTTCATCTGAGGTAAATGATATGGAGTGTCACTTTGGTCTGAGGTAAATGATATGGACTGCAACTTTGATCTGAGGTAAATGATGTGAAGTGTCACAGTTATCGGAGGCAAGTGATGTGAAGTATTGCTTTGATCTAAGGAAAATGATGTAGTGTGTCACTTTGATCTGAGATAAATGATGTGGAGTGTCACTTTGATGTAAGGTACATGATTTAGTGTGTCAGTTTGATATGAGGTGAATGACAGGACTTGTCATTTTGATTTGAGGTAAGTTATGTGCTGTGTTACTTTGATCTGGGGTCTATGTCAGGCAGTGTCACTTTGTTGTAAAGTATAAAATGAGAAGAATCACTTTCCTCTGCACATGAAATTAACTGTCATTTCACCTTAAATATGAATGGCAGGAAGCATCACTTCCCTGTGAGGTGTATGCCAGAAGTGTCACAATATAATAATAAAAAAAAAGGTGATAGGAATTGTCATTTTACTGGAGTTGGGGTAAGGGCCAGTTCTACATGATTTGGGACCATTAAAATGCTCACATCATGGAATATAGAACATGCGATTTTGCCATCCGCTGACAACAACCAGTAAAAAAAACTATGTGTTGCTGGCTGGTCACAAAGAGTGACACCCCAGAAACAAAGGACAAGCCCTGCGACACTACCAGGCATGAATGGCAAGAAAAGTCACTTTCTTTCTGGGCCCCACAACTTTACTATAACCAGTTGTACTTATGCAGTATTGTGTGTGCTGGCTTTTGCAATTGACTGCCTTCATCACCAGTGAGCTGCAATTCTAATGTTGGACTGTTAGTGTTGGCAGAAATGACAGCTGCCTAATGTCTTTACTTTGCCTATGCAAGCTTCAAGATTTTGTGGGAACTGATTTTTTAGCTAGTTTTCAAATAAGACAGCGATAGACATTTTGTGTGGTTTCCACTACCACAGACATGGAACAGTAATGGGACAACCACATGCAGTGAGGTTGGAACCTTAAGTGATGAGTAACACTAGTTGAAAGATAAGCTCCAGAAGAAGAAGAAGAAGAATGCTAAACTTGATCCTTGATTTTCTGTTTCAGTATTACCACTTCATTGAAATTGGCATTAAGCAGTGTCGCAGCAGTGGGATAGACTGCAAGATCCATGGCTTGTCCATCACAGCCAGACACAAAACAGATGATGATGATATCCCCACCACATTCTCTATCCTGGCCCAGGATAAAGATGAGGATGAAGAGGAAAGGCAACGCACATGTGATCAGACTGGCAGCCGAACCAAGAAGGGCAAGGGTTCAAGTCCTAAAGATGTCCAGACGTATGTGTTTGTGTGGGGGCTTAATGACAAAGATCAGCTTGGAGGCCCTAAGGGGTCAAAGGTGAGATTTTGCTCATATATGAAGTCTTGATAAAGTTAGATATGGGATCAGTGACAGAGAGCAACCTGGAAACTCTGTCGGGTAAAAGGTTAGATGCGGTTGGTTGCCCCAGAGCAGCCCTGGTTCAGAGAGGGTCAAAGTTGAGAGCTGTATGAAATCCTAAAGACTGACCAAACTATAGTCATAAAGGAATGAGATGTATGTTGGGGATGTTTATTATCGGCAAAGACCAGCTTCAGCAATGGGGTTAGATGTAAAATATTTCTATTTCAGCTTGAAGTTATAAATTCGTTGTTCGATAAACTAAGTGCCTTTCAGGTAATCTGGATAGCTCTCTTCTTCTTAAAGTGTGAGACTTTTTATCTTCTTATTTCATGTTATAGTCAGCTCTGATTCACGAGACCCTGACTCCTGCTGTTTCTGACCGCACTCTTCTTTTGTTTTATATTTGGCAGTTGGCCTCCTTCTGGGCGCTGAAATGTCAAAGTGCATATATTTTGAGAATATGTCTGAAAAATGAAATGTTCAAGTGTACGCATTTTTGTTCGCCACAGATAAAGATGCCAGTGCTGAATGAGGCATTGTCAGCCCTCAACTGTGTACAGATTGCTGGAGGATCCAAAAGTCTCTTTTGTGGTAAGTCTGTAATGACATCGTCTTGGCTGGTAAAGGGAAACAATGGTTAGATGGCAGAACTAATATTGGTAATTTTTTAAATAATTGTTGATATTAATATTTCTAGTATTTATAGTTTTTTTCCCCTCAAGTGTTGATATAAGCACATCCAGTACTGGTAACTTGTTCATAATTAATGATATCTATACTTCTAATGTTGGTAATATTTTTTTTGCAAAATTGTATCATTACTTCTTTTATTTATAATTTTAGGAAAGCAGTGCTTCTAGTATTGGTAATTGTTTCATAATTTTAGATATCATTACTTCTCATATTAGTAATTATATTTGTCGATATCATTACTTCCAATAGTGGTATTTTTGTTTATAATTGTAGATATCATGACTTCTGGTATTGGTAAATGTATCACCATTGTAGATATGACTTCTGATATTGGTAAATGTATCACCATTGTAGATATGACTTCTGATATTGGTAAATGTATCACCATTGTAGATATCATGACTTCTTTTATTGGTAAATGTATCACCATTGTAGATATCATGACTTCTGATATTGGTAAATGTATCACCATTGTAGATATCATGACTTCTGGTGTTAGTCTGTTAGTCTCATTTTAGCTAAGTTAAAATTAAAACTAAAAATCTGAAAGTGTTTTGGTAGTGAAAATGTTAGTGATCAATGTGCTGTTTTTCTTGGTGCAAAATGAATTAAAGGACTTGTTCCGTCTCATGTCATTATTGGTTGTATTCATTCATCTAGTGCCTCAAAGTGGTAAACTACTTATTATTGATTAATTGTTTTAAATTTGTTTATAACACTAGTTACTCAAGATGGTGAACTATTTGATATATTATTGATTAATTGTTTTAAATTTGTTTATAACACTAGTTACTCAAGATGGTAAACTATCTGATATATTACTGATAATGCTTTTTGTTTTAATTTGTTCATGCCACTAGTTACTTAGTATGGTGAGCTGTTTGATATATTATTATTATTATTATTATTTTTATTTTATTTTTTTATGTCACTAGTTACTCAGGATGGTAAACTATTTGCCTGTGGTGAAGGGACCAATGGGCGTCTAGGGCTGGGTGCTGTGACTGGGAATGTGTCCCTGCCTCGCCAGCTGACCACACTGAGCCAGTATATCATCAAGAAAGTGGCAGTCCACTCCGGTGGCCGACACGCTCTAGCTTTGAGTATTGACGGCAAAGTGTTTGCCTGGGGTGAAGGAGATGATGGAAAATTGGGGTTGTCAAGCAGAATGTGAGTACGGTTGTCTCATTTTCTGTAGTTTAAGTGCATTTTCTGTGTGTTACTGTTAGGATTGGAATCAAGGGTTGTTTCACTAGCAGTACAGAAAACAAAATTATCAGATTAGAAAGATAAGACATTTATCAGTAGTAGCCAGATTGCTTCAGTATGCTGTGTTCAAACATTACAAGTTAGATTATGACTCTGTAATTTTTGGATCACATGAAGCAAGAGAAATCTCTTAGAAATAAACATTTTGAACCTTTGAGATGTAAGAATTTACCTTTGAGATGTAAGAATTTACCTTTGAGAAGTATGAATTGACCTTTGAGAAGTAGGGCAAGATTAAAAATCTGAAAAATAAGATTTTTTGTGTTTGTTTTTGTTGTTTTGTCATTATTGTTGGAATAAAAAGTACATTTTTGAAGCGGGAACAAGTTTTTGAGAATCAGAAATAAATCTGTAAGGAATCAGAGTAAATTTTTGAGAGTATTGAAAAATTTCTTTTAAAATTAGAGTAAACCTTTTGGAAAAAATGTTTAACCCTACCAGACCTAAGGCCATGAACCTAACTCTCCCCCATACCTGAGCTCCTGGGCATTAACGTGAAAAAACCAACATGATATACAAAAATATTCGTTACATGCAAACAAGTGGCTCGAATAAGATGAAACTTTGAAACATTGTAGAAAAAGGCTTATCTTTTATCTAGCGCCAGTATTCCACCTTTGTGTGCCAATCCACTCAGGAGGATCAAGATTGTTTCACAAAGTGAGCACCAGGTGTTGCTGTTTGAAGGACGCGTCCCCTTCTCTTACTACCGATCTATCCAAAGTATCGATCACCTGTTGGACCATGAAAAGCCTAGACCTACTTTCCTTTCGAAGTGCTTGGTTCATCAGCCGCTTGTTTTATTGTGAATTTTCTGAATTTGTTCTCGTAAAACAACAAATTTTATTCAAACACACATGGGCGGACATCAAGGAAGACTATTCACGAGATCTGATAACATTTGGCTAGTTATTTTTAGTTTGTGGCGCATCTTTTTCATACACTACGCAAATGGCCGAAAATTAGGGACAGCTGTATAGCGTCAGGTTAAGAAATTCACGAAAAATCGGGCCAGCGGTCTGGTAGGGTTAAAGTGTATGAACGAGTTTTGAGAGGGAAAAAACAATAAACCTATGAGAAGTTTGAATAAATCTTTGAGAATAAACTTCTAAGAAGTACAGCAGCTTAACCCTTTCACTTAGTAAGAGTCTATTTAAAAAAAAAAAAAAATAATATTTTTTTCTGAATTTCATTTTAAATAGAAACATATCCTGATGTTTGTCTGAAACTCTACCCTTAGAAGCAATTAAGACAAGCCAGGAAAAACACTAAAGCAAATCACCATGAGGCCTCAATTCCCTGTCCACACTGCTCAAGAACTTTCAGTACTAGAATTGGCCTTATCAGACGTCTGTGCACTCACAAAATCTAACCCAGACATCATTGAATGAAAGGACTGGTCATCATCATCTGTGATGGGCGAACAACAACAATAACCCTAAGAAACTAGAGGAAAAGAAGAAGACACATAAGCAAATTTGAGTCTTGGTCAGTCTTTATCAAAATCCAAGGGTGAAACCCCTAAAATTTCACCACTTTCAAGTCACTATTTTGCAACTTTCAAGTCACTGTTTCGAGCAAAGTTTTTTTTTTTTATGTGAAGGGAAGTAATCACTAAATATGGATAGAGCAAAGAATTGGCTGCTTTCCTTTCCTTTGACTGTGAAAGAAGTTTTTTTTTGTTTGTCACATAGTCACATAAAGTATAGTGACGTCATTATAAATTTGCTGTGAGACTACAGTTTAAAAAAAAAAAATTTTTTTTTTGGTTACCAACTCACTCACCTACATTCTTCTTTTTTCCTCCATTTTGGGGGAGGGGGAGGGTAAATATAGTCATAGCCACTATGCATGTACACTTACACTTGCTGCCACTACTAAAGCTGTTATTTAGGCCCAAAGACTTCTTCCTAACAAAAACCCATAAAAGCCAGTAAAATGACTTTTTTTTTCAGGGCAATGAGGTTTAAAAAGTAAAATGTTTTTAGAAGTGAAAATGATGAAATGCACAATGGATAATGGGATTTCATTTTGTATTTGTTTTTTCATTTGTAGAAACTGTGACACACCTAAACTGATCGAAGCCTTGAAGTCAAAGAGAGTGAGAGACATTGCATGTGGAAGTTCTCACAGTGCGGCCATCATCTCTAATGGGGACTTGTACACCTGGGGGCTTGGGGACTACGGCCGGCTCGGGCATGGGGACAACACAACACAGCTGAAGCCAAAACAGGTGATGGTTGTGATAGTAATAAGTAGTTGGAATGTGTGTCTGTATGTGGGATGCATCAAGGAAGTGATAAAGAATAAGTGGAAGGAAGAAAGGATACTTTTTCATGCCTTAAGGCATATTGAGCATATACGGCTAGATCTATATTTTATGGACCAAGCGGCACTAGGGGGTTGATGTGGTCAGCATCATAACAGTTGTGTTGACTTCCCAGGACTTTTACCTGATACTCATTTCAATCTGGATCAACCTTAGGGGCCAAGGTTATTTTTTGACAAATCTAGCACTATCTGGATGTGAACCCATGACCTTTGGATCCTCAGGTGAGTCTAATTGATACATCACCATGATTCCTCAAGAAAGAGAGTGAGGTAGAATTGTTTCTTAGCTGAAATCTCTGTAAAATTGAATTTTTATTATTGAGTCTGATGCATTGCCATTCAGGTCATCAGTCTGGAGTTATCAGGGTGAGTTTGGTATGAAGGGTTAAAGGAGTTTGCTCTGGCACCTTCAGTGATTCCAGAATGTTCACTTGCATTGTTTTGTAAAACAATAAAAAACAGCAAGCTACACAGACCCTTTCAACATCGGACCTGGTTAGGTAACCGTGCACAGCTTCTAAAGTCTTTGTCAGAATGGAATTTAACATCAGCATCCCTGCAAGGTGTTTGGATGTTAAGAAGCCAAGATAAGGCTGACCAGTGTAGACAGAGCAGCACCAGTGGAGTTGAAATTACAGACCACTTGGCTGCAGATTTTGTCTATAATACTAAGGTGTTACACAATTATCTAGTAACCAGGGCTAATGTTTACACCTGTCAGAGAAAGGTGTGAGGCTAATGGACCCTAGAACAGGTGTCAGTAGGATTAGGTGGGCAAATAAGGTGTTTGCTGAAAGCAGACCACAAGACGCTCTCAGCAGCAGCAGCTTGCTACATGTGATATCATGTTTCAAGATATTAGGCAGTCTCAAGGGTGGAGCTTGAAATTGGAAACAATGGGTGTATTGAATTCTTGACTGTTGATGACGGATTGACAGGTCAGATATCACCAAGAAGTATCAGAGGGCGGAGCTGAAAGATTTCTAGGTCTAGAAAGAGGGCAGGGAGAAAAGTTACATGACAGGATGCGATAGCATTGCTTAAAAGAAACTTGATCCTCGACTGGACCCTTCATGGAGACGCCTTTAGGTGAGACCTAGCCTGTTCTTTGTCAAGAAAACAGAATTCTCTTACCTATTCTAGTTCTCACAGGAGCAAGCACTGTTTGTCAGACCTAAATGGTGACCCCACTCAAACTGAACACAGAAGAGTATCCTATGGAGGATAGTCTCAAGGCTGCTTTTTTTCATTGTAATCACATGTTTAAAATTGTTGTTATAATCATAGCATCAACCACCATCTTACCCATTGATCAATCTCTAATATCAACTCACTGAATTTATCTCATTATTAGCACCATCCTTTTTTTTAAAGAGGTCCTTGTTTTGCCAGTCTGCGTGTGTAATAAGTTGAAGAACACTGGTTAAAATAATTTTGTGACCTAAATTTCAGGTGATGGCTCTGGCAGGGCAGCGTGTCATCCAGGTGGCCTGTGGTAGCCGTGATGCCCAGACTCTGGCACTCACTGATGAAGGAGTGGTCTACTCTTGGGGAGATGGGGACTTTGGGAAGCTGGGCCGAGGAGGCAGTGAAGGATGTAATGTGCCACACCCAGTGGAGAGACTCACCGGCCAGGGTGTGATACAGATAGAATGTGGCGCCCAGTTCTCCCTGGCACTGACCAAACAGGGTCAAGTCTGGACATGGTCAGTATCTTCAGTTAATTCTTTTGTAGACAGCTCACTATTATCTCAGGGGTGGCAAGCATTGCTTCAGAAGCGTCCCTGGTTGTTAGTGTCCTTTGAATATTTTCTTTATATCATGCAGTTGTGTTGGGAAAAGAACAGGCAGACAAACTGGCTTGTGTTGCACCACTGGGTGGTGAACTGATACATGACAAGCTAGATGTCCTCAAGGGAGCAAATAAACAATATAGAAGTGCAATTAGATCATTACAGTGTGCAGAGAATGGTGTGATGGGAAGTTATCTTGGGTTCTGGCTGACACTGTGCACTCAAAAGAAAGGAAATACGGACATAAAATCTGACTGCTACTGGTACTTTGGGAATTGGAACTCTTCACTGGCTGTGCATATGGGAATGACCTGCATGTTGTGATGTCGGCTCTTCACTCAGCTCAACCCAGACAGTGAGTTTACCTCTTCTCTTGCAGCTTGTGGTTACAGTCATCAGCTCTGAGTTATGAGTTGGGCTATCCTCAAGGCACTCTAGACATGTCCGCAGGTGCTGAGATTTCCACCTTAGCATATGTTGACTGACCTATCAAGTTTCCTTTCCTTTATGTGTGTATGTGTGTGTGCGTGCGCGCATGTGTGTGTGTTTGTTTGTGTGCCTGCATGCGTGCTTACATATATATGTGTGTGAGTGTGTCACAGTTCTTGCATACCTGTGTGGTTAGTTTCTTGCATTTTTCAAAATTTCCTGTGAATTGTGACCACAGTATTTTCACCCTTTGTTTGATAATGTGGCCAAATCAAGATAACATGACTTCCGGCCTTAAGAGGCAGAGGCATATCAATTACCCTTCAGGGTGGTTTTTGCCTCCGACAGCACTTAACTAATGCTGTTTTCACATGTGGACGGTAGTCTAAAGTTTCGCTGCCTGAGCTACTGAGTTTAGTGCTTGGTGCAGCCATGCAAGCTTTTTTTTGTGTGTGTGTGTGGAATGCCTTTCATTTGTGCAGCTGCTGTGTTGTGATATTCAATATGGCTGGCTGTCTGTTAACCTGTGAGCTGGTGGAATACCTTATATAGTAATTCTACATGTATATGGCCAACTTGTCGCACCCGACTACTTCCTTTGACGATGGACTGCATTTCTTGTGGCAACTGTTAGCTTTTGGCATCTCTTGCAACTTGAATATGCATTTGCTGCTTGCGTATATTTCTGGATTATTCTGGGACTAATTGTTTGTTAACCAGTTTTTCAAACGCGGCAGTAAGGGACATTTCGTTTGATTTTTGCTGGTAGAGGAATGGAGGAAGTATAAGGAAACCCTGACTGCAGTGATGTTGAAACCTCAACTAAGCCTAAGACCAAGATAATATACTTGTATATATAATATACATGTGTAAGAATAAAGTATTTTCATTAAAAAATGCAGTGAAGAGAAAATATCAGTTGAAATGGATGTCATATTTCACAGAAACAGAAACAAACAAATACAGAGTATCTAGAGAGGCTTGCAGTGTAAAATGAGTTCTTGAAAAAAATTAAGTAGGCAAGCGAAATATATTGGCAAGTTAAAAGATAAGTGCTATTGTTGGGAAATTAAAAGCAAGAGGTAGACAATAAGTTTGAAAGAATTTATAAACAGAAATTTGTTGCAGTGCACAACTAAAATGAGAAGAAAAAATGAAACAATGAACAAACAAACTTTATTTTCAGAGGGTTAGGAATTGAGCATGAAGGCACACTGTCATTTTGCCCCTCTACAGAAAGTGTTGGAGGTCCATTGCAGTCAACTGTCATGGCACTTTGATTGATTCTTCTTTGTTTTGTTCATGTTCACTGGAGAGGTAGATGCATTCCGATTTCAAAGGCAGCCCCCAATTAGTCAACTCTTAGGACATGCTTGTTGAGGAGGTAGCTGGTTTATTCTTGTTTTCCCCACATTGGGGCCCCAGAACTCACACAAAGATTTTGATTCATCAAATCCTGGCCTCCTATTTTTTTAAGAATTCAGTGTGGGTAAAAGTCTGTGGGTAAATGTATGTTGGTGTTCTAAGAGTTTACCTATTTCTAGATGCTTGAGTTGACCATGTTGTTACTAACTACCAATAATCTATTACCAGGGGCAAAGGAGACTACTTCCGGCTTGGTCACGGCACTGATGCTCATGTGAGGAAACCCCAGCTGGTGGAAGGGCTGAAAGGGAAGAAGATTGTTCATGTAGCTGTAGGAGCTCTTCACTGTCTAGCAGTCACGGATACTGGCCAGGTAAGTTTTTCAGCAGACTTCTGTCTTCTGTGTTCATTTTTTAAATTTTTATGTCACCTGTCGTGCTGGATAGGACATTTGCATGTCAAACCATGTTTGGGACATTTTTCAACAATTGACTTCATCTTTACCTCAGATTGGCTAAAACATAGAAGTATAAATCTGAGAAATAAAAGCAGTTGGTGTGAGACTGTCCACAGCTCTCACTGCATGGTAACCATATATATCCCTCCCCCCCCCCCCCCCCCCATCCTCTAAATTTGACCGACAGAGCTACCGGCAACTCTCCCCTTCCCCCCTTCACCTCTTACCACCCCAGTACCCCCAAGGAGGCAGTAGTGGCTACTTCAGGAAACACTAGTGTAGTCCCTACACTATTAACTTTCCAACTGCTAAAAGAAAAGATTCACTATCCCAATGTCAAGTTTGAAAGGAGATAAAAGGGAAATATATTTTGTTTTTCAAATTCAGTCTTCATTTATTGTACCATTTTTTGTCAGTAGTTTGCTATGTACAATATTTTAATCATTTGGTGATCATTGATGAGGATGAACACAAGGGATCTGTCGCCCTTGACAATCCCACATACAGCTGTCCATGAAAAAAGTAGTCATCAGTCAAATCCAAAACTGTGACTTTAAGTGATTGCAGCTGCACCTTATCAGTTAAATTTTCAAGGTTCATAATGAATATATACCTATATCGAAGGAAAAATGCTCCCATGAATGTTAATGGTTAATCAATGTGGTTTTGCTTTGCAGCAGCATGTAGAAAACTTGTTGAAGATAGCATAGATATGGCATAGACTGACGTGAAAATTTCATGTTCACCGTTTGAAAGGAGTTCTTGTGACAGACAAACAGACACATGGATTTTCTGTTTTATAGTATAGACTAGATTTAATTGTCTGACTTTGCTCGGGATAGTGAAAGAAAGTTTTATTCTCAGGATATTTGAGCACATATGGGTTGAGTGGTTCTGTATGTGATGATAATAATGTGTCGACCAACTAACTAATTATTATTGTCATGTTTTGATCTCTCCAGATGATAGTGTTATATTGTGGTATAGGGAAACAATGGAATCACAGGCCAAATCCTGATTAAGGCCAGTGATGAAGTTTTTCCTCACCAAAGCGTAAAGCTGGGGCAGTATTGTAGAGGCCATGTGTTGCCTGTGCAGCATGATCATACAGATTTGAGCCCAGGTCTCCCAGTTGAGAGAGGTGCAGGATTCTTAACAATTCTGCCGAACCACTTCTGTTTACTAGTTTACATTGTTGACCTTGGTTTCTTGGATTTGCCTCTTTTGCATCATTTATGAATGATAGCTCTTTAAATTACTAGGTAGCTGCAGTCCTAGAAGGAGACATTTGTTAAACATTTTTTTTGTCTCTTCCCATTCTAGGTATGGGCATGGGGAGATAATGACCATGGCCAACAAGGCAACGGAACCACAACCGTCAACAGAAAAGCAGCCTTGGTTCTGGGCACAGAAGGCTACAAGATCACTCGTGTGGCTTGTGGGTCCTCCCACAGTGTGGCTTGGGCCACAACAGGGTATGCGGTACCCGCATCTCATGAACCAGTGCTGTTCTCAACTTCAAAAGATCCTCTCGGAGCCACTTTCCTTGGTAAGTATAGCATCTAGAAAGAAACTAAAATCACTTTTTGGGGGGAAAGATATGGCATTTGGAACTATAAAAACCATCAGCCATAAGGAATCTTTTTTTTTTTAAAGCTGAAAACTGGTATTTGTGTGTTAGAATGTAGAAATCACTATTTAGTTTACAAGAAATAGTCCTAGTAAAAAAAATTTAGTTTAAAAAACAACTGAAAATGATTAGTAAAAGAAAGGGGAGGGGAGAGTAAAAAGATTTATAAGATAATTATATCAGATTTAGAGACATGAAGACACAAGGAAAATAATATCTAATGAGGAGAGACAGCGATGTGAAGAAAAATATCAAATGAAGAGACAGAGAGATTCATAAGTACAGATTCCCTGTGTGGGTTCCTGGGCATCATTGTGGGAGGGAACAAGAACATACCCACTGCCTGCCCAGAAGCATATCATAGAAGTCGACGACTAATTGAGAGCTTCCTCTAAAGTCTGAGTACATTGTCTGAGAGGCAGGGAACCAACAGTCTGCAAGCAAATAAGTCATTCCTGGGAAACGAATGTGCACACAACTCAGTTTCTGGGACAGGACTAGAGTCCAGAAGTGGATGAACAACAATAACTTTCCACCTGAGTGTACAGCCGGTGAATTTGAAGAAGAAGATAAGAACAGATCTAAATGAAACATGAATTGGGATTAATGTTCAGTTTTCTTGTTGACTTTTCAGGGATCCATGATGACAAAGATGAGTCTTACCACATTCCTTGCAAAGATTTGAATAACAGGGAGAAAAGCAACAGACCTTCTCTGTCAAAGATCATCCTGTACATGGATTCAACACTAGAGAAACAGCGGGCGCTCAACCATGTCCTCAATGCGCTGCAGATCAAGTATGCCAGGTGGGTTAACTTGAAAAGAAGTAGCTCAAGGCAGCTGAACAGAGGGAAAGGAAAATTTATTGATAAAGAAATTTTGAGGATTGTGTGTTCTAATGTTAAGGATATAAGGATTAAAAGTAACAGTCAAAAGGTTCGACTTCATTTGGCTTGGTCTCTTTCTTCAGAGCGGTTTGCTGCCTACCAAGAGCTTAGCACGAAGCACAAATTCCCTAGCTCCGGCGATGAAATCAAGGGATCTCCGTAACAATTGCACTTGTTAACTGAATGGTGCGGCTGTGAAATGAACCCATGACTTTCAGAACGCGAAGCAAACAGCTTGACCACTTCACCCCGGAGAGCCCCTAATATAGTATGCTCGGTAGTGTGATAGGTAGTGTGTCAGTCTCATAATCATATATAAGGATTGTGTCTAGTGTGATTCAGATTTGCTGATTAATTTTGTTATCTTCTCAACAGGGATGCCATTGTGAAAGCTCTGAGCAAGGAGTCGATTATTCACACCAACGGCTCAAGTCTAGACTCTGGCCAGGGAGCCAGGGAGACCATCTCCTACACACCGACCACATCTCCAGACACCAGCACCGTGCTGCACATGTCTACGATGGAGCAGGGAGCCGGTGATATGGCAGCCTCGGTTGTTGAGTTGGCTGTTGGGGTAGGTTCATTGATTGGTGGAGGGTCTAGGAGAACTAGACCCAGGCATGTGTATTTGAAGTTAGTGCCATCTTTGTTAGTCATTCAGATTTATAATAGCTCATTGGCTAAGGTGTATAATTTTCACTTAGGGTGTGAGAGGTCCTGGGTTCAGATCCTGGACAGGCCCAGCTTTTTATATGGCTCTGTGGCTCAGTTGTTACAGAAATTGTTTCACAGTGAAGTCCCGGATGTTTAGCAGGGTTTGATTCCTGTGGGCCAGGTTTAGAAAAAGACTGCTCATGGCTTACTTACAGTAGTACATGAGTTGCACTGTGGATGAGGTTGGAAGCCTCATGTAATATCTGCAATGACAGCAGTGGGTACACTATAGCCAACCTCCAATTTTTGTTTAAATCCCATTTTATAATGGGAAGCTGCCATGGTGTAGCGGATAGATGCTCATCTGTGGATCAGAAGGGGTTGTGGGTTCAGATCCTGAAAAGGGATTTGTTTGGTTGAAAAGTGCAGATATCTCAGCCAGCCAGACTTTTAAGGACTAGTGGAAAAGAAGAGTCACGAATAATATGGGGAGGGATCAGAGAGAGCTGCGGCAAATGGCAAAGGAAAGCTCTTTGCATCAGTTATTTGAGAGCCTATACATCAAGGGGGTGGTCGGGAGCAGAATAAGACAAAGCCAGATGTATGGGGGAATAGCATATTGTAACTTCAAATGTCTTCAGACTGGCCAGATGATGATGGTGATGGTGATATATAGGTGTTTAACAAAGTACGGCTGTAATGTAACTGACTATTTACTGTTTTTATAGCAGAGGTTTTGGTGCAAGAGCTGATCAATAAAAATTCATGCCTAGATGATGTCATTTTATACACAGATGAATCTAGTGAGGGATGAAAAGAGAGGGGGAGGTTTTATGGCCAAGGTGAATGGACGTTGTTTAAAAAAAAAAAAAAAAGAGAGAGGGAGAGAGAGAAAGAGAGAGAGAGAGAGAGCCTTGCATAGTGAGTAGAGGATCCGTACAGTTTTCACCATGCAGGGGAAGTTAGGTGGACTTAGAATCAGGTTACAGCTGGTGCCATCATTATGGAAACTATTTCTCGGCTACTGTAGAAGGTGACAGAGCATTTGTGGGAATGCCCTGAGTGTAGTGACATAAATTTTGAAAATCATCCGTTCATTCCTCTTTTGTGCTATTTTGTGTGTGACTGCCCAGAGTGTTAAATCAATTGCTGTTGTACATTCACATGTAAACGTGTTTACTGTCACCTGCAAAAAAAAAAGTATGTCCACATGCAGTTAAACATACCTTTCTCCGCATTTAGGATATCAACAATAGTATATGCATTGCTGTGGCGTTGGCGGCTGGATGCCCGCCTGTGGTCCAGAACTTTGTGGGTTCGCATCCTGATGGAGCTGGACTTTTTTCAGAAATTACCTTGACTCCCAAGTCGATGCAACCTTGAGTGGGTGCCAGGTGCAGTCCTGGGAAGTAAAGGCGGCCGGCATGATGCTGACCACATCACCAACCAAGTGCTGATCGGTCTATAAAAATGTGGGGGTAGCCCTATATTCCCAATATACCTAAAGGCTTAGAAAAGGGACCTTTTTACATTAGTATGTCCACTTGGAATTAAACAGTACATTTCTCGATAGTTAGGATATCCACAATAGTATATCCACATGAAATTAAACAGTACATTTCTCGATAGTTAGGATATCCACAATAGTATATCCACATGAAATTAAACAGTACATTTCTCAGTGGTTAGGATATAAACAATAGTATATCGGGGAATCAAACAGTACATTTTTCACATATACAATAGTTTATCCACATGGAATTCAACAGTACATTTTTCCCCTTTGTTAGGATATCCACATGTGATGAAAAGAAGAAGAAAAACAGTACATTTTCTAGCCAGTAGTTAGTATGTAACTATGTACGCATTTGAAGTGCTAAACCTCCTTTCATTCACATATTGTTAAAGGACTCCGACGATCTCCCATTCCCAAGCATGCAAAGTCTGGCCGCCAAAGCATCCCCAGCCACGTCAATTCTGGCCGAGACAATCCAGTCAGCAGAGGAAGTAACCCAAGTTGGAGAGACAAATCTCAGTGGTGGATATCCACCTGGACTGGATGAGTTTACCCACAAACTATCCGTGGATGATGCCCGCATCCTGGTGGATCTCCTGAAGCTGTGTGTGGCACGAAAGATTATTGGAGGCAAAAAGACACTGTCTGATGTGCTCACAGCTCTAGGCAAGGCATCACCTCAGGTATTGTATTCTTTTCCCAGTATGAATGAGTACTTGTATATAGCAGTACACATTTTATGGAGGTACTTTAGTGACAGTTGGGGATTTTGTGCTTGTCATTAACTAAGAGAATGTCTTTAGTCAAGACATAACTGATGTAGTAGGCATAATTAATCCTTGGAGCCCAAAATGCCACACATATTGCATTGCCATTTATTGTTAAACTGCTAAACCGGCATTGCTGCATTGGCCTGTATCCAACAAGCTTAATTAATGGCATTGGTTCTGTTTTCACCAGCACAGTGTTTCGGAGAACTGGGTACGATTCTATATTATTTTTAAAATACAATTTTTGAAAAAGGGGGGAGGGAAGGAGGATTACGGTAAAAAAAATTTTTAATAGCTTTTTTTTTTGTCATTAAAGTTTTAGTGGCTGCATAGTGTCATGGTCATGTTATGAGTTACTATATACATTTTTTGTTTGACCCAAGGGATGTCTCATCTAATCCTGTCTTGATCCTTTGGTACCTGGCGCTGTAGAGGTGAAGTATAATTTACAGGAAAGAGCCCATTTGTATGTTTCGTAAATGTGGATTACCAGGGACCCTGTTAATTCCCCCATCTATTGTTTGCATAGTCGGCCTCCTCTTCGCTTCCCACCTTGTCTGTACAAAAAAAAAGTTTTTTCTTTAAATAAATGTGTTTGTGACCTGTGTAAAATAGTTGTTTTTTTTCTTCTTTAATTTGATTTTGAAGATTTATTTCATAGAATTCCCAGTTAATGGCTTTTTAAGGGTTTCTAAATCAAAGTCCGGCTTATTTGTGTGCAGATTGTTGGTTCCTTGCCTCTCAGGTAGACTCCAGCATCAAAGCAAATGTTGAGCCTATCTACTTTGGCCAAGCTTCCAATGGGAACCTGTTTCTAGGTTGATCGGAGAGAGGCAACCCCTTGAAATCCCAGAAATGCAGTTGAGACTGTAGAGTATGCAGACCACTTTACCAGAAGTGGTATCAGCTTGTAACTTTCACCCTGCCCCCCTGAAGTGTTGTTCAGGTGGGCTACGTCACATGAACCTCATCATGTGGGCTGCATTATGTGGGCCACATATGTGGACTTCACCATGTGGGTAATGTCATAAGGGCTTCATTGTATGGGCTGTGCCGTGTGTTCTTCATCATGTGGATAACATCATGCAGGCTTTATTATATGGGCTGTGTCATCTGAGCATCATCTGCTGTCTGCAGGTAACCGAGATGCTACTGGAACTGTGTGTGACAGAGCTGGAAGATGTAGCCACGGACAGTGAGACTGGCCGCTCCTCTGCCAAACCTGTGGTGCAGGAGAGCGCCCATCCTTACACTGATGACTCCAGTCAGACAGGAGTTGTGAAAATACCAGGTAAGGAACACTGGTTGAAAATGGGCTGGCCAAGTGGTTAAGAAGCTAGGCTCTAGAAGGACAATGTTAGACAGGCCTGCATGCCCGATTCTTAACACTTTGAAAATAAAGTTTGTTTGTTCGTTCGTTCCTCTGTAGAGTGATTGGAATTTTTCTGTCAGTAGCAAGTTTTTGACGTCAGCACAAGAGGCCATACGGCCCCAACATCCTCAGGATCTAGACTCCCCCCCCCCCCCATCGTGCCCTAACCTGCCACTAAATGTGGTAAATATGGGCAGTCACATATTATCATGACAGATAAATCTTGTTCCATTTGCTTAACTGGTATGTTTTGTTGCACATGCACTTTGTTCCCTTTAATTTGTGATGGTGTTCCATTGCCTGTGTCTTTGTTCAATTTATTTTACTTTGATGTTACATTGCTAATATCATGGTTCCATTTATTTTACTTTGAAATTGCATTTTTCATATCTTTGTTACACTTATTTTACATCGATGCCCTATTGCACATAGGCTTTGTTCCGTTTACTTTAAGGGTCAAAGGTAAGCGGAGCGACTTCATTGCACCAGTTTCGTTTGGTATGGTTAAGTCTCTCTCCACAGAATGGTCAGCCACTAACTGAGAACGTCTTACAAAGCGCAAACTCCCTAGCTCCAGCAAAGATCACCAGGGATCTCCATAAAAATTGCACTCGTGCACCTAATGACGCAGCCATGAAATGGACCTACAACCTTCAAAGCACGAGACAAGCGACTTGACCACTTTGCCATGGAGACCCTCTTTAACTGCTAACTATACTTTGATGGTTGCATTGCTATTATCTTTGTTCCGTTTACTTTACTGTGGTTTTCCACTACTATTAAACTTTGTTTTCCATGTGTAGGAGCTGAAGCTCTGAGGGTAGAGTTTGACCGGCATTGTTCAACAGAGAGACGACATGACCCACTAACAATAATGGATGCGTCCGGAAGGACAATAGCGGTTAGATCTGGTTAGTCTTATTGTATATGGTTGTAAAACCTGCCAGTTTGTCTTGTTCCTTCTCGTATCCCTGTGTAGGTTTCAGGGACCAGTTTTTTGGTGGGGAAAAGATAATAGTCTTGTTCTCACTTAAAAACTAATTGTATCCTGACCTAATAAAAACTTCACCTGCTCCTTTTAAAATTTGTAGCCTGTATGACTTCTGACCTCTCATCTTCCTGCTAATTTAAACAGTATGCATCACTCAGGTAGGACTACGACACAAGTACAAATAATGTTCACAGTGCGCAAATCTTAGTACAGCTAATGCTGTTCTTGAAAACATGACACAAAAGCCATGTTTTTGCATTCGTGGGCCTATGTATTTTTTACCGGCCAATGCAAAATTTGTTCAGAAATTATGTTTATGAGCCGATTTGTCTATGACTAGAGGTGTTTATGATCCGAGGTACCACTAAGCAACACCAACCGTTAAAGGATCAGCAACAGAGGATTCAAATGCCATTAGAGGATCAGTGACAAAGGATTTGCTTTCTGAAAGATTAAAACCCAGTGACTCAGATTGCCACTATTCAGAATATAGAGTCTAACAGGGGCCACTCCAAGAAACCTTAGTTACAGCCATATATCACAGTTATATTAAGGCACCCATCAGTTATAAAGTCGCCTGTAGTTTAATTTGGATGGATTCTTGAGTGAATCCATGTCTGCTTCAGACCAGACACCATAAGAATTTTCCAGGTACTTTTAATTTTTTTTTTTAATTCTTTCTGTGAATATTCCACTCCCTTAGGTAACCTAGTTTATTCTGTTCTTTATGTATCTTAACTATATTGTTGACTCTTGACAGTGATGTTTAATTGTTGACTCTTGACTGTGGTGTTATATTGACTCTTAACTTTGTTGCTTTATTATTGACTCTCAACTGTGTTGTTCTATTGTTGACTCTAACCTTTGTTGTTCAATTGTTGACTTTTAACTGCTATTTGATATTTACTTTTAATTGCGGAATTATTTGTAGAATTTTTACTGTAGTGTTTTATTTTTGACTCTCAACTGTGATGTTTATTTTTGACTCTGAGCTGTGTTGTTTTATTGTTGACTATTAACTGTGGCATTTTATTTTTGACTTTTGACTGTGGCAGTTCTCGTGTTTAATGTACACAATATCAATCCTGCTTCCAGGAAGAGAATGGTCAGACTGGTTCCAGGAGTTGAGGATCAGCGGAGATGAGTTGAGGTGGAAGTTCACCAGCGACGGTTCGGTCAATGGCTGGGGCTGGTACTTCACCGTCTACCCAGTCATGCCGGCTGCCACACCACTGGACACTCTGTCTGACCGCACCATCTTATCCAGGCCCTCCATTGACCTGGTCACTTGCTTACTGGACTTCAAGCTGGAGGTGTCCCTGGACAGAAACATTGTGCCCAGGCTGGCTGCAGCCCTGGCAGCATGTGCACAGCTGAGCTGTCTGGGTAGGTAGTGGTTCAGATCTGTTACTGATGGCTGCCTCATGTGTTTAATGTGTGTTTACGCAGTTAGCTTTAGCGGGACTGCAGTCTGTGTCAATTTTTACACAAGGCCCAGCGATAGACATTCTATTTGATTGTTACGGACACAGGTTCGTGTGTAGGTTTCTAGACCACATTTGGGGAGAGGGTGGATAGACCCACTGCTCTGCTAACATGCATATTTGAAAAGGCGACTAATTATGGGTGTTTCCTTTGAAGTTGGAGTGCATATGTCCAAGAGAAGAGGAATCAACAGTTTGCCTACAGATAAGCCAGATTCAATACTCAAATCCTGAAACAAGACCAAAGTGCAGAAGTGGATAACAAAATCCAGAACTTTCCTTTGTGTGTATGTGTCTGTGTGCGTCTCTCTCTCTCTCTCTCTCTCTCTCTCTCTCTCTCTCTCTCTCTCTCTCTCTCTCTCTCTCTCTCTCTCTCTCTCTCTCTCTCTCTCTCTCTCTCTCTCTCTCTCTCTCTCTCTCTCTCTCTCCCTCCCTCCCTCCCTCCCACCCCTCTCTCAACACCATTGTCTAGTTAAGATGTCATCCTGAGTATTTCAGCTTTCTATCCTTTTTCTTCTGCAGTCAATCTTAACCCTTTCTTTCCAGGAATGCTAAAAAACATGGGCCATGAACCTGCAGGAATTCTCGAAACAATCCCACTAATACATTTTTAAAACACATTTTTAAATCAGCATTATAAAAGTCTCTTCAGAATATATAGATACATAAATTGGTAATCCATGGGAGATACTGGAAGAGTGGTTTATAGACACATGACTAGCCCTGATCCTAATGACAGCATTAACCATCTAACAAGAAGAGACCAGGCCACCATCTTCAGACTCAGAACACAACATACTCCACTCAATGGACACCTAAACAGAATACAGCCACAACACTCCCCAGAGTGCCAGCTATGTAACTACCCCTATGAAACTGTTGACCATCGTCTCTTTGAGTGCCCAAAACTCAACGATACTGGAAGAATGCTACTCCCTCTGAGACCAGACAGGTGGAACACCTTGTACGGAGGAAAAGAACAGCTTGTGAAAACATGTAAATTCCACTACATGGCATTGGGCCAAAGGGCGAAAGCTCATGCGCCGCTGGATCAATAACAACAACCACCTGAAACAATCCTTTTTTGTTTGTTTAAAAAACCATTTTACACAGGACACTAATACATTTTTGAAACAATCGGTTTTACACAGGACACTAATACATTTTTAAAACAATCGGTTTTACACAGGACACTAATACATTTTTAAAACAATCGGTTTTACACAGGACACTAATACATTTTTAAAACAATCGGTTTTACACAGGACACTAATACATTTTTAAAACAATCGGTTTTACACAGGACACTAATACATTTTTTTTTAAAGTCGGCATTATAAAAGTCTCTTCAGAATATATAGATACATGAATTGGTAATCAGTAAACATGAATAGAGTTGAGCGTTTAATGGAATATATTCTCCCAGGACCTACAAAAACCAATGTAAATTTGGCGACTCATACCAAGACCCCACCCATGACATTGATCACTGAGGCATTGGGTAAATTTGACATGAGTATAGCTTTGACCTAAACCTAATAGCTTTGTAAAGCCCTTCTCATTTTTTGCTCTTTCCCTTTTAAAAAATGTTCGACACACAAGATCACACATGATTAATGTCCTTGCTTGCAAATGACATAGTTTTAACAAAACAAAAAAGGGTCCCTTGTTGTGAAAAAAAAAAAAAAAAGCATATCAAAGGCCATTCCCATTGGTAGGTAATAGTTGTCGTCTCCTTCTGGGAACGGCATTTAACTCTTTTTGTCACAGGCCTATCTCTGGGCTTTAGATTAGAGCAGGAAGAGGAACTTTTGTATGGGTGCCAGCAGCCATTTGGATATTTATAACATCATTCGCAAGCCATGCAAAATTATCAACTAATAATTAGCCTGCTTCATTGGCCACTGTTCTTTCAGGCATGTACTAACTAATCTGGCACCACTTGTCACCGTCTTGTATATTTGATGTAATTACCCAAGGATGTTCAGGAAAATGAGAGAACAGTGTATATTATTTGGAAAATTTGATCACAGAAACAAAATATCATGGAATGCTAGAAAAATAAACAAATTTTTCTCTAGACAGATTAATGAGACAGATTAATGTTGTAAACTCTTCTTCTTCTTTTCCTTCATCTTCTTCACATTCACCAACGGTAAACTCTAGCAGAAATTTCTGGTTGTTTGACTATATCTGGACTTTAATCTTGTTCCAGAACCTGAGTGTTGTGTGCACATTCGTTTAGCTTATCTGACTTAATTGTATGCAGATTTTTGGTTCCTTGCCTCTCAGACTAATGCACTCCAACTTCGAAGGAAGCAGTTGGTGTTCCGATTAGATGTAAACAGTGGGTGTTCCAATTAGAACAATTTGATGTAAACAGTTGGTGTTCCGATTAGATCAATTAGATATAAACAGTTGGTGTTCCGATTAGAACGATTAGATGTAACAGTTGGTGTTCCGGTTAGAACAATTACATGTAAACAGTTGGTGTTCCAATTAGAACGATTAGATATAAATAGTTGAGGTTCCAATTAGAACGATTAGATTAAACAGTTGGTGTTCTGATTAGAATGATTAGATATAAACAGTTGGTGTTTCGATTAGAACAATTTGATGTAAACAGTTGGTGTTCCGATTAGAATAATCAGATAATAACAGTTGGTGTAATGATTAGAATGATTAGATGTAAACAGTTGGTGTTTTTTAGACAGATTCCGAGGATAGGACTCAGAATTGGTTGCGACTGGCAAGACGAAGGCAAAGAGATTAATACCTAGATTTCATGGCCATATAGGTGGGGTGAGACAAGAACACTGATCTGATCTCTGATTCTGGTAATTGTGTGGGATGGTGAAACATGATGATGCTCATATGTGAATTAAATATGTGTTCCTACACATGCATTTTCATATGTGTATGCATACGCATGAACCTGATCATGTGAGGACCAGTGACATTCACATTTTTACCAGTGACATTCACAATACAGAATGTCTCTCTGCTTATCTGACAGACAGAAAAATAACCTGCTTGCAGACCTTAACATGAATCAAACTGAAGCTAGATAATGACATTAATTCCCTGACATGGTTGTCCTGCAGTCTGTGAGTGGCTCAGCTTTGACTTCCTTGGTCAAAGGTCTTCCAGAGGCGCTACAGAGACAGTACGAGTATGAGGATTCCATCGTCCGCAGTGGCAAGCATCTGATGCATAGTCCCTTCTTCAAGGTGAGGCCATTTGCTGCTGCTCTGCTTTCTTCTCCTCCTCCTCCTTCTTCTCCTGCTTTTTCTTCTTCTCATTCTTTTCTTTCTTTTAATTTTTCATCATCCTCTTCTTGTTTATCTGAGAGGTGTAATTATGTTGTGGTCGTTTACAGAAGTTCTGCAGTATTTAAACCTTTTGGCTGACACATCGAATTTCATCAGGTATTTGTTGCCCAGGTTAGCTTTCTTGGTTCACTCAGTCAATCAGTTGCCATCTCTCCAGTGAAGATTGGCTGAAATGGATCTCCAGCACTCTTTATATCTCTTTATTCCTCCATGTGTATTGCTATCTAAATCTTGCTTGCTATGTATGTATACATGTGAGTGTGAATGTATGAATGTGTGTGGAGGCATGCATGTGGGTGTGTGTATGTGTGATAATTTCTGCATGGTTATATTAGTGTGTGTGTTTGTATTCATGTATGAGTGTATGTATGCTTGCATGTGTGTGTATATATTATATGTATGTATAGAGTGACCTTATCGTCCAGTTTTCGCCAGTACAGTGTCATCTTTTAGGTAGGCTCAGTCCGTCATGTCGATACTAAAAAAAAAAATGTACTTTGTTCCAACTTATATTTTTTTTTGTATACATGTGACGGTCTGTGGCTAGCTAAAAAAAAAAAAAAAAACTACACTGTCCCAGCAAAAACAGGACATTATGGCCACCCTATGAATGTAGGTAGGTAGATATATATATGTTTGTGTGTATGTATGCATATACCATTCATGCTTTTTTGTATTGTACTGGATCTTTAAATATGTTATGTAACATGCTAACAGATAAATACATTCACTGTGTGCCAAATAAGTGTTTGGAAGTTCTGAATTTAAGATGAAACTGCATACCCTTTGGGAGTGAAGTTTATTTGTTTGCTTGCCTTCAGCTTTTCCCTTCATTTGATTTTTATAAGAATTTTATGTATTTTAATTTGGCTAAAATATTTCATTTGTCTCTGTTATTTCTTTCAACAGATCTCTTTTCATTCCCAGTTTTTTTTTTCCAAACCTCTCTATTTGATTGTTTTGTGTCCGCGGAGTGTGACATGTTCTTTGAAATATATTGGATGTTCTAAGTTAAGTGTGCTGCAGGATTTTGCTACAAAGCTAATCCAGAACCCCAGTGACAAGACTCTGAGTAGATCTATTTGTTCTCTTTTACTTCCAGTAAACTTTTCCCTACTTTATTTTTCACTTTCCTTGAATTTAAATCTTTCACTTTGCTTGATTTAAATTTTTACTCTCCGCTTCACTTGACTCCCCCCCCCCCCCCCCCCCCCCCCCGACTTATTTGACTATTTTTCACTTTAAAGTAAAGTATTTATTTTTCACTTATTTAACTATTTTCACTTTACTTTTATTTTACTTCATTTGTTGTACTTCACTTGACTTTATTACTTTTCACTTCACTTGACAATTTTTCTCTTCACCTTACTTGACTTTATTTTTTACTTCACATGACTTTATTTCTGTTCCCTTCACTTGACTTTTATTTTTCATTTTACTTTATTTTTGACGTTACTTGATTTTAATTTTTGACTTCATGTGACTTAAGACTTACATCTGTCACTTCCCATGTTCATCAAGGTCCTGGTAGCCCTGGCCTGTGACCTTGGCCTGGACACCATGTCCTGCTGTGCCGAAGCTCACAAGTGGGCCTGGTTCCGCCGCTACTGCAATGCTGCCAGGGTGGCTGTGGCCATGGTGAAGAGGTTGCCTCTGCCGCAGTCGTTCACCGAGGAAGTCATGAAGAAGATCCAGGATATCGCTAGCGACAGTGACAGCATCAGCAGGGTCCATGAGAAACACTCTCTGTTCAAGCAAGAGCATGATGAGCAGTTGTTGCAGTGGATGAACAGGTCAGTAGTGCAGAGCCTTGCTTGTTGCCAGTTTGTTATCATTGTTATTGAAATAATGCAGAGCCTTGCTTGTTGCCAGTTTGTTATCATTGTTATTAAAATAATGCAGAGCCTTGCTTGTTGCTAGTTTGTTATCATTGTTATTGAAATAATGCAGAGCCTTGCATGTTACTAGTTCTTTATCATTGTTATTGAAATAATGCAGAGCCTTGCTTGTTGCTAGTTTGTTATCATTGTTATTGAAATAATGCAGAGCCTTGCTTGTTGCTAGTTTGTTATCATTGTTATTGAAATAATGCAGAGCCTTGCTTGTTGCTAGTTTGTTATCATTGTTATTGAAATAATGCAGAGCCTTGCTTGTTGCTGGTTTGTTATCATTGTTATTGAAATAATGCAGAGCCTTGCTTGTTGCCAGTTTGTTATCATTGTTATTGAAATAATGCAGAGCCTTGCTTGTTGCCCCTTTGTTATCATTGTTATTGAAATAATGCAGAGCCTTGCTTGTTGCTAGTTTGTTATCATTGTTATTGAAATAATGCAGAGCCTTGCTTGTTGCTGGTTTGTTATCATTGTTATTGAAATAATGCAGAGCCTTGCTTGTTGCTAGTTTGTTATCATTGTTATTGAAATAATGCAGAGCCTTGCTTGTTGCTAGTTTGTTATCATTGTTATTGAAATAATGCAGAGCTTTGCATGTTACTAGTTCTTTATCATTGTTATTAAAACAATGCAGACACAAACACTACGTTACAAAATGTATTGCCTGGCATATTTCGCTGTATCTCATCATTTACAGCAAATATAATACAAATAAAAGTGAATAGTTTCTGCTGAAATACACAAATCACACTGCCTCTCTTAATACGTTGTTCCTGTTATCTCTGGATGATCAAGATAGTCATATAGTTTACTATACACAATTTTAACTTACGGCACATTTTTTTAAATATTTGAGCAAAATGGGATGTATAGTTTTTTACTAATAAAGCTTCATCCCGCTTGAGCGTTTTGTGTTCATATAATTTAAATTCACTACAGGAAAATACTGTTTTGAATCCTTGTTGTGGCTTTGTTATCATTTGCTATTATTATTATTATTATTATTATTGTTGTTATTATCACTATTATTATTGATGTGTTGATGTATTTTTGCTGTTGTTGCTGTTTTGTTATTCACATTTTAAAGGGTTATTATTTCACATTATCTTCTTCATCTGTTTCTACTGCAAGCACAGTTTGGAAGTTTCCCCCCCCCCCCCCCCCCCCCCCCCCCTCTCTCTCTCTCTCTCTCTCTTTTTTTAGTCCTATATACAGGTTTCCAAGATCTTAGTTTGAAAAGTAGAGAAACAGAAATTATGGTAATTATAAATTGCAGCATCAGTATCCTCGATTAGTCTGAAGCATGTTAATTTATGTATGTCATCTTGTACATGGAAAAATACTGTATCTCCTTAAATTGCTTCCCTTCTCCAGAAAACCTGAAGACTGGACCTTATCTTGGGGAGGCAGTGGCCAGATTTGGGTCTGGGGTCATAACCACAGAGGTCAGCTTGGTGGCGTCGAAGGGGCCAAGGTGAAACTTCCACTGAGCTGTGATGCCCTGGCCACTCTGAGACCTGTCCAGCTGATTGGCGGAGAGCAGACGCTGTTTGCTGTGACTGCTGATGGCAAGGTAGGGTGTACTTACCTCCTGTCATGGCTGGTATTTTCTATCTTTCTTGTGGGTATCATTTATCTTATTTTCTCAATTTAAACTATACACTTTAAAAAAAAATTTATGTGATCTGATTTGGTTATCACACTTAAGCCAATATTGTTTTGTTTCTTATTTATAAAAATTTTGTATCTATTTGCTAAGAAACATTATTTGTAACTAATTTATTGTTTATTCCTTCCTCCTTAACTTGTATAGTTTTACATTGACTGTGATGTATTATGATGTGTTTAATTTACTGGCCCTGCCTACTATCCTGGATTAGATTACCTGTTTCAGTCCCAAGTAATTGTTACTTTAACTCCTTATATCTTGAGGATGTAAGCTTTAAAACAATAAATACTTAGGTCTGAAGGAGTTCATCAGAGACAGTATGGAGCAGGAGTAATTAAACTAATAATTCCAATATAATGGTTTAATAAAACATTTGTCTGTGATTATTGACCTCAAGAACATTATATATCTTTTGAAAGTCCAAGAAACATTGGGTACTGAAAGAGTTGAGCATTGTTTTACAGTTAAATATCTGCCAGTGCCTTCATGCTCCAAGTTTAAATATGTGGTCCTGGATAAACTGCTGATACAGAATCGCCTGGGTAGAGTTTTGGGAGAGAAGTAGACTAAATCAAGAGCTGAGGAAAAATTGCTGGCACTGGCAGGTCAAAGGCTTTGTTATGGACATGTTCTGCATTGGAGGAGGAAGAACAAAACATGAAAAAAAAATTATGAAAGTTGCTGTGGCTGGTTTAAACGCCGCTCTCACTGACTTATAAACCATCAGGATCTGTTGTTAAACAGTTTGAATAGCTGGTTGTTTTACTAGTTGAACAACTGCTTATCTTCTTATGTAACTGATACAGGTGTTTGGTACTGGCTATGGGGCTGGCGGCCGCCTAGGAGTGGGCGGGACTGACTCTGTGGCGACGCCCACTCTGCTAGAATCCATCCAACACGTGGTGGTGAGAAAATTGGCTGTCAACTCTGGAGGCAAACATTGCCTGGCCCTGTCTGCAGAGGGGGAGGTCTACTCTTGGGGTGAGGGTGAGGATGGTAAACTAGGCCATGGTAACCGCAGGTATGGTTTTGTTGTTGTTTTGTTGGGAATTATTTTTTATTTTACTTTCTATTATGCATTCTTATTTTGTTGTTTTCTGTTTTTTCTGCGTTTAATCTTTCTGTTTCTGTACGTTAGTCTGTTTTATTAGCAATTATCTCTCTTCAACTCTCTCTAAGTTTCTCATTGTCTCTCATTAATAATAAATAAAGTGAGTTGTTATTATAAAAATAAAATATAACCTACACACACTGCATCACATACACACTAGATCACACATCTCAGACATACACTAGACAACACATCTCAAACACACACTAGACCTCACATCTTAAACACATACTAGGTCTCATAACTCAAACACACACTAGACCTCACATCTTAAACACATACTAGGTCTCATAACTCAAACACACACTAGACCTCACATCTTAAACACATACTAGGTCTGATAACTCAAACACACACTAGACCTCACATCTTAAACACATACTAGGTCTGATAACTCAAACACACACTAGACCTCACATCTTAAACACATACTAGGTCTCATAACTCAAACACACACTAGACCTCACATCTCAAACACACACTAGACCTCACATCTTAAACACATACTAGGTCTCATAACTCAAACACACACTAGACCTCACATCTCAAACACACACTACACCTCACATCTCAAACACACACTAGACCTCACATCTTAAACACATACTAGGTCTCATAACTTAAACACACACTAGACCTCACATCTTAAACACATACTAGGTCTCATAACTTAAACACACACTAGACCTCACAACTCAAAACCTTTGGACAGAAAACTGTCAGAAACAAGGTACAACTAAGAATTGTCTTTTATTGTCAAAGTTCTCCCCTTATCTTCATAAAATTATTGGTTTTACCTGCAGCCCCTGTGATAGACCACGTGTGATTGAATCTCTACGAGGAAAAGAGGTCATCGACATTGCAGCAGGAGGAGCTCACTCTGCTTGTATAACTGCCAGCGGAGAACTGTACACCTGGGGGAAGGGGCGGTACGGCCGGCTGGGACATGGAGACTCAGAGGATCAGTCACGACCCAAACTGGTAAAGCGGATAATCAAGACACATCTTTCTGACTTAATATTTTCCAATTTATCTATCCTGTGTGTTTTTGTATGTATGTGTGTATGTATGAGGGAGAAAGTGTGAAGGAGAGAGAGAGGGGAAAATAATTTTCAGAAAATGAATCTAATAGACTGACACATGCAGTTGTCAAGAGAGAGCGCGCGCGCACGCACGCACGCACGCACGCACGCACGCACGCACGCACGCACACACACACACACACACATATACATATATACATATATACATATATACATATGATATATATATATATATATATATATATATATATATATATATATATATATATATATATATATATATATATATATATATATATATATATATATATATATATATATATATATATATATATATATATATATATATATATATATATATATATATATATATATATATATATATCCACATCTTAACAGGCACCCAGAATTTGCCAGAGAATGAAAAGTTGGCTTATTGGAGCAGCCATCATTTTAGTCCCTTAACACCATGTGTTGGCCGACGAAGTTTTGTTTGACTGTCTGATCAGTCCCTTTCACCTCTGGCAGTCAGTTGCAATGGACTTGATGTTTGCATGTTTGAGGCCTGTCCATTCAGCCAGAATGCTTTCGTTATGATTTACCACACAACAACTGGACAACAAGGGATCACAAGAGACCATTTTGTATTTCAGTAGAGTTTATTAGTTTTTTTTAATGCTTCCTTACGTGTTGATGTAACTCTGTAGTAACTCACCTGACAAGATACAATGAATATGCCAGGCAGTAAATTGTCCAGTGAATTCTTTGTGTCTGCAATATTTAAATTCACTATGCGAAAACACTGTTTTGAATTCCTGTTTCATTGTAGTACCATTAACATGAATGTTCATGTTATTATATGTCCTTCCTATTCTCATTACCTCAGTTTTTGCAGTGTTTATTTTCATACCATTCTGTGTGCGATCATTCTTCCATTATTCTTCTTTTTCTTCATTGTCTTCTCTTCCACTTTGTACCTCAGCAAAGTGTTGGGGTGAGATGTAATGTTCGTTGAGCTCTGTCAAGAGCACTATAAAGATTGATGTTTATTTCTGTAAGGCTGTTCTTAATGCCATCACTCTAAAGTTTTTTTTAGGTCTTCTGCTTGCTCTGTACCCTTTGTAATGTTTCATTGTGGCTCACTGTGGTAGATAGTACCAGGGCATTCTTGTTAAGTGTCCAAACCACTTCCTTTGTTGTTCTTTGATGACCTGTAAGACTGGCTTTATTCCTAGCATTCTTCCATTGATCTTCCTTAATGTCCTTTCCTTCTCTTCAATGTGTCTCATTATATCCATTGTTTCATTCTCTTATCCATTGTTCACTCATTGCTCTCCCAAAATGTCCGTAGCTTTTTCTATGTGATTCTCATAATGTCCAATTGTTTCATCTTCTTATCCAGCTGGAGGCCCTGAAAGGCTTCCGTGTGATTGATGTGGCATGTGGCAGCGGTGACGCGCAGACCCTGTGTATCACAGATGACGACAGTGTGTGGTCCTGGGGAGATGGAGACTACGGCAAACTTGGTAGGTATCTCTTCTGCATACGTATACACATATTGTTATATGTGTGTAAGCTTCTTACAAATCGTGTAATTAAGAAACTGCTACAGTTCATACTACTGTGGCCGCTGCTACCTCTATGACTGCTACTAGTACATTAGCTTTTTATGCTGATACTTCTGTTGCTGCTGCTAGTACTGCTACTAGTAACACTACACATATTCTAACTCGTCATTATTATGTAGCAGGTCCTTTGCAGATCATCATTGTCATTCTGGTCTGCATGGAAAATACTAACTGCCAGCTTTCCTGCCTCGTGTACTTTCCTGTCTGAGGCGTCACTTATTTCCTTTGCCCATCTTCATGCTGGTCAGCCCCTGCCCCTCCATCCTGTTACTTTCTATAATTATTTTTCCAATCTCCAGCGGTGCTTGATATGGCCAAAATGTTTCACTATCTGAGACAAGATGCTGTTTACTAGGCAATCTTCATTTGAAACTGTGGCTTTCAATATTGTAACCTTCCATTGCTACATACACTGTGCCAAATAGACCAGACAGAACTGAAAACATAAAACTGAAGTTTTTGTGTGTGGAAATGTTCCAGGACGAGGTGGCAGCGATGGATGTAAAGTGCCCATGAAGGTGGAAGCCCTGCAGAGCCTGGGTGTGATGAAAGTGGAGTGCGGCTCTCAGTTCTCTGTGGCTCTCACTAAGTCAGGAGCTGTGTACACATGGTAAGACTTCAATTCCTTGTCTCTTTAAAGCTGTAGTGGTTACTGCTGCTGTGTACGTATCCAGCAATGCAGGTTTAACTTTCTTCATAGAGGTTTAAGGTTTAAACAACAGATCAACATCATGGCACACGGGTAGTAACCCATAAGTGCTCCGTTCTTCTTCCAATTCAAGTCTGATTCCGTAGAAGCTCGGCAAGGATCCTGAAATACTTTGATTAAATTTTTAACTCCAAATTTTTGCCCGGGCGGCGCCGTTAGGCTACTCTTTTTGATTTCCAATTGCCAAAGAATTTTTTACATGCTCAACAATGCACAAAGGCGTCCGATCTCACTACCCAGAGACCAGGGGGAATTACTAGAAGTCCAAATACACATGAAAAAATCTCAGCCCTTACCAGAGATTGAACCCAGAACCTCTAGCAACTCTGAAATTATGTGGACGCTGCCGTGGTGTAGTTTTATAGAAGAATGATAATGTTTCTTGTACAGATAAAATGTGTAGGGATGTCTTTCTTTGTTTGGTCTCATGTAATGTAAAAAAATGTTCTACCCAAAAAAAAAAAAGTGAGGGGGCTGAGTGGTCTCGAAGCATGGCATCTGCCTTGAGTGCTGGAGGTCCCGGGTTCAGGCCCTGGCAAAGGCTGGGACTTTTTCTTGTGGACTTCTAGTAATTTTCTCCTGTCTCTGAGTAGTAAGATCGGACGCCCGTGTGTATTGTTGTGCACTTAAAAAAAAATAATTTGGCAGTTAGAAATCGAAAAGAGTAGCCCAACGGGGCATCCTGAGTTAAATTTGGAGTTTTAAAATCTACCCAAAGTATTTCAGCATCCTCACCAGTGCTGCAGAGTTTGTGCACTGGGCTGAGATTATTTGCACTCAGGCTTGAGTTAGAAGTAGAACGGAGCACTTATTGATTACCACCCTTGTGCCATGATGTTGATCCATTGTATCAGCCATAAACCTGATCTCATGTAATTGCTTTCTCCTAAACTCAGCAAATTGCCTTGTTTTTATTTGTCTCACCAAATTGCCTTTTCCTAATCTCAGAAAATTGTCTTTTCCTGATCTCACCAAATTGTTTTTTCCTGATCTTAGAAAATTTCCTTTCTTTTCATAATCTCACTAAATTGCCTTTTTCTGATCTCAGTAAATTGCATTTCTTTTCCCGATCTCAGTAACCTTCCTCTCTTTGCTTGATCTCATTAAACTGCATCTTTTTGCCAGACCACATCCTCAGGCTCAAGACCCTCCTGTTCTACACCATCATAAAAAAGTGATCTAAAAACAGGCAGTTAAGATAGTTTTATCTCATTAACCTTCTCACCCTGTTGGAATTCCAGAAAAAATCCTTGAAAAGACAACAGTTTTTCCCTGTTCACTAATAAATTTGTAAAAGGTTTATCTTTTTTTTTTTTAAAATTGGACAGTTTTTCAGCTTTTCAGGGCAAAAGAGTAAAAATGGCTTTCTTTGATTCATCTAGTTAAACTATTGTTCTTTTGTTATCTCATAAAACAGTGATACTATCAGACAGATTGTGGAAGCGACACTTTGTACTAGATTCATCAAGAAACAGCAGATGAAGAGGTTCGGCCATCTCGTTAGAATGCTGCAAGATCAGATACCATCACAGGCACTACATCTCAGAAGATTAACTACAAGATCAAGAGGACAGCCACGAAAAAATTGATCGACAACATTAAAGACACTCTATGTCTTTACAACTGGACAATAGCCAGTGGCAGCCAGCGTGCACTGGATCACAAATTATTCTTGCCCACTATGATAAACGGCAGAAGTGGTTTATGATGATGATGATGATAAAACTGCCTTTCCCTGAGTGATATTATTATATTACCTGCCTTTACTTAATTTCTTCAAGCTTCCTAACATCTTTTGCATTCCAAACCCCTGAAGAATTGTCTGAAGTGTTAATCATTGTCTTTTCTGGCCCTAGGGGAAAGGGAGACTATCACCGGCTGGGGCATGGCACAGACGACCATGTCAGAAGACCTAGGAGAGTTACAGCCCTTCAGGGAAAGAAAGTCATTGATGTCGCTTGTGGATCTTTGCACTGTGTAGCCTGCACTGAAGCAGGTACATACGTTTGTGTTGATACCTTCAGATCTTAATGGCGGACTGTAGTGGCAGATTAAGGTCCGATCCATCGATACATTGTTTGTTTCTTCAGTTAGTTAGTTTTAAGTGGACAGTGCAGAGTATCCAAACCTCTGAAGGTTGATTAAAGGGGAGTGAGGAGAGGTTCTGGATAATATTTAAGACTGAGGGGGGGGGGGGGGGGGGGGGGGGAGAGAGAAAACATAGTCGGAACTGTAATCGGGTAGCAGCTGGCACTAGTAGCATTGATCTCTTCGTGCGCTGCTGAGAAAAGAGAACACCTGTGGGAATATTCTGAGTGCAGCAGTGCCGATTCTTGATTCATTCATTCATTCTTCAGACATGTCTGTAATCATCAGGTGGTAACCACAGTGAAATGGCTAAGCCGTTTGTCTTGTAGTCTGAAGGTCATGGGTTCAGTTTGGGATTTCATCTAACAGTTATTATTATAATTGTTTTGGAGAACCCCGAAGGGCCGTTCCTTGAGCTATGGAGTGTCAGGCTTTGTGCAGCACTTTCAAGGGGGTTTACAGCTGCTATGCAAAGAGAGGTCAGGCAATATAATAATAATACTTTGTGCAATCTTATCCTCTTAAAATGACTTTGAGTTGAGTTGGGAACTGATATCGAAATAATGGAAATTCTGATAAGCACTTTGTCCCCAGCTTCAGCAGCCAGCACAGAGTTCCAGTTCTGGTGTTGGCAGTAGCAGTCTGATTGTATGTCCATCTCATCCTTTCCCCTGAGTAATTAGCATCTGCCACGTTCCCTTGCCATTCTCTTCAGAATGTGATGATCTAATTGTACGTCCACACTGTTCACTTGCTGCCAAAAGACCCTCACAATATCTAGCTTGTCATGCATCAATTGACGACCAAGTGATACAGAACCAGCCAGTCTGTCTTACTGTTTGTTTCCCAGCTGCCCTGGAGAAAAGATCCAAAAAAAAAGCACTAACAGCGGGAGACATCTAAAATGATGCTTGCCACTCTGCACAGAGCATACCTGTCTCCACCTTTCCCAGCATGGTCTGTGAGTCAGTTACAATCATAAAATGTGTGTGTCTCAAGCCAGTTGAAGGATGCAGTGACTAACTCTACCTTCATTCTCAAACAAGACGTTTTAGTATCATATGCCAGGCTTTCTTGCACTAAGTGATGTCCATTGCTTTTGCTTCAGAACCTCCAGGCTCATCTTCTCCATCTCAACACAGAGCTATCTGATTAGATAATTACATCACCTTGGCAGGATTTGTCATGAAACAGTTGTTGAACTTCTGATTCTCCAGCCCTGCTGTCCAGTCCTTGCATTCCTAGCCTAATGTAATTAGAACCCTACACGAATCAGATTGTTGCTCAGACTCTTTGACACACTCTTCTCCTCATCCAGTATTATTAAGCATGTTCATGTCTAATTGTATCTTCATCTTGCATCATCCAAGACCTTCCTCTTTTCAGTCGGTGACCCATAGCTGTATCTAGGGCTTCATGCAGGAGGTGTTTTGAGGTGTGTTTTTTTTTGTCCGCGGCTACTCTGAAATATGACTTTTCTTGCAGCACTTTGAGCCTGGTAGTCTGGTAGTCTTAGTTTCAGCTTCATAGCAAACGGGTCGCCCCATCTTTGCTCCGCTCCTGTGCCAACGAAAAACACTCAGAATGTTTATCACAGTCCCTTGTGGAAAGATTGACAGACTGCTGTCTCAGCATATCTAGCATACACTCGCATTAAAGCATATGGTAGCCATCCGAAGTGCTAGCACAAACAGTCCAACATTAGAAATGCAGTTCATCATTGATGATAGCAGAATTTGTCGCCAACAGATCAGCAGTTGCCCATGCGATCAATTGTAATCACAAACGGGCACCGCCAACATGAAACGACCGGCATCACGCCATTTTCTGAGTCTACAATTCACACCACCACGTTGGTCACAGTCGAAAATACATTCCAAATGCAATCCGCAGCTGACAGGGTCACGCCATGCATTCAACTCAGAAGCTGGGTGACGAAACTATATCCAGTCTACAAATGGAGCAAAAATACTTCGGCCACCGTCCGGTAGAAGCAAAAAATTTGCCTCTGCTTCGAACAGCGCCACTGTCTAGCGTCCATTTTAACCGGAAGTCTTTTGAGCCTATCTAATAATCGGCAGTGCAAGTACTTATCACATGCATGCTACTAGGGTATTTCATATAAATCCTAGAATTATATGCCTTCTCAATGAAAAACTGACAGTTGACATGATCCTCTTCGTCTGTGATAAACTGAGAAATTACTTGTTTTTCTTTACCTATTGATAAACTGACAGCTGGTGTTGTGGTCCTCTTTGTCAATCATAAACACCTCTTTGTCAGTGATAAACACCTCTGTCTATGATAAACACCTCTTTGTCGGTGAAAGACACCTCTTTGTCAATGATAAACAACTCTTTTTCAATTATAAATGACTGTTTGTCAGTAATAAACACCTTTTGTCAATGATGAAAAAACCTTTGTACATGATAAACAACTCTTTGTCGATGATAAACAATCAGAAACAGATAAGATTCATAGTTTTAAAAAAAATATAAAGTTGTTTGTGTCTGCTTTTTTACTTCTAGGAGAAGTGTTCACCTGGGGAGACAACGACGAGGGTCAGCTAGGAGATGGGACAACAAATGCAATTCAGCGGCCTCGTCTGGTTACTGCCCTTCAAGGTACAGTCTCATCGTAACTGCTGCCACATTGTGGAAGCTTCAGATTTTCCCTCACATGATTCATTCTTTCTCAGTATTGCCAGGGTCTTAGTTTTAAAATATTTTTCCTTAGTAGTTAACCAGATGCAATGGGTACCATCATTGTAGAGACTCTATGCTGGCTGTTGAGAAGTGAGATGGAGCTAATATGGGTTTGTCCTGCATGCTGTGATTATGAGTCTTTACCCAGATTAACGGACAGAATATAAGTAACGATGATTACACAGAAAAATAGACCATTTGTATGGCTTTCAAACAGTCGTATGAGAGTTGCACAATGGAAGGGATTTGGGCCTCATCACAGCAGAAGACAGCAGTTGTTATACTGCAGCCAGTCTCTGTTGTGGAGACATGTAGATTACAAAGAAGAAAATGTACCTCAGAAAGCATTATCAGAATACCTAAGACTAGTCTGTAGCAAATTCTTGTATGGGGCTCTCCATGGTGAAGTGTTCAAGCCTTTCCTTGTGCTTTGTAGATCATGGGTTCTTTCACAGTTCGGTTCAAGTGCAATGTTTACGGAGACTCGTGGAGATAATCTCCAGAACTGCGATGTTCATGCTTTATGCAGCACTATTAGCAGGTGGCTAGCCGGTCTTATGAAGAGAGACTGAGCCATCTGGGATAAAACTGCACACAATAAAGTTGATCCTCTCAACTTTAACCTTTAAACTTTAGTCTGATACAAGTTAATGTGTACAAGTATGTGAGTACCTTGATAAAAAAACACGTGGGAAATGTTTTAAAGAGATTAATTATTGAAAAACCCATAGAAATTCAGCATTTCATAGAAATTCAGCATTTCACAGGATAAAGAACATTCTGTGCAATATATATTTAATTATGTTTTCATTTTTTGTCTTGGGCATTTGCCCCTAAAAGGGCACTTGACACATTGTGTTGTGGTTTACAGCAAGGCTATGATATCTGTCTTTCGGCACAACACATCTTTGTTTTTTCAGCAAATCCCAATTGAGTTGTCCTTTACAACATTGTTAGGAAGCTCTGGGTCTGTTCTCTTTTAAAACCAAAACTGAGGCTTCAGATTAATTAAGTTATGAAAGAAAATGAATTCTTCGGTGCAAAGACGTGATGGATCACAGTTAATCATAAACAGGTAGCGATTAGTTGAAAATAAACCCTCGCACCAACTTCATAAAGAGATACATTGAAGAAATAATGGGCATACAGACAATCCTTACCACCCCTCGCGCCCCACCCAAAAAAAATTCTCACTAAGGTAACTCTTCTTTGTCAGCACTTCTGTCTCAGCTCACTGTGTGAGTTCTGCTTTAAAGCAGTTTGTAGTCTTTTGTAAAAAGTGTAACCCAGGCAAATTCAATTCCTGGGAAGTAAAGGTGGCTGATGTGATGTTGACCATATTACATTAAGTGCTGATTGGTCTATAAACAAAATACGAGTGTAGCATCATATGCCCGGGGGCCACTAGTGGAAAGAGGGTCCTTCATTTAACTAACTCATTTTACTTCTAAAAAAGTATGCTAGAGATTCACTTCCACCACTGCAGGTAAAAAGATTAACCGGGTGGCTTGTGGATCTGCTCACAGTCTTGCCTGGTCTACGCACAAACCAGTCAGTGCTGGACGCCTGCCAACCTCTATTCCAATGGAGTACAACCATCTTCAGGTAAGAATATAGATTTTTTCTTATGGAATGTTCTTTTTGTCTTTGGGAAGAGTTGCTTTCTTGTATTCTTAAAGTCTATTTTGACCTTATGTGACGTGCAGCGGCTTCATTGTGATGTGCGGCGTACCAACGAGGAAATAGGGCGTCGTTTTTGTAACAAATGCGGCATCAAATAAAAAACAAATGCCACCAGCCAAGTGGGGTAGAACAGTAGGAACTCTAATGCTTCCAAACGTAGTTGAACGATGAACGCTCTTATATAGGTAACATTGGTGTGATGATTGACAACCCGATCAGTGACAAAATATGCAACAATCGAACTCCTGCGCGGACTCAACCAAACACGCCAACACAGGCAACCGTTTGACACATCCTGACGAATAAATTCCAATGGCACCTACAATTCACATGACGGGTCACAGTCCGACCTTGGAGTCCGGACGGTCACATCGATCTCAGTCTGACCTTGGAAGTCCGGACAGTCACATCGACTCCTCTTCTGCAGTCTGAACAAGGCAGTGTCCCTCTTAATGGTTCGCCTCAAGTTACCGGCTTCCTGCCTAGCGCAATAGACAATGTACCAGCTTTCCGCTGAAGTTTCTAGTGGAGTCCCGGGGTAGAGCGTCCCCAAGGGCCCAACTTTATACAACGAATGTTTTCTGTGGCATCCTGGGGTAAAATGTCCTCAAGGATCCAACTTTTTACAACAAATACTTTTGTGGCACCCTGGGGTACAGCGTCCTCAAGAATCCAACTTTATACAACGAGTACTTTCCGTGGCATCCTGGGGTAAAACGTCTTCAAGGATCCACATGTCTGTTTTCTTCAGACTGTTTACATCGAATGCTTAGACAACAATCCCTTAACAATATTACATATTGTTTTCACGTCCTATTTGCTCACTCAGTACTGGTGTGTTCTAGTGCATATTCGCACGCGACACCTTATGAATATGTTACATTGGAGTGGGGAGGGCAGAATGAAATAATTGTTAACTGTTCAGTGTGAAGTGTACTATTTTATTATTATTATTACAATATTTGTTATCTGTTGCATGGTGTATGACTGGAAGAAGGAATTGAACAACAAAAAGTGAGGCCAAAATGGGCAGAATATAAAATAGGCTTGAGTGCCCAATACATAGCCCTTTGAAAATGAAGTATTTTTGTTCATTTCTCTTTGTGTTTGTGTGTGTAAGTGTGTGTGTGTGTGTGTGTGTGCGCATGAGAACATGCATTTGTCTGATTTAATCCACTTTTTCCACTTTCAGAAACTGGTATAGTTGCCAGAGCACTAGCCTCTCTAAGAGAGAGGTTATGTTTAATTCTAATATCAAATCAGTATTGTTGTATGGAGCAGAAACAAAGAGAACAGCTAAGGCAATTAATAGTAAACTACAAACATTCATTAACTGGTGCCTGCGCAGAATTGAGGGAATTAAATGGTATGATAGAATCATAAAATTTCCTCTAACAACTCACTGTTAAGATATTGCTATGTTCAGTTGACAGCATATTGAAATTTTCTGCATAGGGGTTTTGTAATATCTCTGTCATGAAACAGGCTTGTGTTCCACTATAAACAGCTGTAAAATGTTATCTACAGGGCTTTAAGATGTCTCTGTTACAAAACAGGCTTTTGTTCCATTTCAAACTGCTTTCAAATGTTCTGTCAAAAGCTTTTTTACATTTGTTTTTTAAACCGTCAAAATTTTGAATACTGCTAACATTTTTTTAAAAATGTTTTTTATCTTCAGGGCTTTGAGATGTCTGTATTACGAAACAGGCTGGTGTTGCTGCATCACTTTTCTGAGCTTTTCTGCCCTTGCATTCCCATGGTACATCTCCAAGAAGGTGGCCGGGACCAGAGCAAGGATGATGTGTCCACAGGCCTGGATGCCCTCAGAGGGCTTCTTGTGTCTTCTGCCAAGGTAGTTAACTCTGATGTTACATTAAACAAAGACAAAATGTTACTTGTGTATCTTTTACAGGACCTTGCAGAACCAACCCCAGCATTTTTTGGCTGTTTGACTTTTTTATTTGCGGCAAATTTTCATCGAGTAGTTTTCCATTGCTTTCTGGATGGTTGGTTCCTTGATACCACTGTTGAAACCAGCACAAGGCCCGCAGCTGAGATCGAACCCAGCACCCTTGCATTACGAAGCGCGTCCGCAAAGCCTAAGCCACAGACACTGACACATTAACCCACTGACTACCAAGCACATTAACCCTTGCATTTCCCCAGATACCACGTATTTTAGCGTGTACTAAAAATGCTATAGCTTCACAACTATTTGATATAATCTCACAATATTTTGTATTTTTGCACCAAACTGAATGGAGAACAAATTTCAAGAAAAAAAAGTTGTTTATTTTGTTTTGCATCATCATCATGTGGCTGTAGATTAGTGCAAAAAAGGCAACCGAAAAATCTGTTATCTGACAACAATAAAGACTAATAAAAATGTCTTATTTAAAAAAAATATTTAACAAAAAATGTATAATATTTTGTATTTTTTGCACAAAATTAAACCAAGAACCCATTTAAAGAAAATAAAAATAAGGTTTACTCTGACATAGTCATCATCATCATGTGGCTGTAGATTGTTGCAAAAAAGGCAACTGAAAATCTTTTATCTGACAACAATAAAGACTGATAGTGATGATTTTTTTTTCAAAAATATTCAACAAACATATATTACATTTTGTATTTTTGCACAAAATTGAACCGAACAATGTGAAGACAAAAAATGGGGTTTACTTTGTCTGCCATAATCATCATCATCATGTGGCTGTAGATTGTTGCAAAAAAGGCAACTGAAAAATCCTTTATCTGACAATAATTCAGACTCCCAAAAAAATGTCACAGCTTCACAACTGTTCAATATCACTTATCCTATCTGATATTGTTTGCACCAAATTAAATAGATAACAAATATCAAGACATATGTAGATTTACTGTTTTATATCATCATCATGTGGCTGTAGATATGGTGCTGAAAAGGCAACAGACAAATCTGTTATCTGACAGCAATATATAGAAAACGCCCCCGTGACGTGATGGTGGCAGCAAATGATGAGTGGATAGATGGTTATAGACTCCGGTAGTCTGAAATAGACAGCTTTTTCACAACACATGTGACGCAACAGTACAAGAAACCATGTTACTTCATTTGGGGTTGTGTGTTTCCAGTTCTTGGGAAAACAGGTGTCTGGTTTTGCACCAATCTTTGCCTCAGCATAAGGGTTTGTTTCTTTAGCAAACACAGCCAGAATTTCTTTACTGAAAAAAATATTCAGTGGTTCATTTGTTCCTGCTGGCAGAAATAAACCAAAATTGCCAGTAAATGGGGTACTCCAGGAAAGCCTTCTAAATCACAATGCCAGTCATCAACCATTGGGGGGGGGGGGGGGGGGGGGGGTGGCACATCTTTCCCGGACTCGTCAGATGATGATGATTCTGAATCAAAAGCGGCAATGATATCTTCGTCATGTGCAGACTCACGCACAAAATCTTTATAATCTGTGGGCTTTGACTGAATACTCTTACAAGAACTATCAGCATCATAAACTGCGGCACCAGTACTTGCAGCCAACAACACTGTGACTGTCTTTGTCAGACTTGACTTCGAAGCTTCATGCTGTCGTTTTACAGTCGACGATGTTTTGAATGGCACTTCGCTAAATTTATTATAGTTATAGCCATCAAACTGTTCAGAAGTGTCTTCAAATTCACTTTTTGAAGCAAAATCAAGAAAATCGAATGCATCATTATAAATATTAGGAGAGATATGGCCACGACGATGGTTCCGATAATTTGATGCCATGATGAATTTTTCGTCAATGTCTCACCGTCATGAGAGCTAACTAAAAAAATTTGTCAAATATTTACTTCAAGCACTACGAAGTTATTTCCCTTAATTAACCATACAGAAATGAATAAGCTAGAGGTTTCAACAAAATCCATCATAAAAATCGCGATTTTAACATGACGGCGAGCGTCCAAAGCTAAAATCGCAAAGGGTGTGACGTTGGCAGAAGGAAGTAAACGTCGCCTCGTCGCATTACGTGCGACGCTGGTAGTCAGTGGGTTAAACAAGTGAGAGTAAAATGTCAGATACTGTAATAATGGACTTAAGGACTCTACTTATACCAACAAACAAATAAACTTAATTTATTTTTTGAAGTCACACATTTTTAAATATTTTTTTCTGCACTGTTTAAAATGTTGTTTCTTCAGTTAGTTTCTGTTCACCTCTGTTTCCTTTTATATGTTTGACATGATTATGAACTTTCTGGCACTTATTTCAGGAAACTGCATTCCGCAAAGTTGTTCAGGCAACAATGGTGAGAGATAAACAACATGGTCCAGTCATTGAGCTCAACAGAATTCAGGTGAGGGTTCAGATCCAGCTGGCCATTGTATTGTCATACAGAGACTTATTTAACGTTTAATATGTGACATAGGAGAATAGATTATGATGGATCCGTCTGAGTGAAGAAATATACAGCAGTTAACTTAACAATAAAAATGGATGAACAGGGGTATTAAAATACAAATGCAAAATCCAAGAGGAGCTTTCATAGAACTAGGAAATTTGTTCAGGTCAAACCCCAAAAAAATGTAAACAATGAACTTCACATCTTTAATTCTAATATCAAATCAGTACTGTTGTATGGAGCAGAAACACGAAGAACAACTAAGGCAATTACTGATAAACTACAAATATTAACTGACCCTTGCCAGAATAGAGGGAATTAAATGGTATGATAGAATCACCAATGTAGAGCTTTCTGAGAAAACTAGACAAGTTCCAGTGAACTGAGAGGTAATGAAAAGATGCTGGCGTTTGATAGGACACACATTGAGAAAACCTGACATCAAAATAACTAGAATGTCTTTGCACTGGAATCCACAGGGGCATAGAAGTAAAGGAAGACAAGAGAAAAAAAACACGGAGAAGGGAGCTAGAGAGCAAAGTTAAAAAGATCGGGAGGACATGGGAAGAGCTGCGTGCGATAGAGAAGGAAAGAACGACTTGGCAAGATTTGGTTGAGGGCCTATGCTCCATTGGGGGTTAGAAAGACAGAAGAAGAAAATGCATAGAAATACGTAATAAAGTTAAATCATTGAAGAAATATATAATAGTTAACTTAAATGTCAGTAAAACTTAACAAGTTCAGGACACGTTTCACATCATGATGCATCTGGACATAGTGGGTGATGTGGCCACCTTTACCTCCCAGAACTTTATCTGATAACCATTTTAGGTTGGGTCAGCCTGGGAACTAAGGTCATGTTAGAAAGAAAGGGAACTGACCTAATGTGAATTCAAACCCATTACATTTGGGCTGGCGGGCGAAGTCTCTAGCCCTTACACCACCACAGCTCCTAACTTAAATGTGTCAATTTTTAACTATCAACCTATTTAGGTGGAGAAGTATGTGGCAGTTCAACTTAACTAAATACTTTATTAGTTGAGGTGTTGTCTCAATGAGTTTTGCTCTGCTCATGCAATTCATATTAATGTCTAGGTGAAAAGATCCCGTGTCAAAGGCGGCCTGGCAGGTCCAGATGGCCTGAAATCAGTATTTGGTCAGATGTCCCAGAGGTGCTCCCTCTTGACACTAGAGAGCCTCATGTTGCCTCACCGTGTTTGGAAAGTCAAGTTTGTGGGTGAGGGCGGTTGTCATGGACATGCTTAGTTGTTGTCCTGCTTGTAGTCAGAAAGGAAGAAAGCTCTCTCTCTCTCTCTCGCTCTCTCTCTCTCTCCCCCTCTCTCTCTCTCTCTCTCTCTCTCTCTCTCTCTCTCTCTCTCTCTCTCTCTCTCTCTCTCTCTCTCTCTCTCTCTCTCTCCCTCTCTCTCCCTCTCTCTCTCTCTCTCTCTCTCTCTGTGTGTGTGTGTGTGTGGTGGCGGCGGCGGCATGATTATAACAGATGTGCTTTGACAAGTATGTATCTGTTACTAAATAACAGGAAATGTTGTATTAATGTGTTATTAGCTATTGCTAAATTGTAGCAATCAGTATATTGTAGCTCTTGGTAGACTAGTAGTCAGTATATATGTAACTATTGGTGGACTGTAGCAGTCAGCATATTGTAGCTATTGGTGGACTGTAGCAGTCAGCATATTGTAGCTGTTGGTGAACTGTATCAGTCAATATATTGTAGCTATTTGGGGGCTGTAGTAGTCAGTACTATAGCTATTGATAGACTGTAGCAGTCAGCATATTGTAGCTGTTGGTAGACTGTAGCAGTCAGTATATTGTAGCTGTTGGTGGACTGTAGCAGTCAGTATATTGTAGCTGTTGGTAGACTGTAGCAGTCAGTATATTGTAGCCATTGGTAGACTAGCAGTCAGTATTTTAGCAGTTAGTAGACTATAATAGTCAAAAGAACGAAGATATCAAGACAACATACATTTTTTTTAAACCTTATGCTACAGTATGACTTAAAGTCAAGAACATGCAGGTTTGGGTATACTTTCTGTCATTAAGTCAGATTTACTGCAGACATATGAAAGATTGGCTATACCTGATTTTTTTCATCATATGTATAGCATGAGCATGGGAGGTTAGGATTTGGTCATATTTTTAATTTGAGAGTGGGAGATTGGGGCTTGGTCATGTTTATGATTATGGCACATACATAGAGAATTTGGTACAACACTTAGTTTTGGGGTCATATTTATGTTGTAAATTAGAGATTTTTTACGTACACTTAATTTGGTCATATTTATGACATGGAGAATTTCATACGTACACTTAATTTGGTCATATTTATGACACATGGAGAATTTCATACGTACACTTAATTTTGGTCATATTTATGGCATATATCTTGAGCTGTAAATTGTTATTTGTAACTTATAGTTCTTTCTTTTCACTATTTCATTGAAGTCAGTGAAAGAATGAAATTTATGAGTTTGTTCTGCTGGTTTATCTCAGGTGAGGGAGTGGACGACTGTGGAGGAGGTTACAGCGAGTCCATCGTGGAGATGTGTGAAGAGTTACAGAATGGCTCAGTTCCTTTGCTCATTGTCACGCCCAATGGCCGGGATGAATCTGGAGCCAATCGCGATTGTTTCTTGCTCAATCCCATGCTGCATTCACCAGTACATCAGAACATGTTCAGGTTTCTAGGTCAGTACATTCAACATATTTTATCCCTGTTTTACACTTTTCTTCCTGCTTGTGGCAACTTTTATTTTTCTTTTATTTGTCTTTGCAGTTGTCAGCTTAGTTTACCTTATCTTGTTTTTGAACATTTTTGTGGGCAGTTGTCATCAGCATCATTCTTTTTCGGTTAATATTTTTAGCTATGATCATTTTCTTATCACGAAATTTATTAGATTTTAAACATTTGTATTTACTGTAAGCTTGGATTTAATTATTGTCATCACCATTGTCAGTGTTTTTTTTTTTTTTTTTTAATTTCTGTATATCTATTTGTTGGCTATTTTCATAATGAAAAATATGAAACAATTTCAGTTAATTCTTGTTGAATGACAGATGCTAATTCATATTTTTAGTCCTCAGACATGTTTTGCATATTGACTCTGTTCTGAGATGGAGACATGGAGACATCCATTTGTATTAAAATTAATTATCATTTTAATATTTTTTTTAAATTTATATTTACAGTTGTTGATTTTTCATCGTGGAAAACGAAACATTTATACTTATACTTTTTAAAGGACAGCAGCATGCCAGGCTCTCTAGCGCAGTTGGTTAAATCTGATTTTGCGGTGACCGGGTGACGAACTCCTTGTGGTCCGGGATCACTCCCTGGTGTAGGCAGAAAAGCCACATTTCTCCAAGATTTACGTATCTATCATGGAATGAAGCCAGAAGGGTTGCGATATCCATAGTACCGAGCCAAAGGGTTACCAATTCATGGTTTCTGGATATTTTAAAAAAAGGACAGCAGCAGACAAATTATGTTAATAGTCTTCTTAAATCCTGATATTGATTCCTTTAGGATTCAGTAAAGTTAAATTCTGCGAGTGTGCCACTGGAGCACCCAGCACATTCTTCTTCGTATTCACCGGCTGTAAACTCTGGCAGAAAGTTCTGGTTGTTCATCCACTTCTGGACTCTAGTCCTGTTCCGGAACCTGAGTGTTATGTTCACATCTGTTTTACAGATCTGACTCATTTGTATGCAGACTGTTGGTTCCTTGCCTCTCAGGCAGATGCAATCTGACTTCGAAGGAAGCTCCCAGTTGGTCAGCTCTTACAACAGGCTTTTGGGTAGGCAGTGGGTATATTCTTGTTTTCTTCACAATGGGGCTCCGGAACCCACACATGGAAAACACCCAGCATCTTCAGCTCTAGACATTTGCTGTTGGAGACAGAGCATCAGTGGGCTCAGCCAATGTGCTGTGATGTAGATTCTTAAATTAGTCAGATTATCTAGGGCTCCCAGACGGACGCAGCTTATATGAAAAGTAAAGTCAACAACTGTAAATATGAAATTTTTTGTAATTGAAAATGTTGATTATTAATTGTAAAACAAATAAGTGTCTTCATTTATAAAAAAAATTATTACCTAATTTTCTGAGGAATTTAAACAACATCCGCACCCCCGCCCACCCACCCCCCCCCCCCCCACACCCACACACACACACACACACACACAGAGATAAGAATTAATGAACAAGAATTAATGAAAATGTTTCATATTGCTGAAGATGAAAAATGGCTGACAAATGTAAATATTGAAAGTATTTTTTTATTATTATTATAATGTGGATGACCATAATTAAACTTAAGCTGACAGTAAATACAAGTAAGTGTTTAAAGAAAAATTATCAGTTGCGGGATAATGAAGAAACAAGTTACTATCTAAAAATATGAATTGAAAAACATTTGAGTTGAGTTGAGTCAAGAATTGACATTACAGCGCTCGGGACATTCCCATGCATGCTCAGTCCTCATCTTCAGCTGCCACCCCAGAGTTCCAATACCGATGGTACAGGTCACAATCTGGTTAAATGTCCGTCTTGCCTTTCCTCTGAGTGTAGTTAGTCGGCCAGACCCTCTAGTTACATCCAAGTGCCTCATTCTCTCCAGGTCATAATATTCTTCTTTCTCTACTGATTCTGTTGCTTTTTTTTTAAAATTGAAAAACAGTTGAGATTATAATAAAGAGCTGACAGCAGTAGATGTGGTTTTAATCATCAGTTGTTTTACAGATATAGCTGTAGCACCATATGCCTCAATGGTGTGAGAAGGGTCTGTGGCTTTAGTTTTACAGTAAAGTTGTAACCTGCAGCTGAGTGGTCACTGACAGCTCAACCTTTTACCTGAATGCCTACAGACATGCTTCCCTACAGACCTCATTAGTACTTCTTCAGTATTTGTCATGAAGAGGGCAGCTCACATGTTGTGTTGCGGTTTACAGCTAGGCTGTAATATCTACACCGTTTGGCCCAGCACATCATATTTCAGCAAAGCCCTGATTATTCCCTTTTCCAACATGCTTGTTGTGGGGTGTGGGCCTGTTCTTTTTTCTTCTTCAAAATTGGGCGTGGAACCATAATGTTGTGTCTCGAAACAATGTTACCCCATTGTAAATTTAAATAACTAACAATCCCTAATTACACATTTTACAATTTATTGTTTGGCAGGCCTCATTGTATCTCATCAGCTGCATTACTGCAGATTTAAATCAACGTTTAATTGTGTTTGCTTTGTTCTGTGGACTGTTCTTTCACTTACGAGGGGAAGTTCATAAGTAAGCCACAAATGGTTATGGGATGGCATGAAAATGTAGTTGGTTGTTTCTAAAAGTGTCATTAGCTGACAGCAATATCGAACTTTATGTCTCCGCTCATTAGGTGGCACTAGGTGTTGCATGAGCATTCGCAACAAACAAACAAAATGGTGACTGTACTTACGAAGTGTACCCTCAGAGAATAATGTGCTGTTGTGCGTTAAAATTTTTTTTAAATAATACGAAAAAGGGCTGCCTGCAAAAGACATTAAATAAGGAAATGCTTCCTCTTTGTGCTGACAGATGTTTATCCCACAGAGCGGTGGACAGCTGGGTAAAAACATTTCTTAATGATGCTCCACGATTGTTGATGAAGTCCGATCTGTTCATCCTGTGGAGATTGCAACAGACACATCTGTGCAGCGGGTGGAGGAGATGATTAGAGGTGACAGGCATGTAACGGTTGACTCTGCAGTAGAGCGCTCAAATGCTTCAGCATACAGCATAAGGCACTGAAAACCCACCTTGGCAGGACACATTTCGTGAGTGATGCAGAAGTTGAATGGGAAGTGAAAATGTGGTTTAGAAAACAGAGCACATAGTTCTATGCAGCAGTTGTGGGAGGACTGATAAAACGATGGGACAAAGGCATCAGTATTGGTGGAAATTTTGTATAAAAATAAAGGGACAGTGTTTATGTAAAAATAATCTGTTCAAATTGTTGTCATCTTTAGTTTTTTTTTTTTTTCTCTTATAAAGACCATTTGTGACTTACTTATTGACTTACCCTCGTATATGGTATATGTGTCTCTAGGAATCCTGATTGGAATAGCCATACGCAGCGGAAGTCCTCTCAGCCTCAACATAGCAGAACCAACGTGGAAGCAGTTGGCAGGCATGCCCTTGACAATATCAGATTTGTCGGAGATTGATAAAGACTTCATTCCGGGTGAGTTTGTATGTCATAAACTTTGTTTTGGTGGGTTTCTGTGTCATTTTCTTCATCTCAGTTAATTTAAATGCTTTAAACCTAAACTTTGTCCCATGTGTGTGTCATAAATTTGTGTTTCTGATGAGTTGATATGTCATAAACATAAACTTTGTCTCAATGGAGTTTTTCTATTGGAAGCACCTCTGTGTGGATTTAATCATTAGCAGAATGATCATTGTGCAGTTGTATATTATTATCAAGGTAACTGTTAATAGTTTCATTACCTTTGAAATGGGATTAATACCAAGTTGAAGGGATTAATACCAAGTTGAAGTGTGTTGTTTATAAAAAGATTATGTTTCTTTTCTTCTTCTTCTTTGTTCACTGTCAAAAAGATGGTGGCCATGATGTGTTGTAGTTTACAGCAAGGCTGTGCTGTCTGCACCTTTCGACCCAATACTTTCAATTTCATCAAGTCCTTAATTAGTTAGCTTTTGTGACATACAACACCCCCCCCCCCCTTTTTTCCTCCCCAACCTTCCAGAAATGAGGCCCAGAATCCAGAGGGCTAGATGATATTTGAGTAAGACTTGTAGAGCTCAAACAGCTCAGATATTTTGAGGTTACAGTTTGCTTTCTGAGACATTTGTTATAACTTGGGGTTGGGTTGAGCTGAGTCAAAAACTGCCATCACAGCACTTCAGACTTTCTCATACTCACTCATCCTTATCTTGTAGAGCTAGCGAAAAAATCCAGTTTCTATATTGTCAGAAGCAGTTCGATTATATGCCTGTTTTGCCTTTCCTCTGAGTTTAGAGTGTCTGTAGATCATGACGCATGGATTGCGATAGTGGCATGGAGAAATATCATTGGTGGGAATGATCCAGAGGACAAGGGACCAAGATATGCTAGTCAGCAAGGCATATGATGATGATGATGACTAGATCACTGATCTCTTCCTGCTGCACATGATCTGTTTACACTTCTGCATTGTTCACTTGCTGCCAGAGAACCTTGACCAGATATAGCTTTACATACATCAAGTCAACACCAAGATTAGCACCAGCTAACCAGTCTGGCTGTTCATTTTCCAACACATCTGCATGACCTGGAGAAAATATCCTAAAGGGCGCTAACTTCCAGGGACCTCTGTAGCACTGCTTGCCACTCTGAATGAACCATGCCTTTCTTCACCTTTCTCAGCATGCTTTGTGAGCCTGTTACAATCACAGCCTGTGTGTTCTCATGTTTAGACAGAGAAACTAATGACTGCCTGGGAAAAGCTATTGGAAAAAAAAAAAAAAAATGAGTTATTATAAAAAAGATTGTTTTGTGTGATGAATGAAAAGAGATGCATTAAAAGAACATCATGTTGGTGTGAAAGATGAGGGATAGAGGAGACAATTCCAATCAGGATTCCTACAGATACACAAGATAGGGAACAGTCTAAAAGAACAAAGCGCTCATAATTACAACATGTAACATAAATTCCCTC